AAGACGGGCTGACTTGAATGGAGCCTTGAGGGGTTGCAGGAACTGTATAGTGAGTAGTTACGGGCCGTGACCGTATCGATTGTTCCAAAAATAATGTGGGTGGTAATTAAGTAGGTTGAAGGAAGGAAATACGTATTTATATTTTTAGTGAAGCAAAGAGGTCTGCTGGCATAACTAGATTTTGTCAATGCCAGACCTTCTCTAAGGCAAACGGCGCCACGTCTCATTGATACTACATTGTTTCTGAGGATGTTTAAACAGACATCATCAACTCCGAAGCTGATTAAATCGAGACATTGGCACAAAAAAAAAAGTCGTTGGTTAGCACAATTGTTCATAGAATTAACGCTTCACTTCTATTTTGTCTGTTGTTTGCGTAATTTATCCCCTTTCCTGAGCAGACGATTGACTAGTGTTACGATCACCGAACAGAAGTTACCATAGAAAACTGACTTGTACTCTTTGAGTTGGCTTTATCAATCATACCACATTGGTTACGAAAGTTGTATTGTCAATTCTTTGTACGTGCAGTTGATAAGCAAGTTATTACTAACTGGCGTTGCTTTTCATAAGCACACATCGATAATTTGAATGAAAACACGAGACGACATTCTAAGGTTTGAGAGAAAAAAAGAAAAAGGAAGAAAAGGAAGGCAAGAAATAATCTCGTTTACCATAACGGCAAATTTGTGTCGTATTTTATTTTTTTTGTCTCCACTATTTAATGCTGTGTTTATTTATTGAAGAGAAATCTCCTTTTCCCTCAATGTTTACATATGCTGTAGGTGGGAAGGAAAATATTATGATATTGTTTTGTGTAATGCTTTTTGATCGGAAACGCGAGTAAACGAAAAAGAATTAAGTTCTGAAGCAGATCTCATTGTAGATTATCACATAGATTAACAAGCCACTAGCTGGCAGAACCTTATCTGATATTTTGTCGTGAAGGTGTCAAGTAAATAGTCAGAAATATGCGGTCGCAATAAGTTTTTATCCCTATTTCAACGGGAATCCTCAGAAAAAAATCGTTAAAATTTAATGAGCAACTAAGAGATGATAATTTCTACCTAGGAATAGCTGTATATTTTATGAATTCTTTTTTGGTTTTACATCGAAAGTTAAAAATGAAATGTGTATTCCGTATTTTAAAATTTTTCTCTATAGCCTCAAAAAATATTGTTTTTGTGAAAAGGAACTGACAGCCTTTCAAGTCTTATCTTCATCACGTGACACTTTGTGATGACCCTCTTATTGCAAAGCCCCACCTTCACATGAAAGAATTGATCTTCCGTTGAGAAATCTCAGAATTAAGAGAGGGCACTCGCAGCAGTAGAGTGCAAAAATGGATACACTTAACTTTGGACCGCCTTCACTTCACAAACACGAGACTAACAATGCTGCGAGATGAAAATAATGATGGGAGTTTACGTCTTTCCTTTCGACTCGCAAGTGTTGATAAAAGCATGATTCGTTGAAGCTCTTTCCCCCGTACTGGGCATGGTACAGAATAATATTCCTAGTCTATTTTTGATCGAACCATCTCTATGTAAAACATATCCCAACGAGAAAAAATATACTTTATTAGTAGTTCATTGTATCAATGTGAACCTTTTTCCTTCTATTTCAAATTTAGTTTTGATCAGTAAAACAAAGCATAGGAAATCATTTGAGTTTTTTTGAATGGTGGTCAAGACAAAACAAACCATTTCGTGTGGCGGAAAGGCGTTGAAAAGAGGACCAAACAAGACTGTTAGACAGAGAATACGAATTAGTTTTCTAGTTTTTATCATTTGCACAAAGATTTTGTCTGTTAGTGCGTTTTGTCATGTCATTCTTTGCTCTGAAAATTGACGCTATTTGTTTTATTAGCCATATTAAAATTTACAAAAAATATTGATTTTAGAAGGAGGAAATTCGCCTCTTTTTATTTTCCAGCCCTCCTAATGAATTCGATTTTTCATCAGACTCCAGCAACTATCAAGTCTTTAAGTTTTGCAATTTTCAATTCAAAGTTTTATCACCTACACGCAAAATTGAAATTGGATTAATTTGAATCCTGTGTAAACTGCGTTATTGAGGAAATACGAAGATAAATTTAGGAAATGTCAGCTCAAGTTTATACAAAAATTTAAGCCAAATCAGACAGTGAAAAAAAAGCTTTCTTTGCATCCTTGTGTTTGAATAATGTGTTGCCGCCTGACCAACCATGTATCGCCAGTCAAAATTTTCAGTCAAATAAGTTGCGTTTCCAAAAAAAAATCATACATGAACCAATAAGTTTTCTTTTAAAGAAATTCGCTGCCGCACCTGAAATGACAAAGATAAAAGAGACAAAACCTTGAATCAACAGCACGGTTTAGTAATCAAACATTTTTAAACAGTAAACGGCCATTTTTAATTAAAGTTAGTGTTATTAAACTATTGTTGAACACACAAAGCTGCCTCAATAAACAAACAGTGGGTTTTTTATCCCTTTTGTAACCAAGAACCTCTCAATCATAAAACAAGTTCATTTTCCCGCCGCAAAATTGGTTCTCGATTTCAGAGATCAATCAATTCAGAATTTAGAGGTGTTTTGATTTCGCGAAAAATTAAAAATTTCAAGTGCTCTTCTTTAAGGATTGACTGAGAGCGTGATGCGAGGCTGTTTGATCAGTTATTTCCTTGGCTTTATTTAGCCAATAACTTTGAAATGTCACTGAGCTATGACATGAAATCACAGTTAATGATGTCTTTTTAATTCTGTGCTGACAGTCATAAAGAAAAAGAAAAGTATTCACAAAACTAACCCGGTCGCAATTGTCCAAAAAAGACTCCGTTTCCTTTTCATTGTAAAGAAATCGTGTCAAAAATGGCTTTATGACCGCGAATTTCCCACCCAGAAATTCGCAGCCGTCCATTCGGAAATGCGCTTCCGTTGTCAGAAATATTTCCAATTAAATTCTGTGTTGCCTGAGCCCGAAGCGTCATTTTTTTCGTGTTAAAGTGCGATGCACTAATTAAATGCTAAAATAAAGTGAACAGAGGCGAAATTTGTTAGCAAGTCTAATTTTATGTAGCAATGAAATCACACTTTTTAGCAAACTTCCTGCATCGCTTGCAGCATAGGAAATTTAAAGTCTAAATAAAAACCTTTTATTACCTTTATAGTAAATACAGCTAATCCTTAAACAAGCAACAATAAAACTTTTACTTATCCACATGTACAGGCGTAAAATATTAAACATCTTCAGTCTTATAGGAAACGATATATCCAAAATCTATTGTTGTCGTCCCTGAGAAAGCTTAAGACCTGAGACGCACCCATCGTAACCGCGTTGGCAAAATAAGCGCACTACCCTCGTACACTAGAATTGTCAAAATTGAAAAGGGCTTTGTAACGGGGCACATAAATGTTCGCATCAGATCTGCGTTCTTCAAGTTACTATTGTTTCTACAGCCAAAAAAGACATGATACTGTTGTGATTTCGCTTGTATTGCAGGGGTTAAGTTCATCTATCCCGAAAAGAATGTGTAGCGAGCGTAAGTCATCGATGAATCTGGCCAAGACGCTTAACAGAGACGGGATCCATGACTGAGCTGTTTTCTCTCGGACTCTATGGGTTAATTTCCGTTTTTCACCAAATTCACCGTTTGAGCAAACAAAACGCGCTTTGAGTGGGAGATCGAAACTGTCCCGCAATCACAACCCTCAGTTTTGCATTTTTTTAAATGTAATTTCAAAGAATAAAGCAGCGACATTAAACCATAAAAGGAACAAAGATGCTTGGTTTATCTCATTCGTGGTCTAGTTCTGTTTTGTTTCTGTAACTGATACCACACTAAAAGAAAAAACATTTTTTGTTATTTTTGTCGATTGCCAACTCTAATCTTTTAGTTTCAATATTGATGCTATGGTCCAACGAAACTGTTTAAATATTTAACTACAAAAGAAATATGATCGCTACTGAACTGAATTGAAGTGGAAAAACACTGAAATCTAGCTTTCCAAAGCAAATTGTAGCCTCTTGAAAACAATCACGGTGAATCTTAGACGAGATTTATAAACTGACTGGAATGCTTTGCTTGATATTGGCTTATAGCACGCGCTAAAGATTAAACAACACGTTCGATTTTCCTATTAAATGACACAAGATCATGGTAATCTAAAAAACTGTTACCTGCTACTGTTTTCCGAACCTTCTAGAGTACTTCTTTCATACTGGGTCTTAGAATGGGCATTTAAACAAGTGCCGTGAATGAAATAACACGCCAGACAAAACATCGAAATCCCATTAAAAAAACTCATAAATCACTGTATAGTTTTAAACGAAAGATCAATCAATATCACTATTTACCTCATCTTATAGGATTTTGAATCCAAGCTGATCTATACGGGAATGGTATTACTTTTGATCATGAAAAATTGCTGACGGTTTAAGTATCCCATAAAAAAAATCAGAAGGACAGTTGAATACACAAAAAAAATGTCCAACGCACACAGTTGATATTTCCTGTACATTGTTTTATCTGCATGAAACAGCACCGATTTTCTTCTCCAAGCAGTACAACACACCACATAATCACCTTACACACTTAGTACGAGACTATTTACAATAGAGTTTTTACTAGCTTTAAAATCCCTCTCTCTGTTATTTCTATGCTGGTAAATACACGCGATTTCTACTGAGCAAATAACCAAGATCGAGTCTCGGTTTTGCCTTAGCAAGCATACAATTTACGGCATGCATACTCTTTTCAGAAAGTATTTGCAAGCTTTCCACAGCTTTATTTCGGTACCTTTATACAAGCCTTATTCTCTTGCCTCCTAAACTGAACATTGCATTTCTTAAACCTATTTTTGACAAACGCTATACATTCAATGGACATTTGCTCCCATTACTTGTAAAACAGACTGACTTTTTCGATAAATAATCTCAACTCCGTGCTGCGTTTTCTTAAAATTTGACGACGATTTGTTCACAACAGCGGGCGCATTTTTTGGGAGCGATGTGAATTTTTTACCAATAAGTTGTAGGTTGTATGTAGGAAGAGTTTACGGAGGGAGGATAGTGCAAGTAGTCACCTTGGTATGGCGACCCGCTTAGATAGTTACACGAAGGACTAACACAACTGCAGAATTGTCCAGAACCATTTAGCAACGCTCCTTGTGAAAGCGGAGAGTACGGTTTGTCCCAAGGTCCTCGTTCGCTAATCTGCTTACGATATTTGTATCTGTGATTCTGAAACCAAATTTTCACTTGGGCTGGTGTAAGATTTACGATTCTCGCCAATTCCTCTCGTTCGGGCGCAGATAAGTATCTCTGCTGTTGAAATCTTCTTTCCAAGACAAAAGTTTGCGCTTTCGTGAACAACACTCGCCGTTTGCGTTTCTTCAAGTCTTTGTCGGAATGATCCTTTTTGACGGAGTCAAACTGCGAGACGCTTGTTTGTTGGCCGCCTGTGAATATGAAATGAAAGTTGTTCAAGTTAGAGTCCCTTCGATGCGATTTTCAACAGACTACCAGTTACATTATGAAGCCTGAATAATCTATTCTGGATTGCCTCTATTCACCTTATCTCAAGATTGAAACGCTGAATTTGCTCATTTAAAAGTCCTTGAAGTCAAACAACCTCAAATCATCGAAGTTTAATCACGCTAACAAAAACAGAATAAGAGTTTTTGAACACAGCCGGCCGAAACAGAACCGGCTCGCAAACTCAAAAGGTTGACAATTTCTTGACATATTTTTCGCACCATAGCAGAATTAATCACTTGAAGCTTTTTCCGTTTCTATTGAGGATATAAGTGGTGGTAGAAACGATGCGCTATTCGCCACAATGCTGAACAACCTCAGATAGTCGCTACTGTATGTTATACGCTTCTGTGATGCACAATATACAGCTTGACAGTTAAGTAGGGCAACTGCGAGATTTCTCAGATATGATGAAGTTTGAAGGCCTCGCTATTCTTAACTCTAATGAAGAAAATCCTCGCCCGCTATCTTTCATAATAAACTCTCAAGAAAGTCGGCTTATCTCCTGCGTTGTACTCGACTCTTTTAATAATGTTTTTGAATACGGCGCCCTTATATCTACCATAAAAAAATTTTCATGAACACTAAAATAATTCATACTTGACTTGGCCGTTTCTGGCGCGTTTGCCTCTGGCTCGTCTGGACTGGACAACGTCTGTGGAGGGTAGCTCCTGTCTTGAAATGACATCTGTTCTTCGCTCTTGGAATTCAATGATCGGATTCTGTCCTCTGGAAGATTAAGAATGTCCCTTATGGAAAAGGATCCCATCCTCACGTTTCGTGTAAACGGTCTCAAATGGGTCCCATTGTGTTGGATGCTAAGATAACAAGATTTAAAAGCAGGTCGCACGCACAGGGCAGGCCGGTCCTAGAACATAGGGCGGGGCTTCACTTCAAACAAATGACAGGCCATTTGAAATAAAACAAATTGCCCTGAATGTCATCAGGCTGTTTTGTTAAGAGAAAGCGCCCTGACAAGACTGACACATCAACTGATTGCTGTGAAGGCATGACTAGATGCCTGTCACATCAACGGACCTAATGTGACAGCAAGACCATTCTCTAGGCGCGAAAAGTTTCCTTTTTCTTTTATTTCACACATGTTATACCGTGGCATTGCACACTGTTGATTTAGGTTTTAATTGGATTGGCGGATTAGGAAGTTTACGTTCATTTCTGTTGTCATTGTTTCGTTTATTACGCCGTCACGATTTGGAAATCATAAAACCTGTATAGCCATCCCAAACAATTTCTTTTCAATTATTCCCTCTTCCGTTGACAGAAGAGCGACCATGAGGCCTCCTTTGGGAATTAACAAGTGAAGGACATCAAAGTTTTGTTGAACGTCGATACAATCACCATGATATGCTGCGAAAAGCTCTCATATCTTATTTCAGAGAAGTGACATTGTAAACATTGCCTCCTCTTGAACATCTCAGGAAATTAGAAGTGTTTTGCAGATCGCCCTCCCAAGGACAGAATTGCATTCTTCACTGTTGACATTTTACCTTGAACTTTTCGCCATTCAAACATATGTCCACCCACGGGTTAAATGTGTCAGATTATTTTTATTTCTCTTGCAAAGTATTCTCTGTACAACGTTGTATTCTTTTTACTGACTTATTCATGGTCGCTCTATTGGACTAATTTATGTTAAAATCTAATTGTTTTCACACACTAATTTTGTATACAGTTCGTCGGGTGAGTGAATTGTCTTACTCTTTTTTTGTCATGAATTAATAATAAGCCATGCTCTATTTTACCAGCAGAGCTACTGTTTTGCACAATAATTGAAATTAAGAGAAAATCTGCTAGAAAATGTTTTGAAATTGTCAGGTTTTGTTTCTATAACATATGTGCTATATAGTTTCACGCAAAATAACCAAATATGGAAACTTTCACAAAAGTTTATATGGATATATAGCGTTACGGTCTCTTTTCTTGCTTCAAATTCGGAGATTTCAAAAGAGTATATTCCATTTTGAACAAAGACATTCATCCCTACAGTTAATGGCTGGAGAAAAGTGAAATTTGGCCTCGAAAACTGTAAGTTTTATTGGATTCTCTGTGGGCTATTATCATATCTCATTGGAAATTGTTTATTGTGTTACTTTATAATGACTACCCTTACTTCGTCTCTCTCATTGTATATACCAACTATGTCATTCAATTTTATTTCATCCAAAAAATGACCAGCCTAGTCGCAGGAGAATAGTTAAAAATACCCCCCTTTGTGCAAGATTCATTCCTTTAGATCGAGGATGAACAAAATCGCGTGGCAGTGGTGGTGCATTGTCCAGTGTTCGTTGAATTATAATGGCTGATGAAAGAACTTAGCAACTGAAAAATCACACGGGTTTATTGGAATTCCTTTAAAGAACTGGATACATTTTTGTTTTGAACAAATTTTTGTAAAAAAAAAAAAAAAAAGGGTCGAAATTTTGATTATTTCACAGATTTTGTTATGGCTTTAGATTTATGTTGCATTGACTACGTTTAACGGCATCACAAAAGTTTCGCGCTTGTGGCGCTACGGTTTGTACCAGGTTTGTTTAGGCTACGGAGAAGAGAAATTTTAAGAAGACCAACCTTGTTGCCTCATCAAGTCAGTCCATGTAAGGGGATATTGATTTAAATAGAGTGGAGAGTTCGATCGTTGTAAAGGCGAAAATTCAACATTTTTCGGTGAGAAATCTCGTAACAATGAAAACAAACACGCGGAGTAATTACTAAAATTGATGGGCGGTGTTAAAAAGCGCGTGAAACTAAATGTAATCAAAGTTTTGTTACTTTGTTAAGTTTGGCGGGTTGGTGCTTAAAAATTCTTTTATTTTGTCTAGCAAAATGGCCAAAAAAACATTTATTTTTCTTGAAGGCGAGATCCTTTGGCTAAATACCTGTTTGTAATATGACAACGAGAGAGGCTTTCAACAGATTTTCAAGTGTTACGCGACCAAATTTTATACGTCTCAATTTCTCCTCCACTACAAACCGTGAATTGAAAATCCTTTAGTCAAGAGCTGTAACCTGATTCAACGAGGGTAAACTTTCAAAGACTCCATGTGAAGATTTCGACTTGTTTCTTAATAGATCGATTAAGTTTGTTTGATGAAACGCGCGGTAGAGATTTTCTCATTTAAAATCTTAAGTAAGGCCGCACGTCACAGCTCGCTTGTAATTTGTTCGTGGGACTCTAGCATCAAAATGTTTGCATTAGTTATCACGCTTGATATATCGACAATGCTGGTTTGCTTGTTTTCATTTACGTGAAAGGCTATGAGAGCAAACACTGTGTGGGATTCACTAACAATGCAAAAAAAAACTTTTTCCCTGGATCAACTGACAGATGTGACATTTTGTCTAAATTGAACAATTGCAGCAAGGCAACTAAAGAATTGGCCAAAGAATAGGTTTTAATTCATAGCGAATACATTAAATGATCCCTTTATATTCATCGTTAACAAGGGTAGACTTAGTTTTTGAGAGTATCTTTTAGTTATGAGTAAAATTTCTAAAGGTAAGTTGTTATTCTGTGCACGCGATTTATTAGGGCTAGTCAAAACTTAGCAGTAGTTTCCTTTGAGTGATCGATAGGGGGTTCAATCCATCTCTTCAATAACCACAACATGTTACCCGTACAAACAAAATTTTCTTTGTTTTTCCAAAGACGAGTCGTACTTATTTACATACGATGTGACTTCAATAGTTTAGACTTTTCAAGGGATATTTATAAAATCTAAAGAGGCTTCGACGAAACATCACCGTAAACGGCTTAGTTCTGCTTTGTATACACGCGCGATGATTCTTATACTCTGCACGCACCGAATCTCGTACGCCTTTTGTACAGTGTGCCTCACAAAAAAAACATACCTTGTTCCATTTGTAATTCCTCGCACGTGGTAAAAAACTGGAATCACAAGCCTCTCCGTGGGATGTAACGAACAAGAATTTAACTCCGTTCATTAATCTCCGCCTAGTTTGTTTCTTTTTAAATTTGCACGAATCAAGCATCTTTGATGGATTCTTATACCGGGCTGAAAATGACATGAGCGGAAACACAACGTCTCTCCACTTAGCAATGAAGATGGTTCTAATGAAATAGATACAAGGAGATGTTTGACTATCAGAAACAGGACGCTCTGTTGTTTGCTCATGAGACGATCCTTTGTGACAATTTACCTCAGCTTTCATATTGTTAAAATCATGCAACTTAGAAAGGAATACATCCGCACCACCGACTCTCTGTACATAACGAATCCGGCATTTTCGGACCGTTGTCAAATTTGTAATTACGCCCGTTCATTCCGGAAAGGTTGAATAAGTGAACAAAATATGCGTGATCTAGTGCAGTTTTGAATGATTTCTCCGGCTGGTGAAACGCACTTTAACTGCTCAAATTAGAGGGACGGAGAAGTGGCATAAGTGATCATGTCTTACTTGACTCTAAATAGCTGACGTGACAGGCCATAATTTGGGTCGATCGACGAAACGGATTATCTTTTACGTTCCCAACACCGTTTGACCTGTATTGTCGTAAAAAGTGAACGAATCAAGAAAAATTGTTCCCTAAGGCAATGAAAGGTTAATTTTTGAAAAACGTAAAAGAAAAAAAAAAAAAAAAGAGACGATTTATTCCTGAGACAAAATCAACAGGAATTCTAATTTTTGTCGGTTGTATTGTAGGTCACATCAAACGTGTATCACTGAAGAAATTGGGTCGTGTTGTTTCTTATGTTTCTTCATCTGGGAATAAAATTTCCTACACCAAAGCTAGGAATTATTCACGGCCAGGCAGTTCTAGTTTAGTTCACCAGCAAAAAAAGCTTCACCGGGTTCTAATGAATACAATGTGTTTTACCTGGTTAACGATATATTTTCGGTCACAACCAGCTGTTCCTTTTGACTGAAAACAGGGCAAGAAACCATTTCAATTTCCTTGAAATTAAACACTTTGCTCCGGTTGGGAGGAATTACTTTTACCCCGAATTCTCACAACACTGTCCAAGCAAAACTACTGAACTATCCCATCCATAAACACATGGTTTTGGCAAGAATTTTTGTCCAAGTAATTTTGTAAGTCTACCCCATAAAATATTGATTTGCTTCACCGCTGTAAAACGATATGGACTACTGGATACGACAGAGAAAAAAATATTATTTGCATCTCGGTTCAAGTTCGGTTTTTAAAAATTTTAATCCATTTTAGCGTAGTATAGTTATCCCTTCGAGGTAAAGCTGTCTTTTTCCTCGCAAAAGAGTTTTAAAGTAACACTTTTCTTAAGTCATTTGCTAATTTGTTTCTTAAAATTACTTTCAATGAAATGTGCAAGTCAAGAAGTAAGTATTGTATTGTTTATGAAATTTGCACTCGAACGTACAGTCTGTTGTTGCGCACGGCATCGCTACTTCATCTTGTAGTTAAACCAAATTCACAGAAGCAATGCATTCAACCACGCAGCACTTGAAGGCCCTCGATGTGTTTCAAGAGTTAATGTTAGGGTAAAGCCTTTACACGCTGTTGAGATCTGAAGATGTTTTCATCTTATAAAACGCAATGGATCTCTTGAAAGGCTTTCAAGCTACGCTCTCATAGCCCAAGTGGGCGGCCCTTTTGGTGTAATACGATCGCCTTATTGCGATATAGCCATTTACTGAGTGGTTTTTGCAAAACCGTCGAATTTTTTTAACACTAATTAGTGGTTGTTTGGAGGAACGGGTGCTAATGGTTCAGCCGGTAGACAATAAAAATTCGCCGTTCTTTTTCATGTTGTCTGTGCGCCTCTCTCGTTTAAACTGCTTTTTACTGTAGGAAAAACAGGAATTATTCATTCCTTACGATAAAGGGAGAGAATGAAAAGAACAGAGAATAAAGGAATCAGTCTCTCTCAAGGCGTAAAATTTTAATCCTCCCTAATTGAACTGTATTAGACGTTTTAGGTTGTAATGTTTATTTATGAGCCGCGCATTGTTGAGTTTGAATGTCAGTCAGTCAGTTGTACGGAACACGCGAAAAACAGAACACTTTTGTGTGTAGAACTTTCTATTGATTCATGATATTCACAGAGCTTAAATTAGAATATCTTTGCCCTAATGCTATAATGGTCTGCCTGTCGATCACCGAGTGACACAAGCAAACAGTTTGTTTGAGTTAGTTGGTTGTTAAGCAAACACGTTTAGCAACGTAATACCTCCTTGTACTTCATCTCTCCGACTGTAAAATATTTATGAGCTTGTAAAACGTTCGATCATCCTAAATTTGCACTAGTTTTTCATTCTCCCTCTCCGACGTAGGAGTGAGGCGTTAAGAACCGTCTTTTGAATTCGATGAAGGAGACGTATCGGGAACTAAAAGAACACCAAAAAATAAGTCAGCTGAACGCATTAGGAAACAATGAAGAGGACTCGTTTCACACGAGGAGGCTGAAAGAAAAAAAACCTTTTCCTGTTAAGTAGCCAATATCTTAAGTACTAAGAAGGTTCTTAGCAGGTATTGGCACGAGCCTTTGGTGGAGGTCGAACAAATGAGTGTTAGAGAATCTATTCAGGGCGCCTGTTGTTTCAAGACTTCCCATTCGACCCCTACGCAGCTCGCCGCGTGCTAAACCCTCACCGGGCCGGCGTAAAGCCAAGATCTGGTGGTAATTACAACTCTTGGAACGTACCTGTTCCTGTTGAAAAGCCTCAACCAGTGCTCTCATGTATAAGGAAAATACTGCAGTTCATGCAGGACTTCGGTAATTTTCCCCTTTGTTCAAAAGATCGCATTTATAATGCCATCGTTTCAATGACAATGCGGAAACGCTTCGCAAACTACTACTCAGTGGAGTTCACAGTTAATATACTCAGTTTTCGCTCAAGGACGGATAAGTCCTTTAAGTAAATGGTTTAAGAATTGTCTTTCAGGTGTTCTCTAGTGCTATTTACTTTAGGAAAGACGCGAACTCGTTCTGTTAAAAAAAAATTATAAAACTGCTCGGATATCAATGTCTGTCCAGCTTTATTTATAGCGCACCCATTGTAAGACGAAAGAAAACTTTTTATCCCTTAATTCTTTTGTGAAAGTTCTGACGGTTTGCGCCAACCCAACGTAAACATTTGGCTTTTTAGGAAAGATATTAAAATGCAACTGGGACTCATTAACGAAGCGTTTACAACCCCACAATCAAACGAACATTCACGTAATTAAAATGTTGACAGTGTCCAAATGCTTCTCGTACAATATGTAGAAAGCCATTTGCTGAACAAGCTTAGCAGCCGGTAGTCTTGAGAGAGCGGCGCACTGCAAATAAGCAACCACTTATAAAAAGTGGTATTTCTCAAGAATTCAGTCCATAATAAAAAATATGTAATAAAAACAATAGTATATAACACCTTCCAAACACTCAAACGTGTGCGTGATATCGTAAATAGGTTTAGACGAAAATAAGAAGGAAAAAACATGGAAAGCCGGGGCGATTAGCAAAGGTGCAAATTTTTATAGATTTTATCACTAATCCAACAGTTCTCTCTTCCGATCGACCATTAGCTGGTGTTCAACCTTTCAACTTCGATTACAACGATATTTCAAAATGTGAAGAGGCGTGGATAAGGCTACATGAGCTGAGTCCTTGAGACATTTATATGGGTCGCAAGTTGAGGAAGTGTCTTGAAATTAGTTTTGGACGTCAGAACTCCAATAAAGTGACCCATTCAAGAGAAAGCAATGATTGTTTGAGTTCTAAGCGGGGGGAAACAAGCAGTCGGGTCAGCCCGCCCAGCGTGACATGTCAGATGAAGCCTTTTAGGGCAAATCTGTCATTTGAAAGGGGTTTACGTGTGACAGGGCATTCAATTGCTATCTTTCTAATTAATTGTGATGTCAACTTCGTCACCACCTTAACCTATCAATAGAAGTCGACTTACGCGAATTTGGGCAACATTTGTTTAATGTCAAACATCTTGTTCAACACTTGAGAGCCTGGGCACGCCCCAAAGTATAAGAAGTTTGGCTGCGAACCGCTTCGGATCGAGTATGACTGAATTGCGACTGTGTTTGGCTTTGTAATGGCACTCATCTGAAATCCATGTCCGCAATCGATCGATCTTACGACATGACTTCGTTCTCCGTCAGAGACATTCTTAATTTACCCGACACCGGACTATGCCCGTCTAAAAGCGAAACAACCCATGAATCGTCCTCAACCGAGAGTTATCATTGCCCTGGCGGAAACACTCATACTCCGTCATGTGGCTCTGTAGTGTGTAATCAAGGCCAAGAGTACTCATATACAAGTAAGAATGAACTTGATTTTGTATCTTTGATCGAGCGAAAAGTAAACGCCGGTATTTATGAAGTGCTAAACTCGATAGATGGTAAAAATCTCGCCGAAGTTCTCGAAAGAGTTTATTTTGTTTCTTCTGTAAACTACGCGCGACGCGACGGATTTTTCGCATACAACCGAATTTCTTTTCCGGAAAACATACAATGACGCGTTTTACGAGGCAATTGCAAGCACGACTGAAAGATGACTGCAGTTTCAAATTTTAATTGAGTGAATGCCATATTGCTTCTAGTTTTGAAGGTTGTTTTCTTTATGTGTCTCGTGTAAGGGACAACAGGCTAATTACTGTGGCTTACAGTTCACCTAATTTCTTACAACTTCGCAGCTCTTTAGTTGTGTCGTAGATATCGTTACATAGGCGAAACATTAATGAAATTTTTTGTTTTTCCGCCGTAACAGATCCACATCCGAGCCCGACAGAAAGGCCTTCGACATCCTCAGCGGGCTCCCAAGAAATATCTGAGCGAGAGGAAACGCCAGATGACTTGAACGATCCGCCAAAAAAGCGGAAACGAAGAGTTCTGTTCACCAAGGCGCAAACTTATGAACTCGAAAGAAGGTTTCGTCAACAAAGGTACCTCTCCGCGCCGGAGCGCGAACAGCTCGCGAGAATAATCAATTTAAGCCCGACGCAGGTGAAAATTTGGTTTCAGAATCATCGATATAAATACAAGAAACAGAGTTTTGAAAAAGGAGTTATGAATGAAGGACCTCCATTGTTCACCCCAAGAACTGTTCCTGTGCCTGTCTTAGTGCGAGATGGCCAGCCTTGTCATGGCGCTTCGGTCAATAATTTTGGATATTTACGGCACGATCCTTCAGACTTCTATCATTTTCCTGCAGTAAGTTCATCATACATTCCTCCTAGCAATCCTTATTGGAGCTGGTAGCATAAGCATGCTTTGTACAACGTGTGTTGTGAGAAGAATCCACAGAACAATGCAGATCTCCTTGAAATAATCTGTCACGGAGAAAAGGACAAAGTCAATTGTAAGCTTATAAGCCAACATTGATTTCAAAAACCTACGAGGGCAAAGGATCTCATTATTTAAAGAATCTAACAATTTGTCCAGGTTTGATGTTTTTATTAGATGTTCTTAAATTTCTTTGGAGTTCTCTTTCGACAAACGCGCAGCAAAGGCTATTTTCGTGTGATATAACAGCTGTTGTCTTTTACGTCTCAGAAATGATTTGAAAAGATTTTTGTTTTTATCCTTTAAAAATTGTAAGAAACCAGATTTTTTTAGCAAATGATTTTGTAGATGTTTCTTTTAAACGAAAATTTTTGATTTCGTAGTTATTTTTGTACTATAAGTTGCTAGGTTGCTTGAAAATTGTTCCTAATGCTTTTAGTAAATGCATGTCTGAAATTATGAAGATGGAGATAAGAGCTCATCATTTTTCAGGAGATAATCCTTGGCAAGGTAAACTTAAATTCTAATTACAAATCCTCTCGTTTTCACTAAAATGCTAGTTATTTGAGTTTGGCGTAAACGTCGGTAGCAATTAGTTAGTTTTCTTCGCCAAAGCAGCTTTTCGTTTTACCACACGAATTGTCACAAAACATTACAACCGCAATGCTGGGCGCTCACGAATGAGTGAATCAAAATTGACAACGCAATATTTGGCAAACAACACGTCTCGTTCTACTTAAAGGATTTTATGAGATGTTCTCTAACACTTTGACACACAATTTTCGCACTTAACCCGGAGCCTGCTTTTGTAAAACCAAACAACCGAAGAAATTCTCTCATTAAGACATGAAAGTACCAGTTTTTGTTTTCATTTTAAAGTGAAGATGGGGAAAAGGTTGTTACGGGCTTTGGTCACAATGTTTAATGGACCGTGGAATCAGCTCGTAATTGATTGTTGTTCGTGTTTACCCGATGAAAAAAGAGGAGTGGTCAGTGTAATTTCTTAGAATGGATCTTTACCAAATTGAATCAACGCTAGTTTGCCTTCGGATTAGCTCAAAAGAAAACAGTGACAATCGACAGACATCATGAGCAAATCGTTTCGATATCACAGAGTTTGAGTCAATTAGAATAAGTTATGCAATTTGAAACTTATAATACTTCCTCTATTTTGAATTAAAACCTACACTGTACTCAAAGTTAAAGGTAAAATTGGTACTACGCTTCATTTTATTGAGAGCTTCAAGTCGCAAATGGAAAAAAAAAACGAGAGAATCGAAAGAAAACACTATGAATAATACATTACCCACTGTTTCACTTATACCTCTTTGTTGAAAAGTGTTAATAAATTAGAGAAACAAAAACATTATGTTGGAATGATTTCGAGTGTTGGAAGCGGGCGTGCTAACGAAGAGCAAAATTTCGAGCACTTGTTTTCTTCTCGAGAGCAATATGTCAAACTCATCCGACTTTTAACAGACGTTTTCACGCTTTCGTAGTCAAGAGTAGCTTTGGCGAGGATGGGAAAAGATAGGTGCAGATGTGTAAAACATAGTTCTTGGTTCGAATTCTTTTCTATGTGATGCAAACTTGCCTACATCTTCAGTCTTCCTACGTATTTATAATTTCAAGTCACTTCACAGAAGGCAAGACTTTCACGAACTCGATTACCTCCGCGCAGCGCGTGTATAAATGAACAAAGTTTTATTTATTTTATTTAACCTATCTCAGTTACAGCTGACTACTTTAAGTAATGGAACACAATTAAACATTGGAAATAAAACGAAACATGAAAGCTCTATGTAAAACGTGCATGTCTCTGTGTAGCTATTTTTAAAATTGACCCACGAAGACACATGCCAATCCGGCCAAGAAGAATCCAGTTTGAGAATGATTTCCAAAGCCAAGCACTTCAGTGTGACTGCTTCTTCATTTTGTAGATTTGAGATTGTGGCAAACAAATTAATAGCAATCATACATAGCCATATTTTGCGAGAATTATGGCATTATAGCTACTCTACCACATAAATATATGGAGATCTCTAACACTGAAATGCATATAACCTACGCAAAGTGGCCCCCATGTTTGAAGAGGGAAACTACTTATATCGTAACTGAGATTTTATAGGTTTGTTTTACGATGATGTGAAAGTTCGTAGATGATGTTTTTGTCTCACTGAAATATGACAGAGACATTTTTTTGTTAATATAATGGACAATGTGTAGCTAAAAGGAGGTAGGCGTCACAGGTGGTAGAGTTGCTTAAGTGACGCGCTGATGTAAAAATGTCTGATATTGTATGGGAAACTCTGGATGGTTCTCTTTAACATTGTTATGTCTTGGTTACTTTTAATCTTTCTTTATCGTCGGATTTAAATTATATCTATTGGCGTTATTCCATTCTTTTCATGAGTTACCAGTTAGGAGCACTTCACACAGCTGGTGGTATGGAATGAAATTAGAGCAAAGGCCACGGAAAGATGCTACATTGTGTGGAGGTAGCGGATATTCAATTTGTTTCTCGGGAAATAAATGGAGGTGTTCCCCGCTTCAACGTGCTTTTATGATTCGTATTGTTTTGGTTGTAACTCATACCTCATCTAAGTATTTATTACAGCTTTGGTATACCGATGGGCGTTTTTATTCCAATCTCAAGTAAATGCAAGAATTAGGTTTATTGTTTAAGGATAATGTTTTGAATTGGAACGGTTGTTGCTTCAACAACTAACAGGGCCACTTAAAAAAATGAAAAAAAAAATTTTCTCTTGAAATATTAAAATGTCTTTAATGCATAAAACGCGGTAGAACCTTTTAAAACAAGGAATCTATTAAAATTAGTTGAAGACCAGTTAACGAAGGTAGTTATGAGAGGAGATGACATCCCACTCGTTTTTGTGTAAGAATTTACTCGCAAAGAAAAAAGAAACGCCGCCGGTCGAACACAGAATGCTCCGGCCCTTTTTGAAACTTCTTACGCAAAAAATAATTTTGGTTTGTTTTCCCTCGAGCAAGATGGTCAGTAGACGAGTGTCGCGACCGAAGCTTTCCTCTTTATTTACATGTACCAGAAATTCAACTTTTCGCCGCAGAGGAAAAGCTCATTGACTCCACTTAAATTAACACTGAAACTATTCTTAAAATTCGGTTTGAAGTTGTTTCGTAGTTAACTTTAGAACACTATAGTCGAACGGTGATAATATATGAGCTGTCAACTACGCAGACATTTGGACGCATTTTTTAAAGTTACCCCTATGCGTCCCAGAGAACACTACCCTCAAAACACGATCACTCAAATGGCAAACACTTTTTTAATTTACCTGAATTAGTCGCATAGGTTTTAAAAAAGCCATAATTTACCCGCAACTCGTATTGAAATCACCGGCCGGTAAAGGAGCAACCTACTCGAGTGAAGGAGGTCAGCCTTCACGATACAGCTTCGAGAATTGTTTATTTTCATTCAAGAGACTACAGAGTACCTTCTTGAATATTTTTTTAAAATGAGATTAATGGATTTTGTTTTCTACTTTTTGTTTTGTTTTGTTTGAAACCCATACTGCCTTTTTTTACCATTATTAATGGGTTGTAACAAGCTGCAATGTCGAATGGACTTTAGAAACTAAACCTGTTTTGCATACCATGACATTTCGCTTAATGGACAGTAGAGGAAAATGTGAAAGAAAGCAATAGAATACCTGAATGTTTGGTGACAGAATTACTGTTCTTAAGAGTAACTGAATAAAGCTTTTTTTTTATATATCCACCATGTGTATATCTACACTGAATATTAACAACCAAGTACCGCTACATACTCTTTGCGTTCTCTGCGTGAATCTGCTTCCGTGACGTCTGAAAGCCAAGTTGTGCTTCATGTGTTTGAAGTCGAAGTTCTCGAAGTTGACATCAAGCTTCGTAACAACTAATCGTTGTATAAAGAGAAAGTCAGTTGCGATTAACGAAAAAAGGTGAGGCTTGTGTATGTCTTACAATTTGAAAGTAGTTTTCCACCAAAAATTATCGATTTACACTTTCAAGGGTGAAACTGATCTTTTCAATTACTTTTAAGACCACTCCTACAAAAAGCAGATATGAGAATTATTTCGTCTTAAAACTAATCCTGTAATCTCCATCCTTGCTCTCCAGCACCCTGGTATCAGTTGCTGATCCTTTTCTTTGCATTCTGAAATTTAAAAGCGATAGTAGATTATGTAAATAAACAAAGCCTTCAGATGACCGACTTCCACACCCGCAGGATTTGAAGATGACGCTGTTACTAATGCAAAAGTTGTAGCTCTAAATACATTGCATTTATCATCCTTTACAATTTCTACTTGGACGGCATTTCCGTTTTGTTTGAGATTAAAAATGAAAGAAGACAGCTAACTAAATAGAAGCAAAGGAAAGTTTATTTGAAACTTACAGCAACGCTGCATTGCGATTCGACCCAAAATATAGTCGTCGCGGAAAGTTGATGCTCATTTCAGACTATCCTATGGGTTTAAACTTAAAAAACTTCCACTTATTTATTGCTCGATTTCTAAGTCCGTGGTATGTCTGTGCGTCTGTTTTATCTCCATCTCATTTATTTATAAACGGGGCTTTAGACTGGTGAACCCAGGGTGATAGACTTGCCCTACAATTTATTACTTAAACTTTAACTTGCCACGTATTACAGCAGGAAACTAAACTGAAGCACAGCAACTGTTCTTGGTTAATTTCAATGGCGCCAAAGTGTCTGTAAAATGCACTCAGAGCAACAAGCCGAGAGCCACCTTTTAAGAGAAAAATTCGATGTTTATCTCATTTTAAATCCCAATTTCTCGCTATTACATGGATCTGGTTTCTCGACCGGTGCCATTTGACAATAAAGGAAGTATTAATGCTTCTGTTATCAGTCGCTTTTCTTTAAATTTCAAAATAACTTAAGGGCTGCAACGAGCGAAGCCTTTTTTGCGACCATGAAACGAAGCCGCCTTCTAAAATATAATCTACAACGACGGCTTTGTCCTGATGCAAGAGGTACCTCCTTTTTCAAAGAGAAACTACTATAAGTCTAAATGCGCTGCGGCTTCTTAAGAAAAATGGTTTTGCGGTCAAAAAACTTACTATGATAAAAGGAAAGGCTCCAAGCTGAGCAGGTATATTAGTATCGATGTTCACACGACCTAAGCAAAAAAATTATCGACACTCACTAGTGAAGGATGACCTCTTTATGAATTTAGGAAACAGAAGTGAGTAAGCTTGTTAGTGGCTTAGCGGTTTGTCTTTTACTTTCTAAAACCGGTGACATGGCAGAAACACCGATGAAGCGTTGTATGTTATTTTGTCAAGCGAAGTGGCCTGTAACAATCCAATTTTCATCCCTCGAAAAAAAATCACACATAGTTGAGTGTTATTACAGTAACAGTTAAAACCGTTGAATCTAGTGACTTGATTTTTAAGAGTTTTTGATTGTAATAAGTGTTTTAAAAAGTCCTTGAATGTTTCCATCAGGATGCTTTTTTATGGTCACGGAAAATGTAAAATTTCTCCTTGCCCCTTAGACCGTCGCCATCAGCTTTGGCTATTATCTTCCCATAACAACCAGGCTGTAGGGGATGAAATATATAGGGGCAGGCATGGTTCACTAAACATGCTTTCGTTTTCATCTCAAGAGTGAATATTGTATGCAGAAGCTGTATAAAAAAAACCAGTGAAAGGATATCCACTCGACCTTTCACAAACTGTAGTGAATTGCGGATTTCTGGTCACTTTAGTCATGAATGCTTAATGTTATGAGAGGGTTTCGGATTACGTACACTTAACGTTTAATAATTTGGTTTTGAAGAGCTCACGTGGTTTCAGCTTCTAGAGATAAACTTAATACGCCATATGTGCCAGAACTGCGTTTAATTCGTATCGTATAATATTGCCAGGGATGCGATAAAAGAATTAACAGGAAGAAGATAACAAGAAGATAAGTCTTTCCCTCCGCGCACTGGATGTGCTTGTAGGCGCGGCATGTAAATTTTGGTCTTCAACAGGAAATCTTCCTACCTGTTTGTAAATGTTTTTAAAGAGCCAGCGTTTGGAACTGTTCCAGAGAAAGAATCCCTTGTAAAGCTTTTGAGGTTCATAAGTGCTAAGTTTAACCACCTGATTTGAAAGAAAGCGCAACCAATACGCCATTGTTTAAAGTAGACAGCTGATGTAGAAGCTGTATGTAAATGCAAACATGGCCGCAATAGCAAAATTAAAATGAGCACTTTTTGACGCGCTGATAAAACAAACCGTAAATAAATAGAAAATTGAAATTAGAGATTGCATCGCGAAAGTTATGAAAACTTCAATTTCGGTAAAGAATCGTATCAATTGTGGTGCTTCTCAGATGATAAATGGCTGCATACTCGTATCTGTAAGCTGACTACCATGGAAGCGCAAGCTTATCTTCCAGTAGTTCAATTGAAAATGCTTTACACCTCAACTTGTCAGACTGGTTTTCAAACCCAACAACCCTGTGTTAAGATTCGGCCTCCCTAAATCACTGTGTAGTATCAAAAGTTGGAGAAAACATACTTGAATTAGGATTTTCATTGCTAGCGAAGATGCTGTCTGTAAATTGCTCTTTTCAAGTCGATCAGTAGACGAAGGCGAGGAGAGGCTGACTCAGATATGGCTGTCAGTCCAGAATTAGTTACGTTCGGAGCAGCTGGCATTAATATTTCAATAAAATTGCGTCTCTTTCTCCAATGCTCCCGTGAAACTTTAGCCACAGTGCGCGGATATCAAATAAATAAATGTGAAATGATTTTCGTGCACGGAGCGTAACTGCCAGGGAACTTTAATTACTCACGCCCAAATAACTTCCTTTAAAAGCCTAAAATCGAGTCGTTGAGCTTAAGTTAGCTTTATTTTCAATTTGTGCTCTATATTCTGGGTATGCTTTAAGGGATTAATTCACCAGATCTATGGGAATACGACGCTTTAAGCTAATAAGCGATCATGAAATACTCATCATATATATGATCAAAGCAACTCATTGTAGCTATAACACATGCTGCTAACATAACCATGAGCGCTGAATGCATGCAGTCAACTTTCTCATGGGTGCTATTTGATTCCTAGTTTGTAATTTGTTTGGAATGCCAAACAAGCTAGAATTAGCTACATTTAAAATACAAATTTCTAAGACGCTCTGAATCGAGCATAAATTAATGTATGAAAGAGGAATGTTTCATTTCTTTTGCTAAACCGGCATTGTAGGTTGGACAAATATTTAGTCTCTTTGAGCTATATGCTTGGTTTGTTTCAAGCAACAGACTAGGCTATACAGCAATCTGCGATAAATACAATCTAAGTAAAGCTCAAACATAGATTTCAACTGACTTCAATAACAACACCAGTGGTTCGCTCTAAATCCAGATAGGGCAACTGAAATATTTCAGTTCTCTGTAATGTGTAATTTTCGCTGAAATCGGATTCCGGTCGTACCTTTTATAATCGTTTGTAAATCGAAGCTCTAGTGGAATATTCAAAGAAAAAAGGCATCAATTTATTGGTTTCAACGAAAACTAGTTTTACAGTGGATGTGAGCAGCGTTCCTGCAGCTGCACGTTGTTATTTACAGTGGTTCTTCACCGAGACGCAGAAGCAATGCGTTGTGAGCGAGTGATTTCTTTTGGTGACTGAAAAATTGAATTCCATGTATGTAATAAGAATTTTGCGCTAAAACCAACCCGTTTTGTTTTTTTTCACCTAACGACAGAATGGCATGAAATAGGTCACGTTTTTATTGATGAAAATTTTGAACTTGAACCGTGACTGGAATCACGACAACGTGAGATGAAGAGTGAAAGAATGACTTGCCACTTAAATAAATACCTAGTTGATCGAGTTTTCCTCTACATTTGCAAGGCGAATAGATGATGTCCGCTAGAGGTCTAGTAGGCTAGAGATTGAAATATTCCCGAATGTCTCATGATATGGCACAGTGCCGGCCAGTTCAGCTTGGAACGTTATAATACTAGTAAGTGCTACAAACTGTGTCAGTTGCCCTTGGTTCTAGGTCAGTCGTTAAATGTAATTCGAATCTTTCCCTGTCAATGAATGCCACAAAATGCACTATTACCTTCACCTTTTACTGATTTCGTCATGAGCACGCGGCTGCAAAGCTGTTGAAACTCGGTCTAATCGAGAACCAAAAATATCAGTGATATCATCGGGCCTCTGTGCTAAGTCAGAAAGAATTAGTCAATTGTTTAAAGCGGTGCCTTATCTTTTAGCGTACAACAACTCAGGCATAGCACGCGTCGCTGAATGAATTTATTAACTGCAAAGCACTTCACTTGCTTGGAAACTCTGCCTATGAAATTCTATGATGTTCTTCACGTCAAGATTTTCCATAGAGAGATAATTTCTCTTGTTTTTCCACCCGTATTACTTTTCATTTAACCGTTTAAAATCACGAGAGATAAAACACTTCAGAGATATGCTCGGTTATGAATTCAAGAACAAAAAAAGGCGGGTCATAATATTTTTTTTTGAAAAGTTTTCTTTAGGTGGAAATAAAACCTTGCTTCAAGTTGGCAAAGTTTGGACTACAATGCAAATAAAGTGAAAGTTACTTCCGATATTTCCCTAATAAGGTTTAACCAAGTAATCAAGACATGAGGTTCCATGTCTTTTTATTTGCTCTGAACACATTTTCACCCACAGATTCATTTCCTTTGACAAGTTTATCCTTTAGGTACCCCGCTTTATCTATGAAATAGAAAGTGTCTTAAGCGTTCACGTTATCTGTTTATAATACCGCGAGTATTTTATGGCGCGCTTGAAATATCTTTATGAAGTTTTCTGTTTCCTTGTTTGCTTTTGGTAGCAGAATTCTTATGAGAACATGGGAGCTGTTCACAATGGAACTGAACATCCAGCCTTGCTATTCAATAACACGTTCTTCTTTTTGTCTGTCTGTCGGAAGCACATTAGAACAAATTAGAACGTTAGGTAAATGGCATTTCTCACAACATTGATGTCTCAATACTTCAAGAATCTGAGAGCTCATAAAAGCAATGTTGGAACCTTTGTTCTCTGCAGACAAAATCGCATGTCAAGTGTCATCATTTTCCATGAATGAAACTGGCGGTCAGTTTGCATGAAGTTTAATTAGTTTTCCCCCAGTTCATAAAACTGGTTTGACAGCCCAAGTGTGTGTTTTTCATCTGAACCGGGCATAAATGACTCCGTGTTGACAACTCCGCTTGTCCAATGCCACGCGTTCCATATATTGTTGTCCATGGACTTCATCTGTGTGAATAAAAACGAATAAAAGTTAACACATTGCCCGTACGTGTCAGCACAGGTGAAGGCAGGCAGATTAAACAATGCCACATTTATTACAAACGCGAAACAATTTCAATTCTTACTGTTAATGAGAAAGCGCTTTATCGTCCAGCCGGCTGAAAACCAAGGGAGTTTGTCCCACGCAAGTTTAATCCTTCTTTCTATTCGAACCTTGATTCCTCCCTAAGCTTTTCAATCAAGGACTGACCTTAAGAAAACTTCTTAACAATAACATAAGTCTCGAGGAAGTGCAATAATTGTAAAAATTCTGTATGTTCATCCCGGGAACCCTTAGTAAAATTTGGAATATTAAGGTGCTTAATACCAAGGTTAAAGTTGTTGCTGTTCGTATTGACAAAACTATTACCTCTCATGTACATACACTTAAGGTATAGAATTACACAAGTCTGGCGAAAGGAAATGAAAAAAAGAAATCTAATGAATAAGGCTTTTTTTCATCTTTAAAATGCAGTAATCACATGACGGTGGCGATAAAAAACCTTAACTTGAAGTGTACGTGCAAGCCACGGCAAGAGGTGAACTAATCTCACATATCGGGCTGAAAAACTATGCAAATATGAACGGAAAAGCAATTAAATTCATTATGAGACAACGTGGATGATAGCAGCTGGTTGAATATATAGTCAAGGGATATCCTTAAAAAGAGAATTTATACCAATATTTTGCTTTTTGCTTCTTCATCCAAGGATTAATTCAACCTGAACTTTTTACTCAAGTCCGAGGGTAATATTATACAATAAAAACCGATCATAACCTATACTAGAACACTTTATTGTAGTAGGGGGTTGTAACGTTTTAAACCAAGGATAAAACCTTTGTGTGTGACCATTCTAATGAAAGTTACTGAGTAGTAGGTTCATGTGGTCGTGTTTGTTTTACAGTACGAGGTGGTACTAGCTTGCACGTTTGTGTAACAAACCCCACATAGGGCGACTGGTTCATTCAAATGAATCAAGGCTACTTTGGGTTACATTTTTGTGGCTTTGATTGTTATGCTGGGAAAGGTGGTTGGAAATTTTAGCGTGTAAATGAAAGCTCTCGATCTGACCACGTACTGCCTTAATTAAACTTTACAAAGTATTCAGACTTTTAGTCTGTTGATAAAACCTTAGTGTATGTCAATCAAATGGAAGCTAGTCTGTTCATTTGGTGCTTTTTTTCTTTTTACTGCACAAGATGGCCCTAACTTTATGTCTTTCGATAAAACCCTAGCGTGAGACATTCAATTAAAAGCAATTGGGGAAGTTCTCATATGGTATTGTTCATTACTGAAAACGAGGTTTCTCTAACTCTAATACCTACAGGTTCGTGAGGAAAATACTAAAGATACAAAGAGTAGTAATTTCGTGTGGTACTTTTGTAATATGCTGTGCATGGTGGTTTTGTAAATTTTAAGCATCTGAATGAAACCCTCCTCAGTGACCGATTAGAATGATTTGTAACGAACAATGCCTGCGCGGTGTAAGCAAAAGTATCTCCAACTTTTGAGTTTTAGCTCAGAATTATTTTGCCAGGGCGTGATCATTTCAGTTGTAAATTTTGAGGAGGTACTTTTGAAGTTTTTAATTTTTTTTGTCATTAATATTGTGTTTTTTTTAAAACTAGTTTGGAGGTTGTGAGCAGTCTGTTCAGAAGTATGTCTTTCTAGACTCTATTTTCTTTGACAGTTTCTTTTCTTGACATATTTTTTTTATTAACTATAGAAGTTTATATTTCCATCAAATACAACCCATTTATTGCATACGTTATGGAATAAAAATAATTGAAACACCTGAGGACGACCGGAAAGCTTTCAAAATCATATTGTGGGAAATTAACTTTCAAAAACCCCTTAAAATTATTGGTGGATCGCGCTCTAAAAAAAAGTTAAAATAAAAATTAACAGAATGTTCACGCAATTTAATACGTGTCAGTTCCTTCCCGTCTGATGGCTAAAAATTCACAAAAACCCTACAAAAATTTATATTCACAAAGGTGACCCTGTTCTGTTCTTTGTGTCGAACACGGGTCATGGTGGCAGTGCAGTAATAAAGGTACAATGTTAGGGGTAATCTGCGATGATTGGACCCTCAGCAAGTTGAAGGTTGAAACGTCAAAGTATTTGTAAGTTTGGGACCACCCGCGTTGTTTTGAACAAAAGTTGAGCTTTATTACAACACAGTAGCTGTCCAATTCCTGACAGATAAACGGGAATAACTTTCTTGCTGTATTCTGACCTAAATAGCAGATAACAAAATACTAGAGGTAATTACTTTCGCAACAAAACTATATCACAAGGCCTCTATCTCGGATGGAATGACAGATTTGTTTCGCAGTCGCGATAAATTGCTTCCTTTTATTCCACGCCAAAATTACTTTTGATTAAAGCATGCGACTTCTAGATGAATTTTTCTGACAGGAAGTAACGTGAAAAATATTCATCCTCAATCATTTTCATCCCCAGGAAACGACAACTCAATTAGAATAACTCTTGAGTACGACACCTGTGGGGTACAACGTAATCCAAACTCGAGGCATGAGAGAGTCCCCCGTTATCATTGATTAGATGTTGTCTTTTTCCCCATCGCGGATACGAATGTATGAGATCCAGAAGGTAAGATGTTGGCAGTTTTAGCAGAGCCCCTTTTGCCTTTCTTTGAAATCAGTTCTTTCAAGATCATAGGACTTGTTATAAGCACGGCTGGGACTATACCACACCGCAGCCGGATCTGGTTTGTTATCTCATTTGGTCGATCATCCCAATCAGCTATTTGAACGTTTGACAAATTTGACCGAGTTCTTCATTTGTAATCTATACAGGTGTATTGTCTGTAAAAAATTGCATGGATCCCTCAACAGACTCCTTAAAATAGGTACAAGATAACAAAGTTTAACTCACATTTCATTCCATAAGCTCCACAGCAGAAGAACACCCTAAAAAATTTTCATGAAAATGTTCGATTTGGCGTAAGAGTTTCAGATACTTAAGGGTTATGATTCAAGTGCTGTTAACGTTCTCAATATTTTGAGAAAAATCCTTTTCAATTAAATTATCAGATAACTAAACATACCCTACATCTCTTATACTCATTCTTCAACAATCCAGCATGTGCGGTCTGTATGCATGGATATGCGACTCCGTTTAAAGTTTGTTTTGTTTTAATTTTTTTACGCTTGAATAATTTCCGGCTGAAGTGATATCCCAGAGAGTGAAAACCTCCAAATTGTTTCTGAGAATTAGCAGGAGAGATTTTACTACTTTCAGCTCAAACCATTTATAATCACCGGCTCCCTCGAAGGGATTTTCTAATTACCAAGAGCCCAGACTTCATTGTAAATGAAACAATTTGAGGTGGAAATAGCAAATAGATTTAGTGTGAGGTCAATCTTATTTCGGAAGTTCAGACGGTAAGCCTTTAATCTCCGAGCGAAAAATGTACTTTTGGCATCACCCTTCGCTCATGCAGTGTCAAGAAAGCTTTTCGAAAACCATAAAACACACTGATTTGTTTGAGTTTAGCCATAAAAGATATTTTGATGACAATATCTGCTTCGTGTCATGATGAGGCGCCAAATTGTTTTCCTAGTGCGTTCGGGTCAAAAAGTTAGTCCGGCCCACTATTAAAACTAGAAAAGGCTCAGACAAGAGGCGTGGACTTGATAAAGAGAACCTCAAAATAATTACCTGGCGTAAATTCTCATTTAACCGTTCTTTTCTGCACTGAGATTTTATCTCAAGCTTATGGAGAGATCACCGAGCTTGAACGAGGTTCTGGTTTGAAGAAAAAAGACTTGAAGACGTGGGAAATGATTCCGTGATATTTGCTATCGCTGACAAAATCAAAGTCATCGCAATTCTGCCCACTTGTCAAAAACGATAGTAGATGACGCCAAAGAGCTGTCCTTGTGACCTTTAAAGATGAAACTGAGATTTAGATTAACAACGAAAAACGAGGTAACGAAAACAATAACTTAATTGAGTAAACTTCATACTCCTCGATGAACTGCTACCTCAACGACGAATCGAACTGCATGCAAAGAAGGTTTTTTTGGGGGACAAAAATTTCTCTGGGTCGATTCATTGTGATGTGCGGTCGATACCATCAGTGAAATGAAACATTGACAGAAACAGGGTCTATACATGCGCTGTTGAAGGTCACAGAAACATCTTTGTCACTTTGATAGTAATCCCCCTAACAGGTATTCAAAACATTTGTGTTTTATTGTAGAAAACCTAGATGTTTGTTGAGGTCAATGTGGCTGTTTCCTGTGTTTTGAGCCACAGTAGATATGCTGATGTCCTACGACATTTGCAAACATTGACAAGACCGCACGATGCTTGGCAGGCCTTAATTATACGATCTGTCATATCTTGGAACATTCACAGGGTTTGTGCACCTTACAATCGGAAAAATAAATAGCGTAGAAGCTTACTTTAGTGTCAAGAAACAGTCCGAGAGGTCTTGAAAATCAGGACCACCCCCACAGTTCATTAAATAGTAATCAGAATATAGTGGGAGTTTCGGATACATAAAAATATCAAAACTACCGGCTCTGATCGAAGATTTCTTAAACTTTAGTGATGACCCCTCGAAAAGTTACTCTTAATATTTTGAGATGAATCTCAAACCAGACAGAAATGTTCTCGAGAACAAGACTTAACCGATTTAAGTCATATCTCCTTGAAATATCAACTCCGAATCAAAACAGGTTGAGATGCGTAGCGCTGAAGTAGCTGTCAACAGCTCGTGTTAAGGAATTAAAGAACTGGAAATCTGTTAAAACCTTTTAAGATACGATTTTGTTTTTAGATTTCAAGTCGACGTGAGAGGAGAGAGATAGGTCGTCAAAATGTATTGTGACAGCAGCATTTCAAAGCTTCACCCGTCGAGAAATAACAAAAGAACCTATTTTAATTTTGGCAAGAAAAACACCCATCAATCAATCTAATTTCTGAAGGTTTTTATAGGAAGACAAAGTTGTCAAGCCTGTCGACTCGAGTTATTAGCAATTCAAAATCATTGATTCTTTAATTTAAGCCAAAATCACGTACTGCTTCAATGAAGCAATAACGCAAACACCATGAGCACAGATATTTTTTTTTCTGAAAACGGTTCATTCGTTCCAGCTCAAGAAAACACTGGAAGAAATTGATTTCTAAACGGTTAATTGCTCAAGAGCTAATCCAGTTAACTGTATTTAATAAACAATTCGCCAGCTCCACCATTGAACAATGGTTTTCCCGCCCTCCTCTGCCGAGTTAATTCAATGTTTTGAGAGGCGTGAGGGAAAAAAGGCATTAGGATACGGGAAGTGGTCAAAGATCGTTCAATTACACCAGGATGGCAAAACGCACACCGGATTGGCAGCTCACTAAATGAGATTAAAACCTTAATTGGAATACGCTGTTAACGAACAGATAGTCAAGGAAAAGGCAAGGCCAAGTTAAAGGGAATCGTTTTAAGCCCTATAAAACCTTTGGCTTTGTCTGAAACATTTCAATGGCTATCATTTTAATTAACGTACATGTCAAAGGGGTGACATCTTTTTATCACCCTAAATAAATTCTCCTCAAACAGTGAATAATAACATGTGTTCTATGTCAATTCAGGCGAGTCATACATGACGTGTCTCAAGCTCACTCATTAACCAACCCACACATTCCTACCTACTCTTTGATCTGTGTACAGTCAATAGGCCAGCAGCCATCTTGAGTAGCGTCCGTCAGGGCTCGCGTTATGTCTTCTTTTTCCGTGAAGAACATCCTCAGCTTGCCGGAATCGTGTCTTCAAAGCTGCTCCAACGCTTCTCCACGGGTTCCTAACATTTGCCAAGGTGTTAATCTCTCCCCCGATCGTTCTACAGGATCTAATTGCATAATAACGACGATGCCTCCATCCGGTCCGCAAAGCCAAGACAACACTTCGGGTAGGTACAGGGTTTGAGTCTAAATTCTGTTTTTCATGCCACAAATTTCCTCTGAGATTTGTCTGTTTTGAGCGCAGATGACACAGACAAGCGCTTACTTACCTGTCAGGTTATGGTGAATCTCGCACCAGATTGTTATTCGATTTTCGTGACCAAGGACATGAAATGTCATCTTTGTAAGTGAGCGTCATCTGTAGAGAGACGCAGTGGAAAGAAACAAGCTTAAGAGCAGCGGTTCCATATTTTGATACTTTTTAAGCCACAGGAGATGAAAGTCGGTGCTAAGCAAATTAAAGATAGGCGCGATTATGCTGAAAATCCTAAGAACGCCAAACTGCCATCATAAATTACGAGTTTTTTTTTTCCCTTGTAGTTTTTTAAACTCATGTAACTCACCTCTTCGGTTCACGCTGCTTTCGATAGCTTTTCTAAGTAAAGAGTAGAAACTTGTATAACATAAGAGTCATTGACTTCGGCTCCGCCTCGCTGGTAGTTTAAAACCAAATCACCTCTTAATCGGTGTTATCGAATCTCATCAAACGCCTTTACCCGCTTTCGTTCGATTAGGTCCTCGACCACATCCTGAGATGAACGAAGACTGTGCAGGGAACGACGTGCTACAGCAAGCTCCAAAAATCAACAGAGATGAGTCTAGCGATGTTCCAAAGAAAAGAAAGCGACGGGTACTCTTCACCAAACACCAAATCTACGAACTGGAAAGACGATTTAGATATCAGCGCTACTTGTCAGCCCCAGAAAGGGAACAACTGGGACGGATGATCAACTTGACGCCAACACAAGTCAAAATATGGTTCCAGAATCATCGATACAAGCAAAAGAAGCAAGCAACAGAAGCAGGAGAGTTTAAAGATTCTCACTCGCTCTATCCCAGAACTGTGCCGGTGCCTGTTTTAATCCGCGAAGGTCAGCCATGTTATTCGAGTGATTTTGGCAACTCAGTGGGAAATTACTACCCAAACCAATATCAACCAACATATGACTACTCAAACTCTTACGGGAATTCTTATTCCTACACAGCACCTATTTCATCCATGAACTCGTCCTGCATGCAAGCGTACTCATATTGTAAATGGTAAAGAAAGAGCAGTAATGTTTGATAAACTGTGGAGGAATTATTTCACAATGAATGACTATGCAGTCTTGTTTTGGCCGTTACAAGATGACAAGCTAAACCATGGCCAAGAGAGACCATTGAAACTGTCGATCAGTCGAGAAAACTCGACAAATTTTTTTTTCTCCCTCTCTAAAACCCATTTTCTGTAGTTTTTGGAAGAGAATCTGTAAAATATCTCTAAGTGCCTAACTGTAATATTGCCGCAATTCTAAGAGTTGAACATTTAAATCGCATCAATTTTGTCAATTACACTGTCCACGAAAATTCAAGTCTGATACTTATATAGGGATAAAACTGTGGCTCCCGTTCGGTGAAGGTGACCAAATTTCTTTTCCTTTTGTTTGATCGTGACATTTTTTGTTATTAGTAGTTAGAAAATGACATTTTGTTTTGCCACTGCCATTAATAGATCTATTCTTCGAGACTTTCTCTGAGTTACTTCTCAAGTCAGGGGATGGGTTACATTTCACAGGATTAAGTAACATAAGCAATGTCTTCGAAAAAAGACCCGCAAATGGATACACAGTCTTTCCTTCGAAATGCTATCAGACAATAAAAAGATAATGGAGCAGATTTTTCCAATGAAGAGACAACCTGCTCAGTTAAATGAAGAGTATCAAAGGGCGTGTTTGCTTCATCGACCTTCATTTGAAAACAGACATCTCATTTATGTTTTGTATTCTGGTAGACAAAAATCCTTAGTGGTTATTTCTTCTTCTGAAAAATGCAATGAGATGTTTTTACGATTTCAAATAAGTAATATTATAGAAGAAGTTTAAAAATAGGAAAATATAGAATTTTATGACCATATCGTTATAGATTAATTCATTGATGAGATGCGAGTCCTTTAGAAGGAAGACTTTGTGGTCGGTAAACTAATGTAATACCTGTGATTCTACCGATGTATTCATTCTATTTATCTTCTATGCTTTCGTTAAAAAATTCGTAAATAATTTGATGATCTGTTCATCATCTCCTTTAGTTTAGGAGCACAAGGATGCAAGACAGTTTTAATGGCCAAATGTTTTCCACTCGTGGTCTTTGGTTGCAAACTTTTATTAACAATCCACGGGTTGGAAATTAGCTTCCAGTACACAGATTCATCATCTTAAAGTTGCTACAGAATTCTTAATTTATTTCATTCTAAATGTTTTTATGTGGTGCGTAAATCTAGAAGGGCACTTCGTCGAACGAGTAGAATTTAAACTTACCATCAAGTTTATGAATGTGCAATTAGAAAAAATCCATTGTAGTTTGGTTGATGTAGCTCAGCTTCTCTGTTCATATATATCATCTGATGTACATATATTTACATCCATGTTAGTATGTTACTTTAGATTCGGATGAGAGCTCCACAATAAAACTTCATTCGTAAGAGAGTATGCAAGTGTCGGTAGTGTAATTGCGTGAAAAAAGCATGGGAAAGGAACAGCTGACAACAACAAAAATCCTTTAATAGGAGGGTTTGTTTCTCAAAAATATAAGTGCAATTCGTTAATAGTTCAAAAGGATTCGTTCTCAAGCGAAGCATTTGAAAACAAGATTTTTGCCATACTGGTGAGAACATATGAAGGCGGAGAAGTACTTAGATCTATGTTGAACGAAATGAAGAGCTCTCTCTCACTTTCCTTATCCTTTTGACGAATGCTGATCGGTGAATTTAGGACAAAGTTTCAAAAGGTAAATTGTATTAAACGCTTTTCTTTTCGATTTATCGTTAGAGCCAAAGGAAAGTACAAGCTATTTAGAACGTTTTCAAAAACTGGGCCGTGATTGACTATTGTTGTCATTTTGCTCTGGTTGAAAGTTGCTGTATCAATGAATGTATTCAGTTTGAGCCAATATTAGAGAGAAAGGTCATGATGTGCAAAGCCATAAAACTTTATATTTTAGTATAACAATTGATTAGGGTGAAACGAAGAAGCGTAAAAAAGAAGAATAGCCAACGTTAAAGCAACGATTTTAAGGTTTTTCAAGGGTGGGCGGAAAGAGGCTGGATCAACATCCTGAGGCAAAGAGAACATAAGTTTTGCAACTCACATTATAAAGCTAATTACTTCTCGCATGGCTCAGCTGGTCAGAGATGGAAACAGATTTTTCACCGCTTTAAAAGTATCCTCCTTTGACTCGCGGTACCCTTTTTAAATTTTAAATCTCTTCGCGTTTATTTATTTATTTATTTGGTATTTTAGAAGGGAAAAGTATCGAGTCCCTTCTAAATCGTTCGTGGGAGATGGGTCGGCCATGCATGATTCCTCTACCTTCATTTAACTTGGAAAAAAAATACGAACTTTTAATCAAAACACTGCCAAAAGGGTCAGATCTATAGAAACTGTCGCCCTAGCTACTTTTCTTACATTAGTAAATATAATCCTAAGCTTTTAAAGACTTTTAAGAATAAAAACAGCTCGGGAGGAATTCTATTCAATGTTTATTTTCATTTGGTATTGACGCAGTTTTAGACGGTAGTGTTTAAAGTCAATAATACCAAGACCAACAGCATTCTTGTCCTCTAAACGGCTTACGAAAGCTGTTTTAACATTTTGCTCTTTGGATGCTATATTTCTACGGGTCAAAAATCAGGAGATTTTTTCCTTAGAACCGGCGCCGGTTCAAATAAATCTAATTTGTCATGCTGTGAGAGGAGGGTGTGATGTCAACCCACAGTGGAATAATACCCCCACCCTGTCGATAGCTTTTTATTGGGATGATGATAGCAGATATTTCTGTCGCATGGAGAAATTTGAACCATAAGTTTTATTCCGCAAATGAAGAACCATCAAACCTAATGATTTGTCTGTTATCGGGGTTCATCGTATCAAAAACACCAAAATTGAAAACAGTTTAGGCTAAACTATGATTGAGTGCCAAGTTAATTTGGAGCAGATTAGTGTCTTTTTACAGACGCGTGGTTTTGTCTGTGGCTGACCTAAAAGGAATCTCAGTTGTCGTGATCCTAAAAATACAAGCAGAACACGAAGTCTGTGTGAAGAGGCACTTATTCACTTCATGGTTCCTGCTGGTTGCGTATCCGTCATTCTTCAAAAGAATCACAAGTGCTTTGTTACCCGAAATTTAAAATGGACGAAACGAAGAGAATGGAAAACCAGTTGCACAATTGACGGATACTTGAAGTTTTCTTTTCAGTTCCATGTGCACAGGGAAATTAAATCCGTGAACAATACTGAAAGGATTGTTTCTGTTATGTGCAGCCTCTTAAAGGTGGTTTTTAAGGGTGGTTTTCTTCAATATTCCATTGAAAGAATGAATACTGGTCCGAAAATGAATGTACGGTACGTGGATCTGCTAAAGAACTGAGAAGTACACGGTCTGTCTGATTTGATTTGGTTTCATCTGATGCTATACATATAAGTCATTTTTTTTTACTCATAGTCCTCTAAGAATTATTTTATTTATTATATAGAGGTGTATGCTAAGAGAGAATTAACACATTTATCTGAGATCGTGTGTGTTTCTTAGGAGTCTCAAGCAAATTGAGCACGTTCATTTTAACCGTGCAGTTTGGATTTTTTTACAAACGTATTATCATAGTCGTTTAACAACAACACCCAGTGATATTAAGGACGAAAATATCTTCGGCCCAACTTTTACATAAAAGCAAATGTCAATAGGGTACTAACTTTTAGCGAAAAAAAATTCTTCTTCTGAAAGATTACTGCGTGTGATTCTTATTTTGTGTTTTCATACTACTAATTTAGAAATATCCCTATTTGTAAAATCTCAGAGATTGATTATTTCTGAAAATGCTTTCCATTTGTCCCAAAGAAATCCCTCGAGCACAAGACCTCTACGAAAATATCAACGTTTAGAGATCGGAAAAGATATAATTTATTAAAAAGGATGTTCCACGTTTGTGAAAGCATTGATCAACTCTTTCCTTGGAGGGATATAATTTGGGCGTTTGTATAAGTCTAACTCAATGCTAAGTTAATGTTAAACAGTGCTAACAATTCAATGCTGCCTATACAACGTGGAAAATTTGCACGAAATGTAAACGTCATTTCCGAGCAATATAAAAGATCTATATGATTAACTGTAACACACTCTATGTTTCACAAGGGCTTTGCGCTTTAAGGAGCTGTGAAAATCTTTATGGGATTTGGGAATATTCTGATGCACGCGTTTTGGATCCCTCCTGACTCTCTAATACGAATAATCATAAAGAGCTGTGAAAATCTTAACGAGGCACGTGTTTTCGATCCCTTCAAAATGTATAATACAAAATATTTGTGCTACACTCCTGATCTGTGTGTTCCGTCTAAAACGATGATCCTCTGAGATCTTTTTATAAATATGCTATTTGTTCTGTTTATGTCAGTGAACGCACGGCAGTCACTAAGCCGAGGTCTTTGATTAAATAGTTGCATAGAGCAGAACCATGGCAAAAAAATGACAAGAATTCAATACAGCACTTTAAGTACTTTAACCATATCCGATGAATTTTCCTAAGTTATCACGAAACGAAATAACAGTGATTTCCTTCGGAAAGCGAACGCATCCGAGAAAACTTAGTCAGGTTTATGACAGTTCATTTCATTGAGGACGATTTTAATGTGTATTTTACCTAAGAGACTTCCTCGGCTTTAGGAATATCCCTGACCCATGCAAAGCGAGAGAGCGAACCACTTATAGTGCCATAAGAGACGCATTGAAATACTCAGGAAGGAAACTGCGAAGTTCCACTGTGAACCAAACCCCGTGTGTTGCACTTTTAAGATTGAATATTATAATCGGATACCTCAGTAGGGACACTTCCTTCTCATGTCCTTAATAAACTTTGACTCGTCCTGCTGCGCTCTCTGGCAGTGTTTCCATCCTTGTTACCAACGTGAGCAGCCAATTAGCGGAACGTGAGCTCGTGTACTGCTGGCTCTGCGCTTGTCAGCGGTAGTTGTAAGAATGTGTATTGCGTAACGTGCAACGCCTTACGTCACCTCCTCGTTTTAAAGAATAGAACGCCTCTGGTTGTCCTCCGTCTTGGACACGTGTTGAAGTATAGAGTTATTGATGTAATACCTCTGTTTCCCAGCAATATCTCATTGATTTTGCCACAGTAACCGCAACTGGCGAGGGACCTGGCAACCAGAGGAGATGAAGAGACAAAGAGGAGCGAAGAGGTCTTTTGATACTGCTCAGTATTCTGTGTTGGACTTCTTTTTAGAGTCTAAGTCTTTTTGAACTATGCACATTTGAAACGACTTGGCTTAACAGAAAAACATTGGTTGCTATCACATAACGCTCCTTACTTCATATTCCAGAATCCTATAGAGTTGATTCATACACTGAGTCCCAACCCACGCTGCCAAACCTTTTTTTTTTGTATTAATATTATTATAGGCAGGCATTAATTTCAAACCAGAATTTGTTTTGTTATTAACATTGACGCAAAGCTCACATCATAAGTTTTAAAAGCATCAGTTTTTATGTACCCGTGTGTGACATGAAAATGAAAGCAACTGAATATAGAAACTGCTTGAAGTAAAAAAGAGTTTACAGTGATCACAAAAGCTTTCTTCCCTCATCTTTGTCACGTAGAAAATAAGCCAGCTTCGAAAGTAAGATTTAGGTCGTGCTTGCTTGTTTATTTAAAAGTTTTCAGGTTATTTATTGTTAATAATAACTCATACAAATTAATATTTTTATGCCGACTCAGAAAAAAGCCGAAAAAATTTACATTATAAAAACTCACCATAATTCCAAAAATCATTCACTGATAACCCATCTTTCTAAATTTTTAATGTCCACGAGACTTTAAGTGGCTTCCCTTTTTTCTTCAAGAATATGAAAGGAAATTCATTTAAACTTCTCCATTCACTTAACTGATCAAAACGTATCTTTTCAATACCAAGAGGTAAATCGTGAAACTAATGCAATGCATTAATTGCAAGGGACCGATCATAATTTAAAACCAGCAGGGAGGGGGAGGGGGGTTTAGTGGATTTTACCGGTGCCATAATAAAATTTACGTGATCCCCCCTAAGTCTCTTTAAGATTCTAATTGTCCCACCTCATTGGTAGTGTCTATAGTCTTCCTCTTTTAACTGTTAGTTACGACTACTCCCTTCTCCGTTCCCCCGCCCCCGTCCCCCTAAAAACCACGTGATCCCCCGATTCTCCCAAGGGCGATGACTAACGACTGATGTCTGAGTAGGATTTTCTATCAGAGTAATTTAGTGTTAACAACTGAGCTGAATGCTCAAATTGGCTACAGGAAAGAATTAAAACGCTGACGTTTCGAGCATTAGCCCTTCGTCTGACGCACTACAGTTTCTTTAGAAACTTACCTTCTTTTTTCTATCATAGTGTTGCGGGCTCTTAGAGGAATCGTCACGAACATATTAAAAAAGTATCGATTCAAGTCGCTATCGGTGAGGTACTCAGAAAGTGGCCAGAAGTGCATAAACAGCCAAAGCCTGAAAAAGCCATTCTCCTTGATCGTGCCGGCTTGCAAAGCCCTGGATAAAGTAAAGCCTTATACAGGCACAAGTGGGCCCGGTGCTTAACTCCGGTTTCCTAGCATGAAGCGGCTAGGAGTATTGCTTCTCCCCCCTGGATGGGTTGCTAGTTCATCGCAGGGTAACCCCCAGCATATTTGCTGGTACCCATTTGTACACCTGGATTAAGAGAAGCACTGGGAGAGTAAAGTGTCTTGCCTAAGAACATAACACAATGACCCCGGACAGGGCTCGAACCCGGACCACTCGATCCGGAGTCGAGCGAACTGACCATGAGGCCACCGAGCCTCCACAATTTAATACCATTCCAAAGCCCTGGATGGAATGGGATTAAATTGCAGAAAATTCACAAGGAATTCTGCTGTATGCCAGCTAAACGGCCTCAGTCCAAAAAGCGACAGAGAAAATCAAACCAATGAGAAAAAAAGATCCACAAATAACCTTTGCCGTGACCATGGCGTTATCATTCCGGCATCTCCCCGGGATTTTTCATGATCTTACCCACACCCCGCTAGAATCCCTCCGGAATCTAGCCCCTAACGGGGGAGGGGAAGGGATCCAATGTTGTCACCTTGGAGAGACAAGAAATTTTGAAAACCATGGTCAAAGAAAAGAACGCCGCTTCGAAATCATGTTCAAAACTGATTGCTCAACATTACAAGCATTTACTACAGATCATACCTTCTGTAAGAGACATCAAAACACTCTTTTGGTGTAATTGTGCTGAACACCAGTTCATTACAAGAATGATTAAGAGTGTGTCCCTGACCAGAGCACTGGTTAGTCGTGCTACATGCCATCTCACCGATTTCAATGAAACTTTGCCAGTTTAAAGGGTCTACCCCAAAACTCAAAAAGACAAAGCGGTTTCTGTTTGGGTTTTTTCCAGGGGGAGATAGACCACTCCCCCGGTTTTTCTTGGTTTTAAGCAAGGAAATCGCCTCAAGAAAGGTAAAATGTATGAAGCTCCCACTGCGATGGTATTAAACCAATTACTCTGAGGGTTTGCACACATACTATTACATCCCTAGTAAATGTCCGACGCAAGTATCAGTCAATTTGATTGACGGCTTGTCAACCAACAGAGGCAAATTGACGACTGTGTTTTTAGACTTTTCGATTCATCCAAATATTTGACAACTTTGAGTTCAAATATCTCCCCTTGCCAGAGAGCTACAACACTAATCTTAATTCCCCTTTATAATCTATCATTTCATCTCTGAAAACCATGAAAAAGAATCTTTGGGCACTACCGTATTTTTGTCTCGGATGCCTTTTAAAATCAGCGACTGCGACAACTTAATTCTCTCAACTACACTTGTCACGCAATTCTGGCTCTAGCCGGTCACTTGACTCAATAAACCTACATTTTTTATCTCTTCACACAAGATGATTATCAAGAAAGCTATGAAATATGAAAAACTTTCGAGATTTTTCGTAGGAATAGAAAATTTCACGTTTAGAGAGATGCATGTAGGCGAAAAATCATTTAGAAAATCGCAGCGTTTCTTTCTTCTGTCGTTTATTACTTTGGAGATTTGCTAAAATCAGCAAGTAGGGCTCTTGTACAGAACAAAACATTCATTAGTCTGTAATTTGATTGTTTATTATCATAATCGCACAGTTCACAATAAGGAAACTGTAACAGGAGAGGAGATTTTCAAGACACATGTCGCGTGCTTGTTGACATACAAGTTCCCGTGTGTAATAACTTTAGCTTTTCCAGACCGCGGATGACGGGAAACTCTGCCCCCTTCATTTGAAAGGAAATATCAAATAGCCCCATAAAATTCATTCACTGCGCCATGTTTCCAGAAAATAAGACTGAAAATGTTTTTTCCACTTTCCACCACCAAGAAATTCCACGCAGAAATAGTATTTGTAGCGTGACTGCGTGACCTTTCATTAGAAATAAAAATTGTTTATCTTTTTTTACAAGAAAAAACTTCTACAAAATTCTTAATCTTTCTGTTGCTTTATTTTCCTGTTTTTTGACTGCAAATATCGTCTACATTTACTATTATTTTCGCTAATTGTCATGGCCTTTCCTGCGTGCACGTCCAAGCCAGTTCATATACAGCGCTCTTTCAAGTTTCTTTGCGTGGTGTCGGGCCTAAGTGTGTTGGTCTGACACGAAAGATATCTGCACGCTGCAACACGGGTTCCCATGTTTTCCCCTTTTTCTCTGTATTTTTATTATCTTTCTTGCATTATCACACATGTATGTTATTTTAATTCCCTCAGCGCGTTCCCTCAGATTTGGAAGTAGGCTATAAAAAGTCAATATTTACCAGAACTGAAACCTTTTCTGTCAGGGGGTCAATGTTTTGTGACGGCCGAAGATAGACATCTCTAAAACGTTTCTGAGACTCTTAAAGAGTTTATACTACCGATAATATTTTCCTCCTTCTCGCAACAACGCAACAGACATTGCTAATCCTATGTAGTGTAGGTGTGTCAGTTGTATTACGTCTTCATAGTGATGCCATACAAGTAATCGAGTTTCTAAAAAGCCCTTAATTCAAACTAAAACTTGAATTGATAGAGTTAAGATAAGGCAGTTGTCTTGTTCATTTGCAACTAACTGTAGAACCAAATGTTACTTTTCTCGCGCTGACCAGGGACGGCAACAGCTCATACCCATAAATCCGTGAGTGTACAGCATAAGAAAAAACATCTGAGAGACATTTATGTATCCCAAACATGAGTTTCGTCCAAGAAGAAGGTTGAATTGACGGCAACAGCTCATACCCATAAATTCGTGAGTGTACAGCATAAAAAAAAACATCTGAGAGACATTTATGTATCCCAAACATGAGTTTCGTCCAAGAAGAAGGTTGAATTGACGGCAACAGCTCATACCCATACATTCGTGAGTGTAAAGCATAAAAAAAAAAACATTTGAGAGACATGTGTGTATCCCAAACATGCGTTTCGTCCGAGAAGAAGGTTGAATTGACGGCAATAGCTCGTACCCATAAATTCGTGAGTGTACCGCATAAAAAAAACATTTGAGAGACACGCATGTATCCCAAACATGCGTTTCGTCCGAGAAGAAGCTTATTCTAGCTCGTGTTGGCTTATTTGGAGATTACGTAGGCCTCGATTTCACTCAAATATCGTGCACAAGTTGATGTCAGATTCAGACCTTCGGGTTCGTAAATGCCAGTATCCTCCTCATAAAAATCAGAGACGTAAAGTTGAGAGAGAGGTAAACCTGAAGATGGCAGAAGAAATCAAAGTTGGTGGCGTCTTCCTGGTGGCGAGGTGACTGTAAGCCTAATAGAAAGCGTACTGTAATTGCTATCTTAGAGTCGGCAATGAATAAGTAAGAAGGGCAAGAAGAGCGCTTACCTGAACATCAGTTTTCCTACCCGGTGATTTGTGACTGAGATGAACTTTATATCATATGATTGCTAGGGATACGCAGATACTGCAGAGGCGCTCACATAAATAGAGGTGGGCGATCCTCCCTCTAACTTTAGAACTGCGACAAGTTTATAGTGCAGACCAACTGGCACAGTTTGGAGGCTCATCACATCAGAAACCTCCAAACTAATCGTAGAAGCGGATGGTTATCAGCAACGTGCACAGATCTCTGAACGCGGGTCATCGCGAGAACTATACCCAATCCGTCACAGGCAGAACAAGAAAGCGAGATATTCTTGCTAAGAGGAAGGATGTATTAAGACGTTTCAGTCATTCACTGCCATCCAAAAGAACCTTAACAAAGGCAAACACAAAGTGAAGCTGACAAAAAATCCGACAATGATAAGATCAAGAGGAAATGGACGAAGACTTCCCATTCTGTAGGGGATGGCTACGTTCAAGGTCGGACCGGCTCAGGTAAAATTTTGACGAGCAATCCCTAACTAGCCAGTTGGACTTTGGATGGCTCTTTGGAAAACACAAAAAACAGCCGCCTTTTCTCAGAAAACAAAGAATTATCTCCTAGACGTGTGCTGGACAGGGGAGGAAACTAGTAAGGCAACTGCCTCTAATGTGGCAAAATATTGAGTTTAAGAGAGGACACCGGCCAGAAATGTTGTCTGAAACTGACTGGTTGATAGAGCAGCAAATCGCTCGATACTTCAGCCGGTTATCTGCCGTAACAAAAATTGGTTATTGATGAGGTCCCCTCTGTAAGTATGAATGAGGACGAAGAGGCCGATGCCGATGATCTAGCTACAGAGGTCGAAACTGACCGAACAAGGCAAAAGACATAGAGGGACCTGGCAAAATTTAGACAGCAGGAGAGGGTACAGATGATATTAAGCTAAAAAAAAAATAAGGACCTTTGCATCTCACTTTTCTTTCTGATGTGATTTTGGCGAAGAGAAACATATTTTGTCAGCGTCTAGTCGCTAGTGCGGAAGGGCCCTTTACCACCGTGTGCATAATTACGCGTCCCCCCAGACGGTGGAGAGCCAACAAAGTGTTCAGACATTACTTCAGAAAACTCCGCCTCTGACTGAATTTTTGGTAGCCTATTGACCAATTCCCAATCGAAACTTAACTCTGACGTCACGCGTAATTTTGCTCACGGTGGTAAGTAGCCTACTTACCGAAGCCAGATTGTATGAATTTTCCAGACATCTTGAGTACTATCTGTGATACACGCTTGCTAATTCCCCTATCAGCTTTTGGAATCGACTTAACCCTACCTTCACCATGGCCGGACATTTCTTTTGGAACCCTACATCTGCTATTGGAACCACGATTCCACCCAACACCGAGATTTGATCAGTGAGTGGGGCAATTTGTAAAATCATCGACATCTTTTGGCGTCTCGAAGATGCCGGTGTCCCAGCGGATTTGGAACCCCCTAGATTTGGACCCCCCCGGTCCAAATCCGCCAGCGGATATGGACCCCCCTCCGCGGATTTGGACCCCTCAACAAAACTGAGTGAAAACATCATCCTTAACGTTCTAGTAAAAATGGATGACACTTTACGTTCCAGAGCGTACTAAAGTATGTTTTCAATTCAAAACATGCGTATCGTTAATGCATACGAACTGGCATCCCGTCGGATGTTTCTTTTGACCAAGGGAAAATGGGCAAGAATTTCGTTTAATGTCTGGAGAGAGGTCGTTTTTGAACCTTTTCCGCGATAGTCGAACACCGTTAGATTCAATAAGAAACAAACTTGTGACACTAATTTATTTTGTCATTGTTCAAAGCCCGAGTGTTGGGACGACATGGTACAGTGCGAGGGATTTAAGACTGCCTCGGAGGACGAGTGGCTCTGCATTGTCTGCAGATTGCCAGACTCTAGACGTCTTCGTAATTGTTAAGGTGTTATTTCGGATCCCTCAACAGTTAATAATCGTTAAAATTAGAAAATAAGATTGAGTTTGATGTAATAGTCTCCACTTTTGTTAAGACGTTGACATTAACGTTGATTTGCATCTGAGAATAAGCTGAGAGTTCCAATAGTTCAGAATAGAAACATTTTTACTTATCATACACTTTACGAACGAGTAGTTTCTTCGTTCTTGTTCAAAAACTGTGTAATGTTATTATTTTAGAAAATCAGACTGAGTTACTTTTGTGACTGGACGCAAGTCTCCACTATTGTTATGACGTTTCGTACCAATGTTGATTCGCATCAGAAGAAGCAAAGATTTATTGTAACAATTTCAATAGTTCGAATGCAGTAGTTTGTTCACATCTAATTCTTGCGTATACTGTTCGACTCGCTATGATGAATGCGGTAGAATTGGAACGAAATGGCTGTTGTTGTTTTTTTTTTATACTTTTATTGAGGAAATGTTGTGTTGTGATTGAAAAGAACATCGACAAAAAAGCTTGCAAATAGAATAAGTTACCAAATATGATACAAAGGATGCTTAAAAGGAAAGCAGGTAATTTAGTGTTAACAACTGGGTTGAAAACGTAAATTAGCCACCGTAAAGGGTGGCTAATTTACGTTTTCAACCTAGTCGTTGACACTAAATTACCTGCTATACTCTCCCACCGACGCAGCACCACAGTTTCTTTAGAAACTTACCCCTTTATGCTTAAAAGGAAAGTTTGGTAGGGGGGTCCAAATCTGCGAAGGGGGGGTCCATATCCACTAGCGGATTTGGACCGGGGGTCCAAAACCGCGGGGGGTCCAAATCCGCTGTGACACCGGCACGCGACAAAACAAGATCAACTTCATTTTCTGGGTCTAAAAACTTGCAACTCCGCAAGTGACATGAAATATCTTTTTAACAATCACGCAAGGGAACGACTTGGTTTCTCGATAACTAAACCCACAAGTTCCACCAGCGAACAATTTAACTAAATAGCAAATCTCCATGTTAGCATGTAAGATGAGACGCTAATAAAACAGATCAGTTAGCTAAATCAGTATGTAGCTTGTCAATCAAATTAACCACTGTAACCATACTTTGACTTCAGCCGGCAAAGGAATCATCGATGGATCTGGACATTTTAGTTTTCTAAATGCAGTAATTCCTGAAAGGTTTTTCTAGATGTCATGCAAAGAGGAAAAAAACCCATCTCTTGGTATTTCGGAGGTTGATTCATCTTTGAATTTCTGTGTCACGCTTGTCACGCAACTGATATAATAAGTTAGAGAAGATATATTAACTGGAACTCAAATCTGGCTAGAATGTGGCAGAGCATGATTAACGTGATCATCGAAACAGCTGACAAAATCATAAATAAACAAGATAAGAGTGTTATATGTTAGATTTTTTTGCAAATTGTAGTGATTTATGCCAGTAAACGGTGGCGACAAGTAGGTGCACCATGTACATTTCATAGTCGCTATCAAGTAAATTTTACCGGACTTTGAGTTCGTCGCAAGATAGAACAACGCAAATACACAAGGAAATTTTTATAGTAATTTTATAACCATCCTTTGGTCTTATAAAAGCTTGAAGCTCAGTAGATTGTGTCATATCGGTCATTGTTAAAACTGTCTTTGTTTAGATGCTACTTTTCGACATAGGAAAAGTATGTCGGACAAAAATATTCACCAAAAAATAAATATTTCTTTGGCAGCTTCAATAACGACAGGAGATTAAGTTTAGATGATAAAACAAAGGATTATGTTCACAGAAATACCGTAAGTCTAGTACATTCGTTACATGAGGTCACACAACTCGGGTAATAATCACGGTGAAAATTTGCATATTTGAGCGGTCGAACGAAAAAAATTATTTCTCGAAAACTAAAATATATTTTTACAAAAAAACTACACCACAATTATTAGAACATATTGGGCTACAAAATATAAAAGTAGGAGGGAAAACAAATTTGGGTGACTTGCCGCTGTTTGTTTGATGCATGCTGACATTAGCTCTTAATATATTTTACAAGTCACGCAATTAAACGCCGGTAACACTCGATCGAGAGAGATGCAGATTTACATGTGATAGAAGAATCCTTGAAAAAAAAAAATGCAGATACTTTACGATCGAAGCAAGCAAATAATCATAAAGATCTGCAGATTATTATGTTATCTAGCAGACAGCATGAACAACGCGCTTGAATAATTCCTACGGAAAGCTTTCTGGTCACGCAACAGATGTTAGTTCTGCGGATTTCTGCATGGAAATGTGCGATGGCGGTAAGTGACGACGACAACACTATTTTAATTTTATTTTCGGGATAGTAGCACAGTTTTTCGTTTGATAGAGCTATTGATATTTGCTCTCAAGCGAGAGCGCAGAATTTCTCGTCTGTAGAAGCCAAAGTTGTAGCACACTAAAACTTGTAATAATGTCAACCAACAAGCAGCATGTGACTTTAAAATCTCCTTAAATTTGCGATAATGATTATATACAATCAAATTATAGACTAATGAATCTCCAAAGTAATAAACGACAGAAGAAAGAAACGCTACGATTTTCCCATCGATTTTTCGCCTACATGCATCTCTCTAAACGTGAAATTTTCTATTCCTACGAAAAGTTTCGAGAGTTTTTCACATTTTTTAGCTTTCTTGATCAATCATATTGTATAAAGAGCTAAAAATGTAGGTTCATTTGGTCAGGTGATCAGCTAGAGCCAGAATTGCGTGACAGGTATAGTTGAGAGAAACTTGTCACAGTCGCTGATTTTAAAAGGCACCGAGACAAAAATACTGTAGTGCCCAAATATTCTTTTGATGGTTTTCAGAGATGAAATGATAGATTATAAAGGGGAATTAAGATTAGTGTTGTAGCTTTCTAACTGTTTTTTTTTTCCAAGAACTGAATGAATAATGAAGTATGGGGCTATGCAGAAATTTTACCAAAAATGGTTCTAGGTGACTACTTCACAAACCTCGTGATTTTCTGCGAAAATCACTCAAACGCAATTACGGATTAATTTGCATAAAAGTTCAGTGATCCATATCACTTTCAAGCGCAAAAAAAAGCTGGTTGCACCATGCTAATATTAGTTGAAAAATATCTAGGTTTCTCTCTACATCGGAAGTGACTTTCTTTGTTCTACTCCTTTCGAAAGCAACGGGAATTTCTTTAACATTTCAACCGGTGTTCCTGACTTAAAAGAAACATCATCTTTCGCCTAAAAAAAAACCATCTTTTCTCCATTATTAGCCAAAAGCATCTCATTAACATTCAAATGTTCGAAAGAGTTGAGTGCTTTAGGGTTTAACTGGCTTAGTTACTGACCACAAGGCAACATCCGACCCAAGGGTGAATCGATAGACGTCGTTGATTCTCTTCAACACCAGAAATTTATTTTTTTGCCCAAGTAAACCTGTGTCATTGGTTGAAAAAGATTGTCTTGTCGCTTATAGGTTATTAAATAAAAAATTTCTTTGGGGCCACAACTACCCTACCCTCCTCCCCCGAAAAAACAAGCAAACAGAAGGATTTTATCTATTTTAGGAAATTTACTTCCTGAGGGCAGGCAGGCCAGCAAGTGCTTTTAGCACTGCCAGGTGCGTTTTGTTTATTGTGGATCGCACTGGTGTATACTTTCATTTTTCAGCCGTCAAAACATAAAACATATCATTAGCACTAACTCTAATAATTAGCGCTTTTAATTGGAGATTTATAGCGGCGTTTGGTGCAACAACACAAACGATTAGGTTTCAGCACTAACGATTGACCATTTTAGAACGGACTCCGGCTAAACTGATTAACAATTACGATTTTTGCTAGTACTAACGGGTGAGTTTTATCACTAGCGATTGACATTTTAGCACTAACGACTGAGTTTTTTTTACTTGCAATTGATATCTTAGCACTAACGACTGAGTTTTTTAACTAGCGATTGACAATTTTGGCACAAATAACTCTCCATAGTTATTGGCGTCTACATATTCCCTGTTCGTTAAGACTCAAAACTTAAACATTCAAACTTCCTCTTATATGATAGGCAGCTTCTACCGGTTGTTATCTTCAACGTGGTTCAATTGACCGGTTCGGTTTATTTACCCTCGAATACTTTTTCCTGGAAGTCAGATTTTATGTCTCGTTTGAATCAGTTTGAATTTAACTCTAATCATTTTATTCAACCAGGTGCTGCTTACTAAGATAGAATGTGATCAAACGAACGAAGTTAAAATAATAATATCAAGGTTTAGATCATCATTTTTTAAATTTTGTTTACTCATTGAAGGATCTTTATGTTGCTTCCCATTTTGAATCTGTTGATTTTTATTGGCCTTTTTCGATTGACTGCTAAATATAGTCCGATTACACATATAGATTGAAAACTTCCTGTCATTTCTCGGAACCGCACTTACAAAGGACGCTGCTGCAGCTTCTGGCTTGGTTTCAGAAGACGAACAATTAGTGAGAGCGTAGTTGAAGTAGCATCCAAGAACATGAATTCAGGACGTAAACTGCACTTTTGGATTCTCGTTTTCTTATTCGTGTTCTCAATAGAAGAAGCCATTGATGGTGAGTATGCGAAGGAAACCCCGAATCACTCATAAGTTTCACTTTCTGAGAAAACAGAACCTTTTTTGACGCATAGATTGCGAATTTATCTGGACTTTTTTGAACATGCAGTCATTTCAACAATATCAAACCATAATTGAAGGCAAACAAGACGGTCTGAGTGAGTTAAATTGATTTCAAATGACGCTAATAAGAACGTAGACAAAGGCAGAATCACCGTTGTAAAACGTAAACAAAGGCATCCTGCGACTTCCTCGGCGAGGTTTTATCCGTTTAGTAATTCATGAAGGAACGGATTGAGTATATTGATTTTACAGTCGAACTAAATCGTGATTTCTTTTGTTTGCAACAGAACTAAAGATATCATAGTCAAGTCAGTATGGATCTAATCCGCTATTCAAATTCGGAACTCGCCCAGACGAGTCTGAACGCGTATTGTGTTAAACCATTCGTTTCACCATTGAAGCGATAACAGAATTGAAAGGAACTTGTGAGTACTAATTTGCTCACGAAAACAAAACCCATACTTAACTGTAAGGATTCAGCAAAAAACCTATACCAAAGAGCTGATAGAAATCTCATTGCAAACAGGAACATCTAAAATGAATGCCGATATTTTTTCAAGATGACCCGAGTTAATGAAGTTGGAAAGCTGAGAGCAAAAAATGTTCGTCATGAAAATTTCATATGAATTCGACAACTATACTTTCATTGATCATTGGTACAATTTGAATCGTCTGTTTCTTTTCAGCATATCCTCAGTTCACTTGTGGATCTCATGGAATAAAACATGATATCAACCAAACAGGAGGTAAGGGTAATGATAAACTCAGAAAAAACCCGAAACCGGAAACGGATAGAGAGTTGTAAAATTTTCCTTTGTTAAATTCAAGAACTAGTACGCTTCGCCGCAATGATCGACTATATGAAAAGAAAATGGGACGCAGACCACAACCGCGATGGCAACGAAGACGTGGCAAAACATAAGATTTTCTGAGAAAGGAAACCCTGAGGGCTGTTCATATGCGTTATTCGGCAGTTGTTGCGCTGCAAGAGATAGTAAACACTTCCGCCATTCCCTCCGACTTCGACTTGCGCTTGTTCCCCACAATTGGATGTTAGATCTTTTTTTTTTGTTTAGGATTTTGCGGCCCCGAGAAAAAAATCTTGGAAAGGAACTGAAAAATATCACATCCCTGAAAGTGATGTGATTGTCCAATCAAAAGCCGACGAAAGCTACTAGGAAAAAATCCCGAAACCGCAGCGCTAAATTATTGACTTCCTTCATTGTGAGTACTGTTGCACGAGCGACTCAACAAATGTATTGTTAGCTCAAAAGGTTTCATGAGTGGAGATTCCCAATAAAAGTTTTGTTTCTCATAGCCTTCCCTTGTGCAAAAGCGAGTTAGTAGGTCAAAAAAAATGAAAAAGACAAGGACAGAAGCAAAACAATACAACAAGGCGGCCGAGTTCAGGGAAGCCGGAAAGTAATTATCATAAAATGAAGATAATTTTTTTAACAAAACGGAAGTGCTGTGTCGGTTGGGGTCATGAAAGATAATTTTTGCTTTATCGACCGAGTCAACTACAGTAAAAAACCCGCGGATAAGAACCTGGGTTTTAAGAAGCTGTTAGGCTAAAATTTTCATTTTAAACCTCCTTCACATGACAACCTATTAAGGCTGAAATTTTAAGTTAGGTTCTAACCAGTGGGGTAGCTGTAAAAGTGTACAGAATAAATAGAAACTGATGAATTAAGATCATCATCTGATTATATTTAAAGTAACTTGACATAATATTTTTTTCTTTCAAGTTAAAGTACTGTGTTGTGTGTCTATCGTGTTTACCATTCAAATAATTCTTCAAGTATTTGCAAGTATGGCACTCTACTAATATCAAAGAAAGCTTTCTGACCATCTCTGACTCTGTAAGAATCACAAAATATTAAATATAAAACATAAAAATGTATGCCAATGAAATAAATAATGGCAAAATATCAAAACGAAGTAAGCTCCCAATGGGCAATGCTTTAAAGTGATAGATCCTTGAGATACAGCATATCAATTGTTTTTGCTTGTGGCTGATATATATATATAAAAGATAAGATAAAAAACACTCATTGTTCATACATATATGACCAATGAGGGGTTTTTTTTATCTTGTTAAGCTTCCTGTGATCCGCTGACTCTTACTCTTACTGATGTTGATATCATCAGCAAAGTCCTTCGTCCATAATTTCATCGTGAGCCTTCCCAGATAGGACTCATTGGCCACAAGTCTGTAGTCCACAGGGATTTCAACCCCTTTTCCTTTCTCAGCATTGAGCCTATTTCCAATGCATTCTGCTTCACGTTCTCCAGAATCGTTTAGGAACTTCTGAAAGAACTTCGATAATTCCTTTGGTGCATGACTAACAAGGTTTCCATCTTGGTTTTTGACCGCCACAAGACATTTGTCGTAAGGATTGACGAGCTCCATTTCGCATGATCATACCTCAAGGGCTAGAGCCAAACAGTTTTTAATTTTTTTCATTTCTCCTAATTGCTCGTTAAAGTGTCACAGAGAACTCCAAAAAATTCAATACTGTAGGTTGATTGCTTGGAGCTGGTTATGGATGTACTGTATTTATCCCAAGATTTTCTTGGAAACTTTGAAATGGCATTTCAGAGAACTGACTATGAGTTTGTTTGACCATATGTTTTGTTAAGGACATACCTGCACTGTGCTGCCTTTAGGCATTATGGCATAAATTATTCATATTGTATTATGAGATGATATTTATAATATATTTAAATAATATTCATAAGAAAATATAAGAACTTATTTTAGGAACCTTGATAGCCTAAATTTGCCTCAAGTACCATTTACATAAGAACCTGTTTAGGCTAAATTAAAAAATCCAGGTTCCTATACGCGAGTTTTTTTACTGTAACGTAAATTGGCCACCGTAAAAAGTTCCTGAAGCTGATGTTTAGCTTCTTGTTGATGTAGAAGACGTAGGACAAGTCAAGATAGAACAGCGCATCATTAACTTATTGTTTTCCTCTTTCTTTTTTCGTTTTGTTCTTTGTTGTTTCACGTCAACTGTTCTAAGAACTTTAGCTTTATTAACTGAGTTGATAACGTTAATTGGCCACCGTGGAGAATTTTAAAGCTGACTTTTCGAGCGTTAGCCCTTCGCCGGTTGAGCGAATGGGCTAACGCTCGAAACGTCAGCTTTAGAACTCTCTACGGTGACCAATTTACGTTAATCAACACAGTTGATAATACTTAATTACCGTGTTACACTCTCTCACCGACGCAGCACAAAAATTTCTTTATAAACTTACCCCCTTTATTCATGTGTCTCCTAGACCTAGTAGGACCCTGACGTTCGAGCGCGAGCTCTTCGTTAGAGTGAATTCCGCTCTGACAAAGGGCTCGAAAAATTACCATAAGAAAAAGCTTGACATAAGGGTGTAGAAGTGAATCGATGATTATGTACATATGCGGAGTAGTTCCCAGAAACTGTCGGGTCTCACCGTTTATGGATTCTGCTTTTTAGGTGTCAACGTTTAAGCAATCGAGTATATATATATATATATATATATATGTATCTATGATATATATACATATGTATGTTTTCCTTTTTTCCATTTTGTGTAGACCTACCTAAGGTGACTTGTCTGGCTCCAAGCCAGACTGTACACTTGGATGCGAATGTGCAAATCGAGTGTGAGGTTATCTCCAGTACTTATGCTAACATCACGTGGTTCCATAATGGAAAATCACTCAGTGAGAAAAATAAAAGCTTCGTGAAGATTGACAGACTGTCCTGCGGTCAAACGCTGAAAATAAAGTTTGCCGGGAGAGAGGATAGAGGACAATACACATGTGCAGCCACTAACAAGTTTGGAACTGTCAATAAGACATGCTCTCTTGATGTCAGGGGTAAGGCGTTGTAACCCTGGGCCGACTTGTTCAAAGCTGGGTTAAGATAACCCAGAGTTGATGTGAAATTTGATCTCAGATCTGAAAGCTTTAAAAGGAAATTCAGTAAAATTCTTTTTGTTTACAGTTTCATGATTGGATGCCACACAAAGAATAGGTAAAATTATCCCGAACAGGTTTTTGAACGAAAGAGTGAAATAACCTGGATTAAATTCATTCGCGGGTTAGCGCTAATCAGCCTTCGAACAGCTGGGCCCTGTTGTTTCACCATGATTTAGCTAAAAACCATAAACTATAATGTTCGGTGCCCACCCCATTTGCTGTGATATTTAGTGCTTCAACCATTAGCTGTAATGTTTGGTGACTGAACCATTCTTATTCTACCCGATGCAGATAAAAGTTACAAACCTCCTCCACAAGTGGAATACGTGAAGATTGATGGTAACCGCCAAACAGCCTATCTGCATGGAACTGTTACACTCAAATGTAAATTACTTCATGTCGAGGCTGATGCTTGGCTGTTTAACGGCACAAGGGTCTCACATGGTGGTCGTCACAAAATGATACGGGAAACCACTAATGCCAAACATAAAAGGCTGTTCGCCTTGAAAATAATTAACGTGACTGAAAAGGACGAGGGACGGTACACATGTTTAGCATACAGAAGTGGCATATACCAAACAAAAGATCTTGTCCTCAAAACAGGTTTGCCAGACATCTTTTAACTTTAAAAGCTGGCGTTTTGAGCGTCTGCCCATTTGCTCTGACGAAGGGCTGACGCCCGAAAAGTCAACTTTGATACTCTTTACGGTAGCCTATTTAAGTTATCAACTCAGTTGATAACACCGAATCTCCCTGTTATACTCTCCCACCGACGCAGCACCATAGTTTATTTAGAAACTTACCCCTTTTATTCACGTTTTAACTTTCTTCACTTAACAGTTCGAGTAAAGAAGCATGGAATCGAAGCCACATAGTTCTTATCTCCGCTGTTTCTTCTGTGCATGGTTTGAGAATTCAAAGAGTAACCCAATACTTTAAAAATTGATTATGTGCTAAAGTTACGACTAAGACACAGACATCTTGGGATTATCTCAAAAAGAGGGCCGCATGTGCAAAGCAACAACCCGAGTTTCCCAGACAGATACCTCCCTAAACGTCGCAAGAAAAAAACAATTATTCTAGTCAAAAATTTATTTTTAGATATCTTAGAATCGTTCAAACAGATTTCCAAAAGATGGAGAAAAGAGGTTAGTGACCGAGGTGTCAGCCACGATCCAAAATGGCCATCGTGTTCCACTTTTTATATTCGAAAGGCCCAGTTATCCTAACAAATCACAAAACGCGGTAAATGTCATAACTTCCTTTAAGAATAAAAAGAGTACGTTATTCTATGAAATCCCTTTACGCTTTGAAGTATAAAAGGTTAGAGCGGAGATAAAACTATTTGGTTCTAGAGCGTACTCTTCCTTTTGAGAAACTTTTACATTCGTCATGTGTCCGAGCTTGGAACAATGACGAAATCTAAGTCCCCAAAAGGAGTTCAACCCCGGACTTTTGGATTTTATAGAGCTTAAACATGACGAGCCTTACAAACGCTTTCATTCTCTTACCAGAGCCTTGTCCAAGCTGTCATCACTGTCCTCCCGAAGGAAACCAAGCTTTTCCTATCTGTTCGTCTCCGTCTCCGTCTCCAATTCGTCTCTCAACATCTGATAACGACCATGATCCCAAAAGTAAGTAACGAATGACGATAATTCCTTTAGAATGAAATGCTATTTATAAGAATGCACTTAAGGAGCCCAACTATGACGGCTTTGAGCCAGCGTGAAGTCAAATGTACCAAATTTTAAACCGTCGCAGGCAAGAGAATATCAACTGTGATATTCTCTTGTCGGAGGCTGATAAAGCAGGGATGTGAAAGGGGGAGAATCAATAGGTAATATAAATTCAAAGTTTCTCGACACCTCGGAGATTAATGTCACATAACGATTTTGGGCTTGGTTCGATAAGAACATTCCACGTGCATGTAGCTCGCAGAGACTGAGTCATTTCTGTTTTATTCGAGAGATGTTTGCTAACTGTTAAATCTGTCGTATTAACTTTCTGAAGCTAACATATCGCTTGTTTTTAGAGGAGCATGAAACAAAGGAAGTGAATAAAAGACCCAGCCCCAATGGCAACAGAGGATGTAACTTCCACAAACCAGATCCCGTGAGCATATTATTGTTCGCGGTGTTAGCTTTTTCCTGAGCAAACGTAAATAACAGCTGTAGCGCACATTTCAATTGAGTGTCGTAAAACCAAAACTGAGCCAATCAGATTAAGGGAAACTATCGCAATGAGAGAGAAGTCAAAGAACGAACATGGAGAGTGTCTAAATCGTCGGAAAAACGAGAGTGACCGAGACGTGATCGATTTTAGTCTTTCATCTGATTGATATGCAGAGCAATGCGAATTTTTTTTACTTAGCATAAAGCATAATAAGACAAAATCAATGCAACCTCGGATTTCTTTCGGTAATCAACTGAAACATGAAAATGAAAACGTGAAAACGTCAAGTAAGAGTTCGCTGTCTGAATAAAGCCCTCAAAGGAATTTAAACCTTTTACTAAAACAAGAAACAGTTTTAACATCAAGCTTTGTTATTCCTGGAAAGTTCAGTTATTTAAAGACAGACTACATGAGTTGTAACTTATTCCTTAGGCATGAAGCAGCTTTTAGAGGATCTCAACGGGGTTAACCGTTTATTTAGCCGTTAGGCGTAAAAATTGACATGTTTTAACCGTTAGCTGTAAGAAAAGTTAACTGTAAAAATTTTCCTTCCCTTCAATGTGTCATTTTGTGTCATTTTGGGGTCACCGTAGCCGTAAATGACCAAAATTCCGCTCTGGCAATGGGCTAACGCTCGAAACGCCAGCTTTTAAACTCTTTACTGTGGCCAATTTACGTTATCAACTCAGTTGAGAATACTGAGTTACCCTGTTATACTTTCCAACCGACGCAGCACCACAGTTCCTTGAGAAACTTACCCACTTCATTCACTTTTTAACTTTCACACACTTAACTGCTAACGAAGCATGGAATCGAAGCCACATAGTTCTAATCTCCACTGATTTTTCTGTGCATGGTTTGGGAATTCAAAGAGTAACCCAATGATTTAAAAATTGACTTTAAATGTGCCAAAATTTTGACTTAGACACCGACATTTTGAGTTCGTCTCATTAAGAGGGTCGCATGTGCAAAGCAACAATCCGAGGTTCTCAGACAGATACCTCTCTAAACATCACAAGAAAAAAAAATTATTCTAGTCAAATATTTATTTTTTTAGATATCTTATAGTCGTTTAAACAGATTTCCAAAAGATGGCCATCTCTGAACCATCCTCTGCAGAACAACACTGACCTGAAATCACGAAAACTAGTGTGGTCCGAGAACAGAAACCTTGACGGCTGTTCATATGCGTTATGCTTAAGTTGAGGTGTTACGCTGCAAGAGATAATAAAAACTTCCTGCCATTCTCCCCAGCTTCGACTCGCGCTTGTTTTCCACAAATGGTTGTTAGATATTATGTTTTTGTTTAGGATTTTCCGGCTTCGAAAAAAAAATCTTGGAAAGAAACTAAAAAATATCCTAGGAAGTAAGTTGCCACTTTTATGGAATCGAATCCTTTGGTGCCAATGTCAACGTCAGATAATTTCCACTTTATCAACCGATTCTGGGGTTAAGATAACCCAGAATTGATGTGAAATTAGATTTCAGGTTTGAAAGCTTTTAATATAGTATATTTGATTACAGTTTGACGATTGTATACCCCACAAAGAATCAGTAAAAATTTCCCCAAAGAGGCTTTTGAACAAAAGAACAAAAATATCCGGATTAAAATTTATCCATGGGTTAGCACTAATCAGCCTTCGAACAACTGGGCCCCGTTGTTTTACCACGATTTAGCTAAAACCATAAAATATAATGTTCGGTGCCCACGCCCTTTGCTGTGATATTTTGTGTTTCAACCATTACCTGTAATATTTGGTGACTAAACCACTCTTACTCTACCCGATGCAGATAAAGAAATCAAACATCCTCCCCAAGTGAAATACTTGAAGATTGATGGTAAACGCCAAACAGCTTATCTGCATGGAACTGTTACACTCAAATGTAAATTACATCATGTCGAGGGTGAGGCTTGGCTGTTTAACGGCACGAGGATCTTGCATGATGATCGTCACAAAATGATACGGGAAACCACTATTGGCAAACATGGAGGGCTGTTCACCTTAAAAATAATTAACGTGACCGAAGAGGACGAGGGACTGTACACATGTATGGGATACAGAGGTGGCATATACCAAACAAAAGATCTTTTCCTCGAAACAGGTTTGCCAGACACCTTTTAACTTTAAAAGCCGGCGTTTTTGAGCGTTAGCCTATTCCCTCTGACGAGGGGCTAACGCTCGAAACGTCAGCTTTTAAACTCTTACTGTGGCCAATTTACGTTATCAGCTCAGTTGATGATACTTAATTACCCCGTTATACTCTCCCACCGACGCAGCACCACAGTTTATTAAAAAAAAACTTACCGCTTTTATTCACTTTTTAACTTTCGCACACTTTCAGTTTCGACAAGTCAAGTAAAGAAGCATAATGATTTTGGATTTGGTTCGATAAGAACATTCCACGTGCATGTAGCCTGCAGAGACTGAGTCATTTTTGTTTTATTCAAGAGCTGTTTATTAACTGTTTAAATCTGTCGTATTAACTTTCTGAAGCTGATACATCGCTTCTTTTTAGAGGAGTATGAAACAAAGCAAGTGAATGAAAGACCCAGCCCCAATGGCAACAGAGGATGTAGCTTCCACAAACCAGATCCCGTGAACATATTATTGTTCGCGGTGTTAGCTTTTTCCTATAGCAAACGCAAATAACAGCGGTAGCGCACATTTCAATTAAGTTTCGGAAAACCAAAAACTGAGCCAATCAGATTGTTGCACTCTGTAATTGTCACCTTCGCACTCACATAGGACGCACAACTATGCAATTAGCATAAGCACGAGTACCGCACTTTGTATAAATTATAATGACTTCGTAATGAATAAAGGGTTTTGAATAACAAGATGAAGGGAAAGAACATGGAGAGTGCTCAAAAATCGCGGGAAAACGAGAGTGATCGAGACGTGGTCGATTTTCTTTCATCTGATTGGTATGCAGAGCAATGCGAAATTTATTTACTTCACATAAAGCGTAATAAGGCAAAATCAAGATTAGATATCTTAAAATCGTTTAAACTGATTTCCAAAAAATTAAGAAAAGAGGTAATTGATCGAGGTGTCAGCCACGATTCAAAATGGCAACGTTCGTGTTCCACTTTCTATATTGGAAAGGCCCAGTTATCCTAAAAAATCACAAAACGCGGTAAATGTCATGACTTCATTTAAGAATAAAAAGAGTATGTTATTCTATGAAATCTCAATACGCTTTGAATATAAAAGGTTAGAGCGGAGATAAAATTATTTGGTTTTAGAGAAACTTTTACACTTTCGTCTTTGTTTCGAGCTTGGAACAAAGACGAATTCAAATCTAAGTCCCCCAAACGAGTCGAGCCCCCGACTTTTGGATTTTACAGAGCTTAAACATGACGAGCCTTACAAACGCTTTCATTCTCTTACCAGAGCCTTGCCCACGCTGTCATCATTGTCCCCCCGAAGGAAACCAAGCTTTTCCTATCTCCTTGCTTCCGTCTTGCAACAGAGGACGTAGCTTCCACAGACCAGATTCCGTGAGCATATTATTGTTCGCAGTGTTAGCTTTTTCCTCTATCAAATGCGATTAACAGCTAATCAGATGAAGGGAAACTATCGCAATGAGAACATTGCGCAGAATTGTGTGACACATCCGGGATATTTACGGGTGCAAGGGTGCTAAATTTAAAAGACCGAGACAACAAATGGCATGACACAATGAAGAAAAATGGTAGCAATAGGCAAAGGTCCCCCTGCGTTTATTTTTTCACAGCTTAACTATATAAAATTTCGAAAGGGTTGCATATGGTTTTCAAAGAAAAGATTTTCATAATAAAATAACGACCATTTTTCACACGGTATCATCTCTTTAACCTTTACCAATTTTGTGCTCAACTTGACCTACTTTAGGTAGAGTTCAGCATGGGAAATAGCTGTATGATAACTTTGAGGCCAAATTTCTCCTAAATGAAGATATCAGCGCGTTGGGTTGCATATGGACACGTTTTCTTAAAAAGTATAAAGGGCTCGTGTAACATATGAAGGGAGTCCGATGTCTGAAAATAGTATCAAATCCAGCATTTCTGGAACATACATTTTCTCTTTTGATTCCTCGCCGTCCCAAGGGCCTTTGGGAGTTGAACTGATTCATTTTGAACCTCGCGCGTGCACATTAATGACTCTAAGCTCCGCCTTTATGAACACTGGCAATGTTTAGCCTCATTTATTTACTTATTTAAGCACGAAATCAGTAATGGCTATAAAATGGTGGTAAATTTTTGAAATTTAAAAAATGATAAGAACTTTTACATCAAGTTAAGAGCAAAAGGACAACGTAAAAAATACGTACGTACGTACGCACGCAAAAAGCACGGGCTAAACAACTAAAGAAAGTTAACGGAAAATGAAATTTATCGCCCGTTCACCTAGCGTATTAGAGACTGCGATAAACGAAAGCTTACATTTTGTGGTCCAGCGACTTTTTTTTAAAGTATTTAATTGAAAGTAATAAGCGACGTCACTGCTTGCATAAATTTCTCAACTGTATCTAGTCCGTTGAGACCAGTTAACTTAACCATCTTCATTCACAAAGCATTCGAAAGAACTTCACCAACAGTCTCCTCGCTGCTAAGTAAATCAAAATGTGTTCCGTTCAAGAATTGCAGCGAGTTGATCGGGAGCTCTTTTCAGAGCTCATAGAAACCCCGATCAACCCTGCATTCTTCCACATGTCTACTCCGTTTGTTGACGTTACAACCCGATGTTCCACCTCCAAATCAACGGAGAGGGACTGTGGCAGTTGCGAGGGTACGTCAGCAGAAACACGGACGTCTTATGTGCAATTCTTCAAGATAATTTGTCTAAACTTGGATACCAGTTAACGCAGTCATCTTCTTTTCGAGTTGGAAACGTTGTGAAGAACAGAGCACAATACATCGTCAACAAAACAAGGAACACGAGTAACGGCAGCATCAGAAAAGCCATGCGATCCGCATTTTGGTGTAAAGTTGCACTTCATCCAAGAACATGGAGAGTGCCTAAATTGTCGGAAAAACGAGAGTGACGGAGACGTGATCGATTTTAGTCTTTCATCTGATTGGTATGCAGAGCAATGCGAAATTTATTTACTTAACATAAAGTTTACTAAGGAAAAATCATTGCAACCTCGAATTTTTTCCGGTACTCAACTGAAAAACGCTTATGAAAACGTGAAAACGTCAAGTAAGAGTTCGCTGTCGGATTTCTTTCGGTAATCAACTGAAACATGAAAATGAAAACGTGAAAACGTCAAGAGTTCGCTGTCTTAAAGAAACCCTCAAAAGAATTTTAACTTTTCACTAAAACAAGAAACAGTTTTAACATTAAGCTTTGTCACTCCTGGAAAGTTCAGTTATATAAGGACAGATTACATGGGTTGCAACTTATTCCTTAAACATGAAGCAGCTTTCAGAGGGTCTCAATGGGGTTAACCGTTTATCAGCCGTTAGGCGTAAAAATTGACATGTTTTAACCGTTAGCTGTAAAAAAAGTTAACCGTCAAATATTTTCTTTTCTACAACTTGTCATTTTGTGTCATTTTGGGATCACTGTAGCCGCAAAATGCCGAAAATTTTAGCGTTAGCCGTAAAAGCTATCACCCCAGTGAGACCCTCCTTCAACATTAAGTTTTTTGAATACAGTCGAACCTTTATAAAGCGGCACCGTATTAAGTAGTCACCCTGTACTAAGTGTCGGTTGCTAAAGTCCCGAACTCGTTTCTTCTTAATTATCGTTCATAGTCACCCTTTACCAAGTTCCAAAGGCCTATCTGTATCGTCCTCCACTTGTATTAAGCGTAAATTTAAAGCCAAACCACCTAAATAAAACTAAGAATATCCTTCAAAGTAAAATCGAAGTGAGTAATAGTATTGTACTTTAAGTGGACGGTTAATTATGGCATAAAATGGCGTTGTATGTCGTTTTTTACAATGCCCCTAATCTGTGGAACCTGTATTTAGCGGTCAACCTGAATTAAGCGGTACCCCTGCCAATCCCCGTGGGTGATCACTTAATACATAATCAACTGTAATTATGAGTTCAGTCATTTGAAGATATACCACAACGTTGTAAAGATTCAAAAGAGGTGTTATTAGTAACTTTTGTAAATATAAGCTTCCAGAAATCGTCAGACAGCTGAGTCATGCTGACTTGCATACCATAGAACTTTCCAGAATATTTCATCATGTCACGCATTTATTAGGTAATACCAGGAGCACGTCACTAATGGACTCCTGGTAATACCACTAAGATAGTTCTTATATAGCTTGTGGAATGTTATGATCCCGTAATAATGTTATATGTTTAGGATGTGAAATTTTTGATTCTCCATAGTGCTGTCAGTAATGGTCATTTATTTATTAAAAGAACAAGTAAGGCTGTTTAACTTTTACTTACCCTTCACTTCATCACAATTTCCACCGTTTTTCAAGAGTTCATTTACAGTAATTTAGAGACCAGTCGCACGAGGGAAGTGGGGGAAAGTTACTGAAAGGCAAAAGTTAAAGGGTTTTTGTTTCCAGTACATAGCAACTAGACACCTTGCAAGGGCGGTAACAGAGTGCGCAAGTGCTTCATATAGGACAAGAAATGACACATTGCTGTTAAGGTTTGAAGTTTACTGTTCGCAACAGGCTACATGAAGTAAGTGATAATCACGTAACAAAAATATGAAAAGAATGCGTAACCAGTGACGTGGCGTAACCTTGTAGATATTTTGTTGTAAGATCTGTCGTGTTAAGTCCTTGTTTGGTGGGCGAAATTCCTTGAGCAAACAGAGGGACATTCAGGACCAGTTATATTCGAAAAAGCAACCGTTACAAGAAAACTTATCGTCGTAGAAAATTACGCGTTTTGTAGACCGTTGTGAAGGAGGGCCTTTGGTGGCGAAGTCAGGTTATTTTGGTGAGTAAAGCAATGTTAAATAATTAAGTTATTCATTCAGAATAGAATTCAGTTCATACGCGCTCACATTTCACCTTTCTTATGGACCTTTTGTATTTTATTCATTTACAATTTTCTTTTAATCGACGCGCAGTCAGTACTGCGGGGCCAGTGAATGAGTTGGTAGATTTTGCAAATCAGTTACAAAAAACATTGCATCATCTGAATTTTCCTCTCGTTTCAATTTTTAGATTCTTTGTGTTTGTTTAGTCTCCATTTCATTTTTGTAAGCCTAATATTGTAACACCCCTAATAATATACATGGAAAAATTACTCAGTTCTGATTGGTTAAGATAAATGCAGTTTTCAGGTAATTCAGTGCAGAAGAGAGTTAATTCAGTGCAGAAGAGGTTTAATTCAGTGCAAAGAAAGAAACAAATCAGACATTCTGATTGGTCAATAATCAAAGAAAATCACAGATAGCCAATCAAATGCGAGCCTTGGATGTCGCAACAAAATTTGAAAATTTGAAAATTTGCGAGCGAAACAATAGCCGGCGTTTTAAGTAGGCTTTCTTTTGCCACCGCAGCTGAAAAACAGCTTAAACAACGAAAACACTGTAAAAAGCACTGCTTTTTGGTTGTGGATTTGGAAAAAGTGGTGTTTAGAGAAGGGAATTGCCGAGGAAATCGAAAATGACGAGCCGACCCAGCTTAACACTTTGCTCGAGCGATCCAACGCCGAAATTAAAAACAAACATGGTTAAACCTCGGAAACGACGATTCCATTTCATCGAAAGTGATTCGGACACATCAAAGTGAGGGTAAATGGGGGGATGAAAGACTGGACTCTTGTCCATACCATACGATGATTTCAATTTTGCGACCTCATAGTTCTTGTACTGTGCATCATGTGGATGCCAACTGATTCCATACACCCCAAAACAAGAAAGTTACTTTGTGACAAGTAGAGAATAAAGTATCAACTGAAAATTCTAGGGGAATCATTGTGGAAGGCTACATCAAAGTCCCAGAGGGATTGTTGTTAAAAAGAGTATCAAAATCGTAGGGGATCATAGATGAAGAGAATATCAAAATCCCAGGGGGGATTATTGTGGAGGTTATCATCAGACCCTAAGGGATAATTATTAAAAAGAGTGTTGAATCGTAGGGGATCAGAGATCCTCGGAGGATGCAGTAAGAAACCAATCGTGTTTCCCTCAGGCTTGGACATCTCAAACAAAGTCTGCTCGTCTCTACTGAATTAGGTCTACAAGAAAACAGGGGGGCGGGACATGAGATATCATTGTTCTCGGAGTATCAGACATGGTTAGTAATTTTAGATCGATTCCCATTGAAATAAGGGAACTCAATTTCCTAATCTGATTATCTTCTGTAACTGTGTTATCAAGATATCTTTTAGAGAGAACAGTTATTACAGTGCTTCAACGAGAAACGAAGACAAAGCTTAACGAATGGGACACGTTCTGCGAAGTCAAAATCCTGAATTCAGTCAGGAGTGCGGAGCTAAATGGGCCATGGCCAACTAGTCATTATTTTAACATCAGTGTACGTCTTGGAGAGCAAGACACTAGATGATCTTGCTGCGAGTATGTAATGTAATTGCCAGCAGATATTGGTCGAGCCTCAGAGTTAGATGGGGCCGTCTACATTGGCAACATGAGGAAGAGTTGAAGACCAGACCAACACAGTCATCTTAGTGCGATGAAAAAACGAACATGGCTAAATTTAATGACTGGAGAAGGCCTTGAAAGGTGTTAAACGACCCTCTTAGAGATAATTTCAGCAAAAAGAGTGACAAAAATTCATTCACACGACCCAAGCTTGTCACATTTATTCCTTTATTGAAGGATTAACGGCAATATCGAGGAACAATGACCCCAATGGAAAAGCTGAATCGCGTGTATCATTTTACGTCGGCAACTTTTACGTATGCCAAGATCTTTCTCAGTGTCCATCAATCTTGTTTACTCCGCGGCTCGTTGTTAGAATCGCTCTAATGGATATGTCTTCATACATTGGTCGTGAAAGCAACACCGTAACTTTGTACGGGCCGACATGGTAAACACGACACTGTTTTAAAGTCATAACATTAACTAGGAGTAATCTTGTTTTATGAAAAGTACTCCCCCATCAGCGGTGGAACACACCGCAGATTACTAAAACTACAGCTGAGATTAAAACCAATCAAAGTTACGTGACTGAAGAGCAGGGAAACGGATTATACGTACATTACGTCTAAGTCCACACGCTGATCTGCTGGTAATGAAAGCTTGTCAAAAAGTTGTACAAAGTGTAAATATACATTAAGTAAATTACATTCTTCGGGCTTTTGAAACTGCTCAACAAAAGGTCGTTTATTCCAATAATGCCGTGCGTGGTAAACAACATTTTTCATCTCTAGCCTTTCTCACAAAATATCGTGTAAAATTTCACCATGTCCATTGTCCCAGCGAAAGCAAATCTGAGCTTCTCCATTGAAAACATTCTTAAGGAAGAAAACTCTTCGGAAAGCTCTTATTTATCTAGACCTGATGATAATAATGATAATAATGATACAATAACTCTTCAACAAGGAACCTCTTCGCCTGAGAGATCTTTGAACAGCGATCTTCCATGGCTGGCTTATACTCGTTATTGTCCGCCCAAAATCCCAAGTAAGTGATATGAAATCTGTGTTTTCGTGTGGATTCTCAGAGGTGAACTTGTCAATGGCTGTGATAAAGTTGAAGGTTTGTAATTTTCAATTACGAGCTTCAAATAAGTAAATTCAAGGAAAAATGACTTAAATTTTGAAATAATAGCAACAACAAAAAATACAGGACTAAATAAAGCTGAAGAGATCTCCATCCAACTGCTTTGATATTGCAGATAAATATCGGCCACGTTTGTAAGTTTCGGGAATTGAAAAGGGTGTTAAATTTTTCCAAAACTCTATCAGACGACCCCTGTTTTACACCTCGTGGAACGGCCACGTTTGTAAGTTTCGGGAATTGAAAAGGGTGTTAAATTTTGCCAAAACTCTATCAGACGACCCCTGTTTTACACCTCGTGGGACAACTCAGACAGCTGCTGTATATCTCTTGATTTGAAAACGAGAGACCAAATTAAGAAATAAGACCTAATGAGACTTTTTCTTTCATAGGGTCAAGAAATCGTAAAACAGTTAACAAGCGGAAAGTAAGTGGGGGTCCAAGAGTACCATTCTCGTCAGAACAGCTACTGGAGTTGGAGAAAAACTACGAGGACACTCATTATGTTACTGCAGCCAAAGTTTTACAACTTTCTAGCAAGTTAAAACTTCCAGGAAACCGCATCAAGATTTGGTTTCAGAACCGTCGTGCACGGGAAAAAAAGAAGGCTAAGAAGCTGGGAAATTATGAGAACCAACATCTTACTGCAACCGAGATATGTGCCGAGACCACCCTTTCACCTCATGAAAAAATCGGTCAGAATAGAAGCTGTTTATCACAATTTTACCCTGCTCCTATTGGGAGGAGAGAGTCCGCTTTCTCTCCAATGTTTATGTCTCAGTTAGCTCGTACCGGTTGTCCATTAAAGAGGAATCTCGCATGGCCTGGTACATCAAACGTGCCTCGGGTCCTTAACCTAAAGTACATTAACTGCGATTTGTACAAAAGACTCAGTTGTTTTGTTCAATGTACATAGTATGTGAGATGTCCCTACAACAAACAACTGTTGAGTGTGAAAAACTTTAGAAAGATAAATTTGATTCGTTGACATTTAATAAAGAAGATAGTATACTTTGATTGAAAACTGTCTTCAAACCTTTCTTTTGACTCTCCTTTTAAACGGCGCCTTCAGGAATAAATACCCATTGTAAGAACAAGGCTCTTTTTCTCAAGAAGCGAACAGAATTAAAAACAGCCAGTATTCAGTTGCGTGAGTCGGAGAAATATACTAATCCTTTTAAAAAGTGGCTTTGGTTTTTCATTGAGTTCTCTTGGGCTTAGTTGATAGAGCACTTGAAAGAAAATTAGGACCTAGCTGAGTTTGTTTCTTTATTGGGGACACACGAGTTCCTTTGTCTCCTGCTCGTGACCAAACGAATGACGTGTTTATTTCTTCCACGACAAAGTTCAAAATTCAAAATCTCTCGTTATCGTATTTTAACACAGAATACTTCAAGACGCTTCTGATCCTAGTAGTATGTAAGACACTTGCCACGTGTGAACAAACTCAAAAGCCTCGAGCTCGCTCATCATCGATTTCTTTGTGATTCAGTTGAAAGAACATTGGGCCGCGAAATCGTTTGAATCGTTCTAAGAGGGAAAGGGGAGAGGGTTCTGTTTTTTACCCTCTTTTATTATTCTTCTAATAATAGTCATTGTTAACATCTCTTTTTCATTAAAATGAACGACTGAACCATTGCTGGTCAGTCCACGTCTTGAGTGAACTGGCGACACCATGGCACGTTTAGCAGACGTTACGTCCATTATTTCCTTTCACTCTCTCGTGTAACTGAACTCATGCAAACCCGATTCACTGCTTCAACGGAAAAAACGCTATAAACAGCCAGCAGCTGCTTTTGGCTCCACTGGTTAATTCAGTCTGCAAATTTTAATCACTTTATTCTCAAATAGAAATGCCAACTTAATGAAAAGCTTAGTGTGATCTTCTGCGGTTGTGACTTAACCTAGTTTCATTTGCATTTCGGGATAAAATCTCTTATGTAGTTTGAATACCGCCGTCGTTTTCATTCATAGGGTGAAATATGGAGAGACTGACAACCTGTCTGTTAAACTCCTCCTGAGAAGATTAAATTATTGCACGCGCGGTTATTACAATCTGATAACGCACAGCAAACAAATTTGGTTTTGGTGAAATTTTTAGAATACATTAGGAGATCACTGACAATGTTATAAGCTAATACAAGTCTACCCAAGAGAACTGAAGCACCGGAAATGTTTGATTGCTCATTTTATTGGAATAAGTAGGTTGTGTGTGTATGAAGTTTGATTGTGATGATCTACGGTTTATCCATCTCAAAAAGTTTCGAGATTCATTGTTGTGCAAATGAAGTTTTTGTGAGGAACATTTTTTGCAAACGACAATCAAAAAATAACCTTCTGTGACCGACGCAAACCACAATGCATATATTAACCACAATGTCGACAGATTTTTAACCCTTGTCAAGACTTTGTACTTTCGCTTATTATAGGTACACCATAGTACACCTTTATAAATAACTCTCTTTCACACAAACACAGATCAACTTATCCAGCCCGCTTGAAAAACCCAGACATCTGGCGCTCTTGTAATCCCACTCAATCACTTGAAAAAGAGACAAGTTCAAGGAGGTATGCCTATATTTCATAACAGGTGATTGCAACCTTCACACTGAATGTTTACTTTAAGGGCTCGGGTTTGCGTCAGTGGAATAGTTTTACTCAGTCAATCTTTACATAAGGTTTACACTGATACACAGGAGCTACACTGATCAATAGCAGCCCGGATTAACGTGGCTGGTTGACCTACGGACCTGTATTCTTTGCACGTGCATCCCAGACGTTCGAATTCCTTTACAGCTAAATCTGTTTTCTCAAAATATTCACGTCAAGCACAAACTGCGCGGGCAAACAGTTATCGCCAGCGTATGTGCAGTCTCGAAATAATATAGCGCCATCTATTTAAATACTCTTGAATAATAATGATTGTCGCCAACTTTTCATTCCACATGTTCTATCACGAAATCTCTTCAGGCACCACAGACGGTAAATCTTGAGGTCGCTCCGACCCCCGGTCATTTCTTCCAAAGCCCCCCAAATCTTTAGTTTCTCTTTTCTTTAATCCGTGGGTCTCAAAAAGTAGTTAGAGAAGGTTGGAGTTACGGTTGGGAACGGAGAAGTTTGTGTATGATCGCTTGTGTTGGAAAACATTAAGATATTGAAACTAATATATCGGATAGAGAGAGAGAATGCTAACTGAAAGGTATATTGACACGTTGTAGTAGTCTGAGTAAAGCAACATAAAAAAGAAACTTAAAATTAGCAATAAACTTAAAAAGGTTTTGGTCAGATTTGTCAAAATGTGAGACATTATTTGTTCTTTCCTCTGCCAAAGCCATAGTCAGACATGTGCCTTGGTTTTAGGCTCACGAAGGAGATGCAATACTACGATTGTTTAATTGATATTTCTACGAGTATATTTGTGCAAATTGTCATATTACTCCGAATTTATCGCTTAACAACATTTTTGAAAGTTAAAGCTCTTAACGAGCACAATGAGTGTCGCAAAACCAAACCCAAGGTAATCACAGCAGCCGATCCTAACAAAGGAAAAAGGCCGTAACGAGTCAATTAGAACTCAAAGTGAATAGAATCAAACTGCTTCAAGCACGGGAAAATGCGAGTTACTAAGTTGCGATCGGTTTGAGTATAGAATCTGTTTGAGAAAGTGGCACGAGTTATCTGAACCAATATCAGCGCGTTATTAATGCAAAATCAAAGCAATCCCGAATTTCTTTCGACACTCAACTGAAATTTGACGCGTGTGGTAATAATGCTCTTGCCTGAGGATACAACAACTAAAGAAGCCCTGTCCGAAAGGCGAACTACAATTTGTCACTTGTTGTTTTATCCACTGGTCGAAATATGATTTATTTCATATTTTCTGTTGGTAATAAGATCGCCTAGCGGGAACAAAAAAAAAAAGAAAAACTAAAATTTGTCTAGATGTCAATATGTGGCTCCATGGCTTAGAGGGTAGAAGCGCCCGACTATCATCTTGGAGGTACGGGTTTGAAAGTAATCGAGCCTGTATCGTAATTATTCTTAGACTGTGAAAAAGAACTTGCTAGTCTCATCGTATTCACAGGTCAAAAATGATGATTCATTTTCTTTATTCACTATCTGTGACCAACAAAATCAATAACAACAATGTTTCCATTATATAATTGAGAACTTTTCAAGTAATCACAGCGACCATTCAGAACAAAGGTTAACATTATTATTAGCCAATGAAACTTAAAGTGGTTTTAGTTTTGCATCTAACTGGTTGAGAGCCGGATGGCACAAGTTTTCTGGACCAATCACAGAACAAAGTCAAGTGAAACCAAAGCAAGATTGCTTTTGACATTCAATTGAATATTGTTCTTGTTTACAGAATCGAAGAGGAATCGACACCACTAAAAGTCGGTGCCATTTTATAAGTTTTTCTTGATAGAAATAAAAACTTCCTCTCATTTGTGCACAATAGCTTAGAAGTCTAAAATATTATGCGTTTTGTATGTGAGGTGAATCGGAGTTTACTGAACCCTCTGCTTGTGTCTTTTTTTCGCGAGCTCTTCGATTCTGAAACCAAATCTTGACTCTGTGCTCCGTGACTCTCAAAGAGGACGATAAATCCCTCACTTCGGACCCTGAAAGGTACTGGGTCTGAAGGAATTTGGCCTCCAGTGCCGCCAGCTGGGATGAAGAGAAGGGAATCCTGGGATTCCTGTCTAGTTTGTGTCGGCGAGAGCCTTTCCGAGTTTTCGATCCTGGAAAAATGAAAGATAATCATAAGATTTTAATTGCTGAGTCAGATTCTGACTTGATGAGGAGCATAAACTGATGATGATGTTCTGCATGCAAAATTTTGTCAAGTCCACTTTTTAGTGACCTTTCGAGTTCAGGTCTCACAACATTGTAGGCTTTCTGTATTCGACGTTTAAACTAAAAAAAAAATTACTATATTCCACATGGAACCCTATCAACATTGCTACATGATCCTAACAGTATACCAGACACTTGCGCATACGAACTCTCTGTGGCTCAATCGTTTAAGCATCAAAGTGAAAATCAGAACTGGCCAGAAACAACACCCATTATGCAGTGGAGAACTTTACCATACATTTTTAAAATTATACCCAAATCTCCATATCCAGTTTGTAAAGAGTACGAAATAACAAGATCATTGTTTCTCATCTAACAGCCTTCAACATTCTAACACACTTAGATGCTCAAGAAGCTCTCTAATACGTTAAATGATTCATTCTCGATTGTATCCTTGTCGTGGTCATAAAAAGCTGACATAAACGTTGTTAACCACATGCATGTTTGGAGGAGCACGTGATCAAGGCTTTCACACCACAAAGGGTATCACTGATTTTCCGGCGTTTTGGGTGTTTTCATTTTTTTATCGGGAATAAAACTATATGAACGAAATGATAAGGTTCTCTTCGATGTAGCTGTGGCCTTGCAACAGCTATCATCTTTTAACGTAGCATTAATGATATAAAAATGTGAACAACATCCTTTTTCTAAAATAGAAGGCGTTTTTGGAGATATGATGCTGAACAAAGACTACATATTTATTGAATCTAACATCTACATATGAGCCAGGAGATGGCTTGGCTCAAAGTATTTTCTATGGCTCAGTGGTAGAGCATCGGAGCACGGAATCCAAAAGTTTGAGGTTCAATCCCTCATGGGTACTGGGAACCTTGGCTTTGTCCCACACTCGAGACGAGACAAAAAATACATGTTTCTAAGTTGATAGTATCTTTGCAACTATACTCTCTTTTCACGTTTTTAGACATTTGTTACCAGCTTGGGACAGGAAAGATATGATTCCCTTTGAAAATGCACAACCTTTCCTTATTTTCCTATTTTGTTAATGGGCGTTATGCTAACTGAACTCTTTGATCGAAAACTACAGCGTCAACTAAAGAAAGATTTTAAGCACGTGTCACTAACTTGAGACAAGAAGAAATATAATTCCCCTTAGGAATGCAAAACTCGACTAAACCTGATTTCCGGAGTGGGTGCTATACCAATTGAACTCAATGGATGGCAGACACAGTCCCAACCGAAGTAACATATTAATTATTTGTCACTGGCTCGAGACTAGGAGAAATATGATTCCCCTTTAGGATAGGAAACTCGATTAAGCCTTCTAGTTTTTATGGGTGGTTGCTACACCAATCGATGGGCGTATAGCTTTGTGATGAGGAATGCAGTAAAATAGGTTTATCTCTTAGGACGATCTCATGTATTTCTTCAGCCCGCGAGATGGTGTTCCAGAGGACAGATTAACTTGGAGGAAGCAATCAGTTCATTGAAAACTACAGTCCCAATTTTAGAAAAAGACGTGGTTAAAGATTTGAAATAAGCGTGCCTGTCACGTATGGGTACCCGAACCAAAGACTTTCCGATTACATATATGTAATTGGATAAGCTCTAAAAAGTGAATTTAAAGCACTCCTTATTAAGCTAGACCACATTCTAGGTTTATTTCTGACAACTGATGAAATTGTATCTTGGTTGTCGATAAAACTCCCTACTGGTAGGTCACTCAATGCCACTGAAGTCAATTCAAGAGAAAGCCACATTTAAATCTTCAAGTTACTCTCGAAACAATAATCAAATGAATAGAAATCTCTCCCCTTTTTTTACGTCGACCAGTTATTAAATAATCGCTTGATGAACCACCTGAAGGCGACACGTGTTCTGGCAAGAATGCTACAAAAACAAAAGTATCTTACTGTTTTGAACTTTAATTCAAAGAAACGAGAACACAAATCAGATATCGGGTTGGAATGGGTTGTTGTAAACGGATCAAAGTGTGAAGCGTGCTTAATCTAGACTGGCGCCGGCTTTAGAAGATTGGAAAGAGTAGAAAGGATTCAAATGTGGGAGGTGGATAAAATACCATCTGTATTACTTCTCTGATTGACCCAAGAACCGCACCCCTCGCGCGCCTGTCGAGCGGTTGATAGCAAACTGTGGAAGAAATATGCTAAACGTACTCAAAGAAATTAGTTTAAATAAAAACTGTTAATTTCAAACAACTCGTTGATAGTAAAACTTAATAATAGAGATTAAGGACTTAACGTCTTTGAAAATCCTTTTGTTTGGAGATAGGAAATCGTTAACTTGCTCTTAAAGAGCACAGAAAAACGTAATTAAGTCAATAATTTTTTGAAACAAAGAACCACTTCGAATTGAATCAAACAATTTTCAATCGCTTTAAGACTAATATCACTCTTGTTTTCCATCAAAGTCTGTAAATGAAATTTTCTCTAAAGAAAATTATAATTTGAGGCCGCAAAGTGATACTTAATGAAGCCCTTTAAGAGAGTATTTAGAAACTGCGCTTTTCGGTTTTTTTTCTTCATTAACAAAAAGTAAAATGTTTCCTTGATGGCCCGTGTTAAATGTAAGTTTATTAATTTTGTTCATTTGAATGCAAAGGAGAAGAGGCTATGCTGCTTTCAAGCTATATTACATTTCTTTCAGACTACAAGCTTCATACCACAGTGTTGAGATATTGCTTACAAGATTAACTCGAATAAATGTATTATTACGGCACCTAAAACAACAGAATAATTGCTCTTACTCTTAGAATACATGATTTGGCGTCGATGGACACTGTTGATAGTTCTAGGGTGTTCTTCTTTCTTCTTCAGATTTTGGTTTGAAACAAGTAAATGGAATCATTTTTTTCCATCTCAGGATAGGCGTTTGACAGCCAAACATGAGAAACAGTATTTTACTTATTCAGCAAACTCTTTTCAATCTCTCTCTTCTAAAGGCCAAAAGAAATACTACAGATCATAATGCAACTAAAAACGTTTGCTTAGTCAATGAATTTCATGACTATTGATGCAGAAATTAACCAAAGTAGTTTGCAATTTTTAGCACAAGTAAGTGGCTTATTGAACAAAATCGCATTTTAAAAAGAGTGCTCTGGTGAAAGTGAATATAGAAAATAAAGTTAAGTCGTAGATTCTTAGATTATCTCACGAAGAAAGTCTTTTTCATTGACCTCGCCTTATTTTAGCCTTCAATGAAAAATATGAAGTCCTCCGCGCACGATTTGATTTAGCAAGGCTGAAGAAAGATTATGGCAACTGAACAAAATCTGTCATTGTATCCACGTGTATTGATAAGGGATAAATGTCAAGTCAATATTCTGAAGAGTAAGTCACTAGGACGATTCATGATGAGTTTGAATCCTTTGGTTTCGTCCTCACAGCAAGGTGTTAAAAACTGCAACGACAAAACCTCAAGTCTTTGCTCAACCTAATCATGGATGTACAACATTCAGATGAAAAATGGCATTGACGAAAAAAAAAAACGAAACAAAAAGAAACCAAGACAATTCACAAAGAAAACCGCAGATGAACATGTATCACTAACGTGGGACAGAGACTCAAATCTAAATAATCTGTGACGAATCAAACCTCGTGAAGTTCCGATTTTGTGGTGGTTTGTTTTACCATCTAAGCTATGCAGAGAACACTATGAAGAGCTTCATTTGAGCAGTATACCAGCTTCACAGGTAAATTTATGCTTTCATGTGCGAAAATCAAACCTTTACTTACTTGGAATTTTCGGAGGACAGTACCTTGTGTAGGCAAGCCAAGGTAGGCGTGAAAGTAAGGTCGACATAGACGGTTTCCTTGAGCCATCCGCACACTTCGGGGCGTGCTCATTGCTTCGCTTGGCTCTCGGTCCAAATCTTCCCTCACTTAATATGTTCTCTATCGAGAAAGACAGGTATGGTTTTGCCGCCGGTGGCGGTTGCAAAGAATTGTCATCAGCAGAATCGCTAATTCTATCCTCCATAGCTTGTTCGTCGCAGGGTGTACTGAAGAAACTTATCTTTCCCAAGAGGAGTGCTGGCGGATTGCTTAACTCAGAGACAAAGCTGCACAGAGTTCTAAGCTGTTTACCGGCACATTCTCCACTAGAAGTTTCAATTCAGATTCTATTATAAAGACGTTGATCTCAACAATGACGTGCCTTGTCAGGTTTGTACGCGCTCTTGACAAATCCCTAGTCTTTGTGAATAGTTTACTTGTCAACTGCTCTTGAATATATCGTTTTAATCCAGGATTACGGTGATAAAACCCTTTATCGTATTATCAAGAAGACATCGAAAACAGCCTCAGACGTATCCGCAGAGCAAACGAGTGTATTAATCAAGTCATTTCCAAGGCTAAAATAAAATTGTATCCCCGTTCAAGCTTGCGGATATGGCGTGATTTTGTATAAACTTTGTTTGTTCATTGCGCGTCGGTCTCGAATGATATAATTTATTAACCGAGAGAAGAAGACAATGTTGGACACTTGAGCTTGTCAAGCCTTAATTATCAGCCCTTGGATATAAGCACAACTCATATAAGATTTGTCTTCTTAGTTGGAAAAGAAAAGGGTCTTTGTTGAAAGATTTTTAGCGATGTGTTGGTAACATGTTTGAGTACTTCTGCTGCAAATCAGACGTAGAAATGTTCCAGGTGAGACTGTACCAGAAAATAACATCTTTGAATACCTTTTCAAAAATAAATTGCAGCAATGACTTAGCAATGCCCCAAATGACCAACAAAATCGATTAAAACACAATTCTTAAATTTAATTGGTAACAAAAACTCGAACGTAATTAATTACTGTATACGGAGTTGGGAAATAAAATGTGAAAGCTGATTAATGAGCAGGGAAATTCGATTTTAGCGGTAAAAAGATAATAAATTCATTCGATAGAGACTAAGGCAAACAAATCTGCAAATTGTGAACAGTAGACTGCCCAGCTTAAATCAACAAAAACGGAAGTTTTGCAGTAAGTTGTATGCCTTATGGAAGTGCTAATAATTTTTTGTCGTGAATTGACAAACACTTCAACAAGCCACCTTGTTTTTGTAAACATTTTCTCGTAGTTTCCTAACAACGGTTTCAGTTCCTACGGTAATCCTACATACGAAATTTTCAAAAGCTGTTTCGTATATAAAAAAACGCAATAAACGACTGATATAAGAAAACCATGTGTTTGAGTGACACGGCATCTCTAGTTTCTGTAGCAAGTCCTTGGTAACATAAAACCGCTCAATTTAAGGGGGATCAATAATCATTTTAATAAGTCTAATAAGCGAAAAACAAAGAACGACAGCAGATGCTCAAAAGCTAAAGAAAAAGACGCAAGTTTATCTAAATCCAGACTGTGCGATCAATTTAAACTTTTCGGGTGTCAGACCGGAGGTTTCAGAATATGTATATTGCTTCCTCCAAAATGCACGGACAGTATTTCACTTCGAAAGACGAAACTGCACGGAAAACTATTGACAGTATTTGCATTCTACAGAGCTGTACAAATTAATTCAATTATTAGTTATTCCAAGATCTCGAAATAAACTCTGAAAGCCTTAGATGATTTGTTAGTTGAATAATCGAAAGCCTGCAGCGACGTTCGTCAATCAGTCAGTATCTTGCAATCGAAAAATTGTTTTCAAATCTCGGCCCAAATCTCACGAGTAAGCGTTTATCATGTAAATTGTGTTATGTTTTCGTCAACGAAACAGAAAGTTGTCCTTTGAGCAAATCTCTTCAATGGCATAGTTCCTTCTTTGTTCAAAGAGGGATTAATGTTTTTTTTTTAGGGAAATTGGCAGCATCTTGATTAAGCTAAGCTATAATAAAAACAATTAAGAGTGATGCGAAGGAAATTGTGTCAATCTACCTGAAGTGTTGCTTTTGTGTGGAGCACTTCAATGAATAAACAGGTATTTCCGGTTTTTGGAGAAAGCAGAAGTACATGTGTCCTTTGAATCAAATTCCTTCATACAAAATACGATTGGAACACGAAAATAGAAACTGAAAATGGAAAAAAATTAGCGTCGTGCGGCCGAAAAAAATAATCTGCGGTAATCCATATAACGTCATTCAGACTGCCGGTTTAAACAACATGGGCGGACTTTGAACTTGAATGATACCACGCGGTCATTTCAAAAAATAGAAACAAAATTACATTTCAAATAAGTTAAATGAAATTTCAAGTCAAGCCTCAATTCCGGGGGGCATAACACGTGCTATCATGGTGGGTTCGAAGGTCATTCCCTGCGCAAAAGGTGTATCCGAGGGGGGTACTTTTGTGAAGTCTTTTTTTTTGGAGGGGGGTTAGGGGACTTACATGCCCTGGTCCTTCACCCGTTTATGACCAATAAGTAATCTGCAGGCATAGTTAGGTATCATGTCATTACAATATGTTTTAGGGATGCGCTTTTAACAATAAGTATTCAAACGAGGTGCAGTTCTCCACAAGATGAAGCTATATTTAAAATCTGGTAAATTCCAGGAGCCCATTTTGGAACTCAGAACATAGTATCCCACACAAGATGTTTTATAAGTTCCATCCGACTTCCTCAATTCCAACCCCCCCACCCCCTCCTCCTCTTTCTCTGTCTCATAATTCTAAGTGGCGAATGCAGTCATCTCAGGCTCTCTGTGACTCAAAGCCAGAAGACAAAATCCCGAAACTTAATTATTTTGCGGCATCGTTTTATTCATTAGCGTCTAATAGAGATCGTTCAAACACAGTTCAACTAGTCAAAGAGCCCAAGAGAAGAGTTATATACAAAGCGATTCTGACAAAAATGGACGTTAATTGCCTCCTCGTTAGCGAAAAGCGCGCGGTTACTTGTCTAACAGTTGAAACTTTGCAATGATACTCAGGGAAATACACTGAGTCGCCTGAGGCAGTCGTGAGCAACTTGGGTTGAAGCGTTTTGTTCGTAGATTGATCGACATCGGAGCAGATAAGCCCATCATGAAATGTTTTCCGATATCCATTATCATGTTATTTAGCAGGTGATTAAAGCTACCCGGCTTGTGTGCTTTAGAAATAAGCACATTATTTAAAATTGCTGACTCTCAATTCGTAGTAACGTGGCTCTACTGAACTTTGATGGATAATTTAAATTAGTTATGAAGCTGAGTAGCAAGGGCAAAAAATGAATGAAAGATGTTATAGTTGTTATTTGATGGAGGGTTGAAACCCCGGGCCTCAACCATTAAGGCAAAGTTACGAGTCATTTAGTATTAAGTTTACATGCGACAAGTCTCCTTCATACCGCGAGGATCAGTAATATCAAAGCTTCGTGCGATTAGATAAAATATGACAGATGATAAAAGTATTTTTTAAGATGCAATTTTCACGAAGGAATTGGCCTTCGATATTTCAAGTTATGGGTATAAAATATTGATGTAGGGGTATATTAAAAAGTAAAAAAGATGAACAGCCAGTAAGGATAAATAACTTGAAAACGGATCTGGATAGCAGACGAGCATGTTGAAAAATTGACATTAAAATTTTCGGTTGGTAGGAACCTTTTGCATGTGTCATCTTTCTTAACGTTGGAAATCCTGGTTACTTTCTGAGGAAAAATTACTGAAACCCCTTATTTCAAAAGGAAAAAAAAGGACAGAAAAATACTAAGAATAATCGTGGAACAATAATAAAGAAAGACAAATAAACAGAACAGAAATGAAGGTAACGGGGTAGGAAACGATATGAAGCGAACGTTTAAATTTTGTAGCGGGTTTCCAGCGTATCGGTTTCCTTTTGCATGGAAAAAATCGGTGAACCTAAAGAGTGCCGAGGGTAAATAGAAATGCGTGAATGTTTCCGGAATCCCGAACTTAACGTTAAAAAAAACGATCATGGTACAATTTTTCATAAGAAGCACTCAGCAGAACTCAATTGAAGAGCTGTTAGAAAAGTATGGACATGTTCAAAGGTGAACCGCACAGCACTTGAACAAACATTCTTATCTTATCCATTAGAGATGTAATTATCGTAATTAATGAAAAGTATACCCAGGCTGTGATAATAAATAAATCATTAGCAGCAGCTAACTGCCAAAATGAAAATCTTCGTTATATTTTACGGTAGCAAATGATTTTAACATGCATTCGATTGCAGACAGTCTTACCTTCCATGTGACTACCTTCACCCAGTTAATGCGTGGAGAAGCTTTAAGGTTCGCTCTTAAGTTCCGTATGGCACACGAAAAGACAAAGCTTCAATGAAAAAGTACTTTTTTTTTTTGTATTGTTTTCTCTCGAGCTGACTACAGTTTCCCATCTTGACAGTATTAACATAACAAAGGAGGATTTCAACTGCTGCATCTTCTGTGTGGGCGCATTATTTTGTTCTGAATTGCGTGATTACCTGCTTTTTCTTTAGAGGAATCAAACACTCGACTTCCTCGAGTTATGAACATGGACAAGTGTCTGTGGATTTTTCATTTAACAAGAGGAAAAAACTTGAAGTTTTTACGTACAGAAATCAGTCAAGCTTCTTCCCAAAAAAACACCATCAATTCAATTTGGCTTTAACGTTGAAGCCAAGTTGAGGTTCAATTGAAATTTATATGCAATGGTTATTTTTCAATATTTCCCTACAAAACCTCTTCTAGTTTCGCGCAAGTTCACTGTCAATCTTTCCATAATTAAAAAGTTTTCATTAGCGAACAGTTTTAAACCACGAAAATCACCCCCCGCATCAACAAAATGAACAAGGATTTGGGATGTAGACCACCCTTCACTCAAGATATACTAGTACGAAACATATGGCATGTAAAAAATCTGAAAACATAGGATGGTCGTCGAGCGGACATTAATCGGGCACCTTTCACTCTGTAGATTGGAAGTTTACATAGGGCTTACTCACACAAAGGGAGGCTTTTTGCATGTCATGGTTAACATCATTGTTTTGACGCGGTTGCCGGTGGACATATAGAAAAAACAATTTTTCTTTGGGAGAAATTTGTTACCTCCTCGGAGAAAATACAACTGCAATAACAAAAGGACTTGCAAAGCTAATTTTGACTTGGACCACACGCATGAAATGCGCTTCAGTGAGCAGATATCTCAGGAGTGTTGACTTGGTCCTGTTTTATTGCATCCAACTGACGAGTTAAATCGAATGGACCAATTTCTCTCCGTGTGTTTGTGTTACTCTTTCCTTGAGTGAACATGATGTGACAAGAGTTTTACACAAAATGAAAAGAGAACTACCTAATTCATATCATAGCATAATAACTAAGAATGAGAACGAATCAAGGTACGCAGATCAGCTCACCGCAAATAAAATCGTAACTTGACGTAACATCAATGAAGCTGTACCATCTCAAAATACACCGTACTTACATGAAATCGATAAAAAACGATATGTTTTTTCGGCTTGCAGTATTAGATGAAATTCTGTTTAACTAGCCGAAAGCTAAAAGAGTATGCCTTTGGTTTACACTCTTGCTTCATAAACGATCGTCCAAAGCTTAGGCTCAAGTTCCTTCAGCTGAAAGGAAAGGTACCCATTGCTGCGGGCCTGTGCATTTTATACGGCGAGTGGCCGCCTAAACCAAAACAGTCCATGGAAAAGTTTGAGGTCAGCGGAGAAGGCACATAACAAGCTGTTAACTGTGTATTTAACACAACCTGTTGCGAGAAATTTGTTGGTTGCTCCTCCATCCTGTTGATCGAACTTTCCTCTTGGTTTCGTTTCTCTCGCGCCCGTCGGTTTTGAAACCAAATCTTGATTCGATGCTGTGGTAAGTCTAAGCTGTGCGCCAGATCGGTGACTTGTGATCCAGAGAGATAGTGATTTTCTGTATATTTCTGCTCTAAGGTCATCAGCTGTGAAGTGGAGAATGGCACCCGAGGACAACCACTTGAACGACGTTTGCTGTTGTTAAGTCTTCTCCTTGACCCTGCGCAACAAGGACTTTACTTCAACATGCTGTAATATTTATTCTAAACTCATCACAGATAGGTATTACTAGTTTGCTAGAGTACAATGTTCAAGTAGTCAGTCGCAAACTGATTCAAACCAAACTTTAGCCCAATTGTTTGGTATAATTTTTGTTTATCCGTTACAAACATCAGATTACAAACCCACAAGAGAACGCCGGTAATATCAGTTCAAAAATTATTATGAACGAGGTAAAGGTTTCTTCCTTTGAACTTTGCTGGTTGTAACCCAAGAAGTTCATTTGCCTTTTTTTTTTAAGCTTTTAAGCTGTCTAGTTTCGAATTGAAAAGTTCCACAGGTTTCTCCTCACACATGTACAATAACAAAAGTCAGTGCGCACAACTCACCTCTTTTTGTTATCAAAGCATGCCTTATTACAATTAATTATCTATATCAGACTTCAAAATAAGTTAGCTATCTGGAGATAAATGAATATTTCCATCGCTTTCCAATAGTCGGCCACACGGCCAAACGAAGTGAATCACTTAGTAACCCTCCTTCGTCTCCGCCATTTCCCAAAGCATAAAACAGCGCTGGTATCGATACGTTTTTTCAAGAAAAAAATAGATGCGCAAATAACACTCACTTGGAAGTTTAGGCGGCGAGTAACGTGTATATGCCAACCAAGGTAAATGGGTAATTTTAGTTGAATCTTCCGTTCCTCTTTTAGAGCTCTCTTGCAGGTCTTCAAATTCAGATCTCGCTGTGTATGCTTTGTTCCCGTTGACAACACACGTTATGTTTCGCGAAGTTTCTTCTTTTCTTCTCAAAATATTATCGATTGAAAATGCAAGGTAAGGCTTGCAAGGGCTGGGTTGTCCTTCCGGTTTGAAATTTTTGCCCAACATAATGTCCGCGCGCTTCGAGTTTGCCATGGCTTCCCTTTTCACTGTGGTCGTTTGGATTACGCCTGTGATTATCATTTGGCATAGTTCTCCGTAAATTGAATTGAGATCAGCGCTTTTTACATAGTTCAAGTATATTTACACATAATACATACTCCTGTCAGCTTTTATTAGCAGCAGATGAGTACACGGATTATATAAGCTGATTTTAATTCGATCTGATGGCCACGAAACAAAGCCCTGAAGGCAAATTCTCACTTCGGGAGTTTCTTGAACAAGGCAAGCAGCAAGTAATATTCTTTACATAGCTTTTTTCTTGCGTTAGTTAGAGTTTTTGCGACAAGACAGAATTTTATCCTCCCATCTGTGTTTGATTAGGTCGGCTTTCTTTCACCAAAGGCTCAATTTTCCTTTTAAGCTTTGCTTGCATTTACACAAACCCATTATAAACAGACATACAGTTCGTAGACTTGGCACACATCGTGCGAACTTTATCTGCATGAAACACTTGAAAAGTGTTAACATCGGAACCACAAAACGTTACAAATCCTTTCAACTGTATTTGGAAAATTTATTTAAGAATTTTTCTTCAACCTTGACATCTTTCACGGTAAATGGACTGCATGCCACAAAGGTTTGCCTTTGTTCTGTCAAATTCAGTCCGTGAGACCAGAGTCGAAGTTTGTTTGCAAAGCGCTTGATTGATTCTGAACATTTCCATTAAGCTGTCAACAAGGGCAAGCATTTCCACCACAAGATTTTATCTCATCAATAATGAATAACTCCTAATAACAAAGGCTTATTTCAAGAGCAAATCCAATCAAAGATTTGATGACCTACTCGAACGGGATTGCTCTTCAGCTCTCGCCTAAATAAAGAGAAAATGTTACAAACCGGAGCAACGCTGATTGAGTGCAAATTTGATAACACGTGCAACATGATCACTAAAGATCCCTTACAAAAGCTGCCATAATGTTCTCTGTATTTAAAAGCGAGTTTAAGTAAACAACTTCACAGGGAATTTAATTTCCATTGAAAGAGTTTGAATAGCAATCGACTCAACAATGGTTATCTCTCAGATACGTGTCAAACAAATCATTACCAGTCATTTGACAAGAGATGCTCGTTTCATTAAATTACTGAAGGGTTGATATCTGAGGTGATATCGAACAATCAGCACTTATTAGCGACCCGCGAAAACGCGTTGCAGTGCGGGTGGTCTATTTCTTTCTTCTTTGGCAACCGCTGACATTTCGAACATCGTTTTAATCCTCGCAGTCCTCAAAGTGCATAAGTTCGAACTTGAACAAAAGGTTCCTTGTTAGAGATTTTGAAAGAAGAACGCACACGACGGCTTTGCTCGATACTAAGCTGTACAGTTTGAAAGGCTAAACACATGCGTACAAGGGGTGTATCGCTAGTAGAATCGCTCGCAGAGGTAGCTTGAAAAACAGCACCATATGTATGTGCTGCTCTAAAGTTGTGTTATAAAAAGCCACTCACAAATACACATGTCATAGACTTGTTAGTGAGAATCTCCTTGCAAAGCATATCACAGTACTACATGACAGTACTACTCCAAAACTGTCATTTGAATAGTTACCATAACGATTTCATCCACAGACCTTCAAATCAGAACCATCTTGCGCATGACAACGAACAGTACCATATGAAAGTACTACTCGGTATTCACGCATGAGATCTATTAAAAGTTAAGACTTCTTTGTAAATCATAGCTAACAGTATCACACAAAATCATAAAAATTTTAATTTCTTCGATTGTGATTGGCTCAAAAAACTCCTACTTTCCACTAATTCACCTGCCAAGTTGTTATCGGACAGTTCAATAGGCCAATCACATTCACAGTTCTAGTTTAAATCAACCAATCACATTCAAAGTTGTAGTTTAAATCAACCAATCACAACCATTCGACAATTTCCGCCTCCTTTGTTAGTATTTTATGCAAATTTTCCCTTTCTTTCATAACTTGGCTATTCTTCTTTCCTCGGAAATTGTAATTTTTATGATTAATTGGTAATAAGACTTCGTGTCGTCCAAATCGGTCTGTAATCATACTTGTGATAAACATCATTGCGGGGTCGTCCGATTTTGTCATCACTCGTATGATTACAGACCGAACTGGATTCCACTCAGTCCTATTACCATTACAAATTGTTGTTCGAAGGCTTTCAGTTAAGCGGCTACTGTCTATCCATCTAAGCCCATCGCTCCTCCTGGTGCACAGGCCGTCACCAACAGTCCGCCTGTGATCTGTATTGTGGGCCATCCGTTCTAATTGGTTCCATACAGCAGCTACTATACGTTTTGGAATTTCCTTCCGAGCTTAAAGACGTATTTCAACCCCTTAGGCTCTAAGAGTGGCAAGCATCTAATTTCTCCCAACAGTATCCTCCTGAATCAAACATTAAGGTAATAACAATATAGGAAATGATTGCGAACTTAAGAATCTCTTGATTTTTAAACAAATTCTCCCTGTAAGGACACAAGACGTTGATAGAGAACAGTGTGGAGAACTCACATAATGATGTTAGGTGTAAGGGGTTAAATAGAACCACTAAGAGCCGATTACGAACCACAACTCAAAGCCCAAGGTGGCAAACGTAAACACTGGATTCTGTAAGAGTCAGAAAACTGTGGACACTTTGACTTACTTCTGACAGCCGGTTTATGAGCTTGTTTTGTACCCAGATCTTCCACGGCCTAGCAGTTTTGGCTAAGCGGTAGGATCTGGGTACGGGATTAGGCACTGACCAATCAAAGTGAAGTTCATGACACGCGAGGAAGCTTCACCAAATACCATTATGTTGGTTTGTGAATGAGTTCCGAAGAAAAGGTGAGAAATAGTACTTCAGATTATTTCCGAACTCCAACGGGATTCCGGAAAGGATCTCGAATATTATCCTAAAACAACCGTGCAAAAGACTTTGGTTACATACAAGCGCTATGACCTATCCCAGCTGGGGATTTACGGGGTGTCACACTCACAAATCTCTGCGTGCATTACGTGAAATGGCTCATGCCACTGCGCTTCCTTGTATATCTACAGGCTCATATTCATCACGGAAAATAGAGTTCTGACTGGAAAATTATCATGCCATTAAAACTCTTCACGGTGGCCAATTTACGTTTTCAACTCAGTTGATAACACTAAATAATAATTACCCTATCTTATTTCCAACAGTTTTGCCTGACAAGGAAAAACTTCACAAAGCTTAGTTTATACAACGGTCTTTAGAAATTAAAATCCAAACAAATTTTACTTTTAATGAGTTACCGTTACCCGCTTTGCGCTCTCCACGAATAAACTGCAATTGAAATATTGCACTGTTCTTCGTTTCCTTTCACTTCCATTTTTTCACATCGCTCGCTAGAGGTCTGGGTACTATATCACTAGTCCCCACGTGCAAATGGAATCATGAAATATGGACGGCTGTGGTTGTGCTTTTGATAATAATGGTCGTGCTTTAGCACAGTTAACCCCAGACGGTCGCCTGAAAATATGGGACTGCACTGCTGGATCATTAAAGCATGAATTTACTCCACCATCGCACCTTTCTTCGTCTTGTAGTTGCCTCAAATGGAGTCGAACTTCGAGATCTGTGGTAAGCAAGCATGGTCCCTAGAGTGCGTGTGCGGAGTATTTTTTGAAAAGAATTATCTTGTTTGCTGTTGTTAACGAGCTAAGACCGGGTTGATATTCTGTACTGCCACGAATTTTGGTTTAAGGATCAATCATAGAACTAATTTATTACAATTTAGTTTCCAATTCGTGAGTTTTTGATGTGAAGAATTCGAATGCCTGTCGACAAATATTTTTCACCGAGCTGAAATCGCGTTCTTAATACTTACTGTAGTATTTAGAAGGCTTCTTTCAACTGGACGCGCTTGAAATATTTTCAGAATGAAGCCTTTTTTTTGAGTAAATGAATTTGTTGAGAAACTTTGTCATCTAGTGTTCGACAAAAAATTGCAATGTAGTAAAGTGTGACTTTTTGTCGATGATAATGGTATCATTAAATTATGTCGTAATTTGTGAATTTGTCACGCTGTAGTTCACTTAAAGTGTTTTGTATGGCAAACAGCTGTAATGCAAGCATTTGCTGCTATGGGAAACACTTGGTTTTTAACCTGAATCGCATTTGTGAAAAGACCGGTTCCGTGCGTTGGTTGAAACGCATGTTGAAACGGTGGTTTCTTGCGATGATGGACAGTGAAATTCATACACTGTCGTTATATCTCCACCAGATATCATTTAAATCAATTAGTCAGCCTTAGTTATCGTAAGTTATATTGTAAAGAGACAGTCTTAAGTTTGCATTTCACAAGTAACATCAACATCACTCTTCCTTACTGCTGCTTTCCAGTCTCAAGCTTTGCTTTGTTCCAGTTCAAGTTTTAAGTTCTAGTGTGTTCCTCTAGTTAGCAATCTTGTTGCTCCGCAGTGGCATCGTTGAATTATCATTCAATCAATGCCTCCAAACTAGCTTTCTTCTGCATGCTCCTTTTTGCTTGTTCAATAGAGATGTTAATCCAGAGGTTCTGTTGGTATGGCCACTTTGATTTAGCAAAGAGCATCTTCTTTGCCCAGTTACAAAGGGGAGGTTCTGTAACCCATAGTCTGAACTTCAACTTTCTTGATGATCAAACATTGCAACTTGATTTTTATTTTAATAGACAAATCAAAGAAGAAAGAAATCAAAGACTTCAAGACAGTCATCAAGTTCAAATGCCAGTGATTCAATAGCACTTGGTACATCTTCAGGCGATGTTCTTTTATATAATGTGGCTGCTGGGGAAGTAGATCAGAAATTGGTAGGTTTGATTGTACAGTGCATTCAATTTCTCAACACCAAGTGCCTGCCCCACAAAAGAAGGGCTTGTAAACAACATTACTGCAACTTCCATTTCTCAAGCAAGAAGTCATCAAATCTAGTGAAGTGTTACTTATTTTTTGAAACTGCATAATCTCCTGCAACTGTCTACAGCATTATTCCTAATACAGGAAGATAATTGAACTGAAAAGTAACCACAAATAAACAATTTTGTCAGGTTGTGTGATTTTCCAGGTTCGAGAAGTTATAGAAATAAACAGGGACAAAATTAGTCGACATATAACACATGTAACAGTCGCACAGGAATTTAAATTAAGCTGCAGTTGGCTACAACTCCCCCCCGTCTCCTTCCCCATTAAATTTTGTGTAATCACATAGAACAAAATGCAACATTTAATTGTCCAGCAGGGAGAAGGGACAAAATTTAAGGGATAAAATGGCAAATAAATGCCAATCCAGAATGTTGCTATCTCAGCAATTAGTCAGCTATTTTGTGAAAGATCAAAAGGTGAAGGAAAGGTTAAGTATTTTCTGTGGATAGTAGTGTTTATATGTATTATAATCTTTTAAAGGAGGGCGGACATGACAGTAGAGTTAACGACCTGTGTTGGAGTGATGATGATGGCACGTTGTTTTCTTGTTCAAATGATAAGCATATAACTGAGTGGAATACAGAAAATGGACAGAGAAAATGGTGAGTTTTATATTAACCTTTATTATTATTTGCCTTTCAGCTAGGTAATTTAACCCTTTAACACCTAAGATTTTGCGAGTAATTCTCCTTACTGTCTGCCATACAATTCATGTGATGTTACTTTGGAGAATTGGGAATTGGATCAACCAATAATCTCCTAATTGATATCTTTCTTTATTCTCATTACTTGTCTGCTTGACATCATACTGATAAAGTAAGGAGAAATTCTGTCTTGGTCACTTGTGGAACTTAAAGGGTTAACCCTTCTCTTATTTTATTTTGCATAAGAAACCCTGCATAGCATTTATTGATTTACATTTACAAAGTGTATGCTGATATTTTTACAAATTTTTCATAAATCTTCATGTTACTTAATCTTGTTCTCAACAGTAAATGGAAAGCAGATAAACATGGCGTAAGGTGTATGCGACTTGGTCCAAAGGGAAGTACTCTTCTCTCGGCTGGTAGAAGTATTAAACTTTGGGACCTGGAGACAAAAGAAGCTCTTAAGGTAACAATGAAACTCTATCTGACATTGAGTGTGAGCAAAACTAAACAAGTTTTCTCTTCTCCCTCTCCTCTTCTCTCTTTTTCTCTTTTTGTGCGCTCAAAACATTGCACACTCTTTGGGTACTTGTTATCCCTGTAATTCTCAAGATCTCTTTAGTAATTCTCCTAACTATCTGCCATAGAGTTCGTGTGGTGTTAGTTTGGAGAATTTGATATTGGATCAACTTATAATCCGCTATTTGGTATCTTCCTATATTCTCATCACTTGTCTGTTTGATATTGTATTGATATTGTAAGGAGAAACTCTGTCTTGGTCACTCACGGGAGTGAAAGGGCTAAGTGTTGAAGCAAATGGTAGGCTAATCCTGTTGAAAGACACTGTTAAAAATAATTTTTCTTAATGGATCTACATGTGCTTCTAGATCTCTTCACAACCATGTCTCAAGTTTGACAAATAGAGAAGCCAAAAAAACCCTGAAAAGGTGAACTTTGTGGTGTATCATAATGTGTCCATTCTTAATGTTGCCATTTTTGTCTCTTTCTTTGTAGAAATTTACTGGTCATGCATCTCCGGTAACACATCTCCAGTTCATCCCAAGTAACTTGTCACATGATTCAAATGCAAATCATATTCCAAATAATGGTATCAGTGGCCAGTACTTTATTTCGGGAGCAGAGCAGGATAGATTAATGAACATATGGTAAGTAAAAGGAATACCTGACGCAAACTAAGATCAGGAATTTTTCTGACCTCAAATTAAAGGCTGCTGCTGTAGCAAAATTCTCTTCTTCTTGGCTGACTGCAAGCTCTTAACAACAGCTTCTCTTTCTCTTCCACTCTTTCATCAGCTAACAGAATTACATGTGAATGAAAGTGATCCTCACAGTAATGTGCAGTACTTGGGCAGTAGTGCACATTACTGCAAGGATCACTTTCATTCACGTCTTTATCTGCAGTTCAAATATATGAATTTCATATATTCTTAACAGAATTGCATGTATTTTTCTGTCACAGGTATGTCAACTTGGACTCACAGGATAAAAATGCATTAGTCTCACTTTCAATCACAGATGAGCCAATAGCAGTGGATGTTATACGACAAAGTAACAGAAACAAGGTATTTGTAACAACGATACAGAACACATTACCTGAAATCAACTTTTCTTAAGAAAGAAATTGATGTGAAGAAGTAGATTACAGCTTCATATATTCAAAAGAACAGATAACAAACATATATATGTGTACATGCATCTGATATTACACCACCATATTTTTATCCTCAGCCAATTCACATTGCTATTGCCTCAAAAGATGGTCAGCTACATATTTTTGAATATTCACTTAATGGGTAAGTTATCCCAAAAATGTGTTTTCTCTTTGGATTACAGTGTTGATATACAGTAATTTGAGTGTTCAAGCTCTGTTAACAGACACTTTGTTTCTTGGGAGGGTGGCCCCTTGAAAGAACGCTGACTAACTAATCCATATTTGCACCTGGGTTTGACTTTTAACAAATTAATTTTGCAAAGTAGTTTTCTGGAATCATGACTTGTTATACTGTGAAACACAGTGGCCTTGTGGGTAGCATGCTGGGCTCAAGCCAAGAGGTCTGGGTATAAGCCCAGCTCAGGTCCTTGTGTTGTGTTCTTGAACAAGAAACTTTACTTCACAGTGCCTCTCTTCACTTAGGAGGATAAATTGGTACCAGTGAACTGTAAGGGTAGCCTACATTGTAACGATATGTAGTGTTTGGGGGCACAGAGGGAGAAGTTGCTTGTGATGGACTAACGTTGTATCCAGGGGGGAGTATAAATACTTCTATTCCCTTCATGGGACAGAGATGTGGATTACATACACAAAATTGTATATACACGTCTGACTACCCTGCGTCAGAGCATATGAAATTTGTCTGCACTTTTAACATACACGCGAGCAGTACTGTAGTAGCTCCAGCTTGTCATCTTGTCATCTTGGTGTTCAAATAAAGATCTGGAAAGTGACTTACTGGTAACCCTAAATTTAATTTATATTGATTTATTTAGTGGTGGTAAGAGGCCGTTGAGGCCCAAAAGGACTATTCAACTAACATCTTCAGAAAATAAGGTATGTTTGCTTTCTTGGTTAAATATGTAACACTACTGCTGTATTTATAGAAGTTTGATTACTTATAATTATTAAGGAGAAATACTAGTGTATTTGCACATGTTGGGAATATTATCTGGTAGATGGATGATGGAATATTCTCCAATGATCGTTTGTTCTAGGAAAGAAACTCCAATTAAAAATGGAGTGCAAACTCAAGACACTGCTCAATTTACTTGTAGAGTTGTTAAGTCTGCATGATGTGCTGTAATTGGGGAAAAAAACCTGTTGAGACAGCTTTTTCCTCAGTTGCTGCTCCAAATATTACTACCTGACATTTAGAAAAGTAAAACTTTTTTCCTCTTCCTCATTTTTTTCAATTAAGGATACCAAGAGACCTTTTTCGATAAAAAAAGAACGACAATACATTGAACCACTTTGGAAGGGGCAAAAGGGACAAAAAAAAGTAGGACATCTTGTCCTAAGTTTAAAATCAAGGACATTTAGCCCAGCTGTCTTGTCGGTATTGTGCGAGATTGTTCTTTAGTTTTCTGACTCCCAGTGTACAAATGTGGGATCAATATCAGTGTCTGGACAACTGCCCACCTACCCCTCCCCTAACCCAACATTAACCCTGACTTGTTATCAATAGACTGTTGTTGTGTTAGGGGAGGGGTAGGTGGGCAGTTGCCCAGATACTGATATTGATCCCAAATGTGTATGTTAGTTGTAGTGTTTTCTGTTGATGATGTACGTTCAATATCTGCCTTGTCTTTTAGGATGGAACTCAACCTCCTATACCTGTACTGTGTGTGCGCTTGTTGTCTGAAGGAGAACCTGAAGCATTGATTGCTTATGGATCAACACTCAAACCACAGTTTGAGACTCTGGTGAGTACTTTGTGTGTTCTGATACCTCTGCTTGAGTGGTTGTCAAAGCACAAGTCCTTTTCACTAATAAAGATCTTTCTAGAATCACTTTGGCCAAGATGATTCCAATATGTGATCTGTTACTCCAAAACCCAAGCCTTTGACTGTATCTAAGGTTTTATGTATAATTCTTAAAATCCTCTTCCCTCCCCCCCCCCCCCCCACACCTATAGGTTCTGATTGTAAGACCCCCTTCCATCCCTTTTTCTGATGGCATATTTTTGTCTTTCAGATTGTTTTCTCTCATTGAGTTTGTTTGAAAATGTCAATTCCCCTTCTTTGCTGTTTGCTCTCCTTTAGGCTTATTCAACAATGGAGGAACACACTCATCTTGTAAGAGAGAGCTCTTCAAATCTTCTTCTCAATGATGGTGCTCATGAACCTTTTCAAATTGACAAAGGGAAGGCACCATCTTCAGAAGTGACAACTTTAGGTCCTGGAAACATGGCACGGGCAACTCCTGCCATGGTGTTGGATGAGGGAAGGAGCAAGTTGAAGCGAAAAGCTGAACATGAAAAAAAGGAATCTCTCGAAGAACAGGTTAGCATTTACCTTTGAAACTTTTGCAAAATAATGTTTGGAAGCTCTTACTAATTGCCAAGTTGCTTTGGCAGCAAGATGCAATATGTGTGGGTTTGGATAGAAAAATCCAACTTCAGGATTAACCACATACATATTTTATTAATCTTTTTTCAGAGTATTGAGGACAGACTGAAGGCAATCAATGCTGAAGCTGCTGAGACATCAAGGTATTTTCCACATTGATTTTGAATGCTTCATTAAAAAAAACCATTTGAGTTGACGGAAGTGTTCATTTGAACTGTGCAACCCTAGTACCGTGTTGGTTGCCCTGGCCTTTTGCAGTTTGATGTGGTATCCCTGTTCTATAAAGACCTCTTTTCTTAAGGTTATATTCCACAGATCAATGTTTGACAGTGTTCTGAAAAGTTATGCTGTATTTTTTTTCGTTTAGGAGAAGAGGAAGTGACCGCCCCACGGCTGATTCATTGGCCCAGATGCTCATACAAGCTCTTCATAGTCAAGATAACTCTCTAATGGAGGTCAGATATTGTGAAATATTGCATACATGTACAGTGAAAACAGCCCACACAGTGATTAAGCTCATTAATGTGCTCTACCTGTATGTCACTGGAATCTCCAATTGAAGCTAATATGAAGATTGTTTCCTTGGATGGTCCTGTAACCCTTTGAAACCTAGGAACGACTAGTATCTAAGTTCTCCTTTCAATAACACCCGTGAATCAAACATTAAAGTTACGAGATTCCAGGAAATGATCACCAATTAAATAAGCTCTTGGTTGTCAAACAAATTCTCCTTGTGAGCAACTTAGCACTGATGTTAGGGTTTAAAGTGAAAGAGTTTAGCTCTTCAATATCTTCCGACATGGTAACTCTTTAACCAAACTCTAGTTGCAATCAGTGTTCTGATGATTTGCTTTCGTCTGCTCCATCAACGAAGGTTTTTCCCACACTGCGTGACAACGAATATTGCGGCTGCCTCTAACATGTTGATAAATCTCGTTTATGATCCCAAGAGCATAGCGAACATTAGCATTTTTATACGGAATTTAAGGACTTAAAATAGCTTGTTCTAATCATTTTAAAGCCCTCCTATTGATGTAAATTATAGTATTGTCTTTAACATGCTTGTAAATTGCTTTTTTAAAGACTGTGTTATGGCATGGCAGTGTTAATAAATCAATCATGAAAAATACAGTCAGAAGACTTCCAGTGAATCTCGCAGTTCCATTCTTGAGAGAGGTTTGTTACTTAACTTTTTCACTTTTTGTACCCTGTATAAAACGAACCCGCGAGAGCTATTTAGTTAGTCAACAAAAGCACGATAATTCTGTCAGACACACGGCCAATCAGGGCTCCAAGCTTGCTATAAACTGGTCATCCAAGATAAAATGTTTAGTCGCCATGAAAAAGAACACTCTATGCAACATTGCATTACATAATAAACCGCTGACCACAAAGCTCCTCTGTGGAGTAAGTAATACAGACGGTACTTGCCTTTGGAGATTCATGCAACATCTCAAGGCTTAATGTTAAGGCATCTAAGGATAAAGAAGAAGATCCTTTGGAAGAAATTGACAGAGTCTCAGTAATATGTTAGTGAAAATGTACTGTGACAAAATCGTCATGGATTTTCTGTTTTTTACTTCAGCTTGTTCACAAAATTCAAGCCGCACCTGGAAGGTAAGGAAAGCAGTGTATATGTTATAGCCCTTTACACATAAGTTTATAAAATTGATTATCCGGAAAATTGGTTTAACTAACTTCACAGATCCACTGTAACATTTCTCGAGATAAATGTTACCACAGTTACAATCATAAAACATGTCTCCACCAAATATTCTTCTCTGTTTTGCCTCCATTTTCAGGGGGGAAGGCTTGGTGTTGTGGATCAAACATATTTTAAGTACACACATGGCATATCTTATGACGGTAAGTTATTTTTATGGACACAACTGTTTCTTTCCTCCTCCTTTATAAAGTTTGGTACAAGATAATGGTTTGCAAGTTTACCAGAGGACTTTTTGCTATTATTTCTTCCTTATTTTAAGCACGGAAGGTAAAAGAACTATTCAATTTTTAAAGCAATCTATTTATCTGTTGAATTTTCAAGAATTCCCGACGATTTTTTATGGGAATTATAGGTACTACAGTCTTTCGAAAGTAACGGAAGCGGTGCGTGAAGTGCTCTGTTGAACGCTAGTGCGCTGCTTCGCAAACTAAATCGTTTCCTCGGAAAATTCTTGAAGCGTCCCTCAGCTACAATGGCTGTCTCGTGAGAGTAAACTAGTCATGTTGCATGTATATTGTGTCGAGCAATCTGAATTTGAAAAGAAGAAGACCACGAGCAGGCGCTCTTTTCAGCGAAGTCCGTCGGGCGAGTCCAAGTAATCAGTGAAAAAAAAAAAAAAAAAAAAAAGGTTATGTGCGGAACTCTGGGAGGGAGGTTATTTTTCCGTGCGGCTCACTCCCAGCGTTATGTACGGCGCGCTGACATAAATTTTTTCCCCCTGGTATTTTTTGTTTCACTTGCGCGATGGAATTCGCCGAAAAGGAGGGGCAGCTCGTAGTCTAGAAGTTTTCCCAAGAAATTTGTTTCAGGAGTAGGCACTTGAATATGTGGTTAAAATTGACTTAATTTTGCGTGATATTCAGGTGCCAGACCTTGTGGATTCCCTCAGTGGATTATATGCCATGTTAGAATCACGTGTCAGTGTTTTTAGTAAATTGTGTAAACTACAAGGGCGCTTGGATCTGATGCTGTCGCAGGTAATGTGCAATGCATGAACATGGAGTAGATTGTGTTTTACGTAGAGTTCGAGGAGCATGGATGATTAAGTGGTAACAGGCCTTGGTCACATATGGATAGAGTAAAATAACGGTCAAACCTAGGGCATATGTCAGTTTTTGCTAGCTATACGCCCATTTTCCGCGCAAAACTTGCAAGGAAAGCGTTATGCTGATCGTGTAGATCATGATATATAGTAACCTGCTCTCCAGAGACGTAAATGATGAGTCACTCTTTGATAGGAATTGCCGTCAGATCAGTTATTAACTGAAGACACCTTTTACTCTGAATGTCTCTGGGAAGAAGGTTTAAAACTTTCGAGAGCATCTCGATTAACGGTCGTGAAATGAAGAGTAGAGTTATCAGAGCAAAGGAAAACGTCACTACAAGGCTCAAAATTGCAACCAGCAAACCGTTCAAAGCGCGGGAAAACTCGAGCAACCAAGGCGCGATTGGTGTTAGATTTGAATCTGATTGGTTGCGAAGGTGGCACGAGTTTCGTGGACCAATCGCATTGTGAAGTAATGTAATGTAATGGCTTACTTTCGACACTCAATTGAAAATTGCGTCATCTGTTTTGTTGTAGTTGTTATTGTTGTTGTTGATATGATGGTAATGGTATTATTATTGCTCTACTATTCAAAGGTGGACTCTCAAAGTCAAAACAATCAAGAGGAAGAGGAGCATGTTGAACCCACTGTTGTGTATCAAGAGGAAGGTATGTTATCTTCTGCCATGATCTTAGAATCGCACTGCATGTGATTGACGGCTCTCCTTTTGTTTGCATGTTCATCCGAGGTTTATTAGATTCTGTATTTTGCATCGTGTGCAAGTTTTTTGTTAAAAAACACAAGTTTTATTGTTACATACGTAGTGTAACACTTTATTTCTTGCACATTTTATATCACAACTTTTTCCTTTTCTTTAGATTCAGATGAGGAACCGCTTGTACCTATTGAGGTTGAACACTCGGAGTCTGATGTAAGTTCTCTGATTTATAATAAAGTTAATGTAGAACGTGCGCTCGTATCGTTTCAGTTTAGCGTTGCTGTTTGGAACAGGGCAAAAAATGCGGACGGAAAGCGGAGCAACAAATTAGCCGCACTTGTCAATCAAGAGTTGAATGTGATTTTAATTGACGAAATATTAGATGAAACAGATTTATGAATTGTCGTAACCTCGGGCGCGAGGTGTGAAGTATTTATTTAACCGGTAAAACCGTAGAAAACTGAAATATCTTTTAGTTATTTTTAAAGAAGCATTCCTGCTATGACGTGAATTTGGGAACCAAAAAATCTTTCTCTTTTGTTTCGCTGTGCATTTGTTGAGGTCATTCAGATTTTTCTCATTGAGTGAAGCTCTGTCGACACAGTGAAGCCTTTCTTAAATGACGATTAGCCGTCATGTTTTTTTCTTCCAGGAAAATTGGGATGAAAATGAAGAAGAAAATGACACGGAAGAGGAAAGTGACAATGAAAATGAGATCGAAGTGGAAAATGAATCTGACGACGATGAATCTGACGGTTGAATGAACAAAATCATGCAAACAGATCACGTTGTAATTAGGTTTTAACGAATAAATAATTGTTCATATTTGAAACTTATGCACAATTTGTATGGTAAAACTGCGAGGATGCGCGCGCCTGGAACTGTTTTGGTCTGCAGCTGCATTTTAAATTGAACCTTTTGAAAGGTTTGGTTATTACTATGTATAAAAAGTGATGCAGTTATCGGGAAACGTATGTAAACAACAAAGGTTTTCGAAGTTGTATTTATTTTGTGAGAGCTACACACACAGAACGTTGCGGTTTGTTCTTCTTGGGAAATTTGCTGGCGGAAAACTTTACAATCTCTTGGTTTGCATCTATTTTTAACGCGTCCCTTATTTTGGCGGTGACCTAAACCGCAGCGTGCAAGCGTCAGTTTGTGAAGCAGACAACACTGAGATGATCATCTGCTGGATACTCTCAACTTTTCTACTCGAACTGTAATGAAGAGGAGAGAAGAAGTCAAATTAAGTGCCCGGAGTCAAAGACGCGCGCAGTTTTGTGTTGGGGAATCCTCTCTGAGGTGGATTGTACTGATTGACTGAACATGGTAAGGTTGAGGTGCATTTCTCTTTGTTTCAGTGAGTACAGTTGCTCTTAAATCAGATCTAGTTTGAAGCCTATTTTTTTTTTTTTTTTTTCATGTAGGGTTGGGTACGCTGGCTCCAAAATTCGCAAGAGTATAGCCGGTTGCTGCAGCTATTTAAACAGAAGGAGGGTGAGTAGATTTGCTATACAAAGGGCTGAACTGGGGAAAGTGTTTTGAGCCCTTTTTTATGCTTAAAAATTGGTATCTACAGGTTTCGCCTCATAGCAAGGTCGCCCCCTATTAGTTCGTCCAACATCGGCGAGTTCGCCAAAATAAATACAACAAGTTCGCTCTTTTACCATTTCGCCTCCAATCTTTCAACTCGTTTCTTTGGGGCAGAACGTGTTACTTTTCTGACGAATCCGACATTTCCAGATCTTAACTCTTGACTCATTTTTTCCTCTGCCCCAAAGGAGGAACACCTATTACGGTAACGAAACCAGTTGAAGATTTGGGGGCGAACTGGTAAAGCTGGGGAGAACTCGTTGCCGTTGATTGATCAAAAGCGTCGTGATATGGATGATCTGGTAGGGAGGCAACCTTTCAATAGGATGCAGTCAAAGGGAGTGTAACGAAATCCCGCGTAAGCAGCTTTCTCAGAGGTTGGAATGATGAGTCACTCTTTGATAGGAATTGCCGTCAGATCAGTTATTAACTGAAGACACCTTTAACTCTGAACCTCTCTCTGAGCGAGCAAACCATCCTGTTTACCCTTTCATCCCAGTGAGTGCTCAGAAGAATTTCTCGTTTACGGTTACGAGGTGAGAACTTTTTCAAGCACAAGGGTGATGATAAAATATAGAATTACTAACTAAGGAATATTGGTTGATCTAACGCCAAATTCTCAGAGCCAAATCTATATGAAATGTGTGGAAAACTGTGCAGAGAATTGATATTTGCACCTCGGGAGTAAAGGGGCAAATGTAATTAATGGATTATTATCGCAAATCTGTGCCTTTCTATGCAATCACAGTTTGCTATTCTGTTTTCAGACATGAAAGTTAAACAATCTCAGAAGACTACTGTGCACATCATTGCAAGGTAACGTGATTTTTAGGTGAAATCATTTTTACATAGCCTTTTCCAAGCGTTCAGCTAGGAAAGCGGAGCGAAATAGCGAAAGTAAGGCGCGATATTGGTGGAGGAGTGATAAAGCGAGAGAGGTTTGGGTCGGTTCGGGTACAGAATATTACGCGACCTGACCCAAACCCCCCTCGTTTTTTCTCACTTTCTGCCCTATCGCGCTTCGTTTTACTCCGTGAACGCGTGGGACGGGCTAGTTTTTACAATGAATTCATCACATGTGTAAATTTGATAAATATGACCCACTGAACATTGCGTTTGTAAGATAACCTCTGGAGACAACTGATGATTCAGTTTGTTTTTGATAGGAATTGCCGTCAGATCAGTTATTAACTGAAGACACCTGTAACTCTGAATGTCTCCAGGCTAAAAAACCTTAACCATAAAGAGAATGATGTATTATGTAAATCTTACACCTCTATTGCTTTTCTTTTCAGATTATTATCCTAGAATCTGGCTGGAATTCTCCAATGGATGACAAACAATTAAAAAAAACAAGAGAAAAAGTTAACTCTAGGTTGTTTCATTCCATGAAGCAAAATATTAATCTAGGCTTCTCCTAGTGCAGTTGATGAAAAAAAAAATTTTAAAAAATAGCAAAGGACAAAACATCACATGATGTTTTTAGGCTTCTCCTAGTGCAGTTGATGAAAAAAAACAAAACAAAACAAAGCAAAACAAATGAGGGGACATCACATCACATGATGTTTTGGACTCCTGAGTACTGTACTTGTTACAAGGCTCCTCTGTTAAAAAAAAAAAAAAAAAGGACAAAAGAAACAAAGAAAGAGTCGGAGATTAATATGGGTACAGGCAAAGATAGCTGGATGTATGTATATTTTTTTGTTCATTCTGTAAAAACTCAAAAATCAAACTCCTGTCCATCCGTTACTGCCGCGAGCTTGATCAATAACCTTCTCGAAGCGCCAAGTGTTCAAAGTCATATCACGAGCTCGTCTCTGTCAGTGGGGAGTCAAGTTCTGTAACACAAGATCAATATGTACCTTTTGAAATGTGGGTTGCGTAATCCATCCACAATTGCAAGAAAGTTGACAACAAAGTAAAAGAATAAAGAATTATTTTAGGGACAAAAGCAAATGGAGCGAAAAAGATACAATCTACTCAAAGAAAACCATAGTGTGAAACTTTTTACGCGGTGAATTAAAATAGTAGATGAAGTAACCCTGAGAGAATCAAGGAAAAGACCTCCAAGATGAGAAGCTCTTGATTATTCAACAAATTCTTATTGTAAGAACCATGGGAAACGTATAGAGAACAGTATGGAGAATATGCATACTGATCTCGGGGTGTAAAGGGTAACATGCACATGAGATATATAATCTGTAAAGAAATGTGATAACTGGAAAACCACATTTGTAACATTTACAAGTTAAGACTCGTTTTTAAAGAATTTCTGGTAGTCTTTCATTTTTGGCCGGAAAAATTTTGGTGTCCTCCTAGGTCAGAATTTTCCCTTTTCTGTGGCACTTTCTTTAGGCATTTCTATCTTATATACGCTCTCCTTAAATACCAAAACTCTTCTTTTTTTAATCTAGATGTACTGGCGCTTCATAGTTGGAGTTTTAATGTACTTACGTACCAAGTATTAGCTACACCTGAGGTTTATTTGAAATATTTGTAACTTCATGAAGTGTGACCACAGAACGCCCAAGGCGATGTGGATAAATTTGATATTTTGTTACCTTTGAACATCATGTTGACTTTGTTTCATTTCTACTCAAGTATTATTTAAATATCGTTCGAAAATGACAAGTGTTTCCTCCTGATCTTTGAAGGTACGAAGTCCTATTGTGTAGCTGACTATTTTTTTTTTCTTTTTCAACTGTAAAACTTTTTTGCCAATCATACAAATACTTGCTTTTAAATTTGTATTGATTGGAAGAAAAAAATATTCGTCGATGGAAATTTACTTACGGATATCAAACCATGTCATCCGAAAAAAAAAAAGATTTTATAACATGAATCCAATTTGTATCATTTAACACAGGAAATTGGATCTCCTTCCGGCAAGCAAGTGAAAATATCGTATCAAATAGTGACTTAAGTATATTTCTATCTATATTAAGAGAATATCATATAATCTGTCTCATAGAAGAGATAAATTGAGGGAGTGGCCAGATGATGTAACGGTGAATTACGTAATGTTCCTGCCGAAATGGCTTTCACCTGACATTTTTTTGTTTGTTTGTTTTTTCACCTTTGGACAGTCTTGACTTTTACCATTTGCACTTTGCATCTGCCAATCAATTGGCCCTCTTGCGGTTGGGTCGAGTTATGGGAAAAGGGAGTGGTAGCAGGTGAAAATTGCAGACCCTTTACTGATGATAGAAAACGGATAAATTGGTACTACTCACTTGAGTTGAAGAATTCGCAGTTTCTGGATTTATACGCTTCAGCTGGTCGCTGTTTTATCACGAATCCCAGAGCCTTTTCTTTCCCTGAGTAGAGAAAAATCAGTACCCAAATGAGGAGAATTGAGGAAAATGGATACAAAGCGTTTGCCTTTGTCTTATTTCTTTGTATCAGCTGTGAATTGTAACTATTTCCCTTTGGATTTCCTTTCGCAGTGGGGTGGGGATAAGGGGGAATTGTGTTATGCCCTGAAACCCAAATATTCGTCACGGGGTTTCTATTGTTCTTAAAATGTACATTCCTGGTCTAAAGATTTGATACAGAACAACAACTCTTTGAGCTGAAAACGCTTCACACAACTGAAACACTTACACACTATCAGGATGGGACTGTCCTACCGCGAAACAAAATGTCCCTCACTAAAACTTGTCTCGGAAATCTTCGTGTCGTGACAATGGAATTTGTACAACTTTGGCTCAAAGTTGGCTTCAGTTCCGTGATATACGACACCATGGCTTCTTTCTGGCTTAGACGAACCTAATTGGTTGACAGAAATCAGGAGAGCAAAGGACAACTGCCCAAGATCACGAGCTCCAACAACGCGTTCATCGATAAAAGTGGTGTACAGACTAGAGCCGTGTCATGCGAAGTCCTCGGACAAGCTTCTCTCTTTTAGTTCCCAAAAATATCCTGTTCAGGCTCCAGTCATTTTAACGTGTATGGACGAGTCATGTTGGTTAAAGGGCACCGTGAGTAAATAAAGACTTGTATTTACTACTGGTATGAGTACATGGAGATCGCCTTCCAGACCGATTTACTAGCGCGACAATGGTGCTGTTTTTATTCTTCGTTGTTTTTCTAGCAGATACCGTTGAAGGTAGGGGATGTAATTGTGGTATTTTTTAGTGACCTAACAAGTGCTATTGCCTTCATAGCTGAAGACACTGTAAGCACACACTGAAGTGAATGATTTTTACCTGTATGTTATCCTAGGATTTTATAAACAATGCGGATCCTCACTTTAAGATTCCACCGCTTGTGTCAGCAGTTACTACTTTCTGTTAGAAAAGCAAAAGGTTAAGGGTTCTGCTTTGTTTGAAGCACTCACTTTCCATACAGCTTCATAATTTCTTTCAAAATGAGAAGTTTTTTAAATACTATTGCTAGTTGCATTGAATGGTTCGCTCAAGGTTTCGCTTTCTATATTTAGGACTGAGCAGGTCACATGGTCCTCCTTGTTGAGAAGACGACGGGAAATTTTCCGGCATCGACCTTCATTGGTTCTAGAGATCTAAAACGTCTAGATTTACTCCACATTTGAATTATTCCTGAGTTATTTTTGTCAACTGATTCGTTAAATAGCATTTAAACACTTTTTTACGCCCGTATCACACTGAGTGCTGTGTTACCACCTGAGCGAAAAGTCATCATTTATTGAATGGGAAGGGAAGGGGGTCTCAGGAAGTGGAAGAGACCCATTCTGTTTGCCTTTGTTCAGTTTCAACTTTGTGGACTATCTGTAACTGGTACTGTAAATTTAGAAAAATCCATTGAATTTACATCTTGGACTGAGTGTGTTTCCAGATTACTAAACATGTTATCTCTCCTATTCCAACCTACATTTAATTATATTTAATAGGGAGACTATTTATTAAAATGTAAAATATAAATTTTATTGAAGGTGTGAGATCCCCTGAGAGGCCAGTTGTTCCAAATGTCACAGCCATTAGCTCAACTGAAGTACGCATCACATGGTGTCGAGTGAACTCTAACAAAGTTGAAATAGATCATTATGAGCTGTTCATTGACAGCCAGCTGGAGTACTCTGGATTAGATGTAATGTACATGGCTAAACGATTAAAGCCCTGGTCATGGTATGAGGTCAAGTTGAGAGCATGTGGCTTCTCTCCTGGTTCATGCTCTCCTTTCTCAATTCCAGCATTAGTGAAGACGTTAAGAGACAGTAAGTGCAGCATAATCTTTTCAATACTCCTTGTATTCATTTTCAAAGGGGAGGATAAGATCATAAGGGAAAATTTTTCTGGTCAGTCTAACATGTCCATGATGTAAGCCGTTAGTGATAGCTGAGGCACAGGAAGAAAAAGAGTATTCACCTGGACTCACATTTAAGAGTCATTTTATCTTGTACATACCTGTAACTAATTGCAGTTTAACACCCAAGATCTCTCAAAATGAAGATAAACTCCAATAGTAACAATGATAACAATAATGATGACAACCACCATACTGATGACTATGATGGCATTGTCTGAACCTTTTTGTGTCATACTGATAAAATTGTTTGTCAAATTTATTTAAAATCTTCAAGTAGTGTGCCACTTGAAGTAAGATGAAATATCAACAAAATTTTTTACTCCTTCCAATTTCTTTGAAAATTTTCTTTCCTTTTTCTTAAAATAATGATATACTCCAATAGAAAAAATAATGACAATAATGATGACAACCATCATGCCGATAACTATGATAGCATTGTGTGAACCTTTCTTATGTTGCTCTGATAAAATTGTTTGTCAAATTTATTTAAAATCTTCTTGAGTAGTTTGCCACCTGAGGTAAGATGAATATCAACAAAATATTTCACTCATTCAATTTCCTTTGAATTAATTTTAACACTTTTTTTTTGTCTTCCATTTTTAGGGGACAACAGTACAGTAATACAGTCAGGTGTTACATTGTTCAAAGTCATCTTTGTCCCTACATACATGTTCATCTTAGGAGTGATGGCAGGAGTGTTGGCCCTTTCATTAATTCTGGCATGGAGGTATTGTATACAAGTTCATTAAACCCCCTATCTCCCAGAACTGATTAAGATGTGACTCCTCTCTATGATACCCAATCATTCACAGCAAACAGGTCATAAAAATACTCAAACTTATTGGGTAGAAGTTGTTACCTTGATGTAACACCAAATTCTCTCAACTAATTTACAAGGAAATGTGTAGCAGCTAGAGGAGAGAATTAATTACCAGACCTTAAGATTAGGGAGTTAAAAGATTAATAAAAGAGCTCAATGTATGGAATTGTTTTCTTTCCTTTGTGATTGTGAACCAGGAAATAAATTATCAATGGCAAAAAAAAAAATATTCAGCCAGCACTTTGTTTTGCAGATACCTTCAGAGTGTTGATTTGTCAGGAGGATCAGCATTTGAGCTGCCACATTTCCATAAAATTCCAAACAAGGATGACTATCAAACCTTCATTAGACAAAATCTTCCAGACACAAAGAACAACCCTCAGGAGAGCTTGGATAACACTATTTATTTGACAAGGGGTTGTCACATTGATGATGAAGGATCTCATTACCTTGAAATATCCAGTGCTGGCAGGGCTGATGCACAAAGTAGTTTTGTCACACCTTTTACTGCAACCTGTAACACTGAACCATCAGGTCTGTATTTCATGGGGGCTGCACAGGAGAACCAGGTTCCCAATCAAGATTTCACAGTTAAGTTACACAGCCACCAGCTTGAATACTACAAATGCAGCAGTCAAGTGAATTCCAAAGATGAAAATTATACTCAGATTGAAAATCATACCAATGCGAATTATGAGAGTCACAATGAATTATGTGAAAAACTGCCACAAATTTGCAAGAATAATGGGGAAGTTAAAGACCGAGAAAGAACTAAAAGTTTACCAGACGTCAAAGATACTTTAGTTCCATCTACTTCAACAAAGAAAGCTCAGTCGCTTGAAAATTTTGATGCCTCCCTTAGCGGCAACATTTCTCATTCACCTTTACTGACACATTCATCTCCATCAAGTGTACAATCTCAATTTGATGAACAAAAAGCTACAGCAGAAGCTACAAGGAACTCTGCTTTACAATCTCATTACGGAATGGTTGTAGCGATAGACAATAGTAATATTTACATTGGTGCTCAGGAATGTGCAAGCATGGTGAATCCAGGAGATCGCAAGAGACATGTACGAGTCAAGCTACAGAATCTTGTGAGAATTCTTGAAAAAGATAGAACTAAAACGAGAGGCTTTGCTTGTGGATCCAGCCCACCTGCAACAGAACATGTTTGGGAAGTTTACAGGTATAAACATCTGTACAGAAATGCATGCTGTAACAAAATGGTGAAAATTCATTTTCAATTCTGCCTAGCTGATTTCTCTTTGACTTAAATTTGCCAAAAACTTCCAATCCATAAACATTCACTCAGTTTGACAAAATTTTGTCAAACTCAGTGAATGTCACCCTAGTTTTCTGAAGGTTGCTTTCTGATGGGTAGCTGAGGCTAAATCTGTGAGACATGATCCAAAAACATGTGGAAACCAAGTGCTAACTTGAGTGTTAAATCATTGTAAAGGAATTGTATTAACTGAAATAACAATGATAATGATGATGATAATAGTAATAAGATTAATGATTTACTTAAATATAAAATAATAATAATAATAATAGCAATGAAGATGATGATAAGGACATGGTGCAATTCTGAAAAAAGAAAAAGGTTGTTGTTGTGAGGTAATGTTGAATTAGAGCAGTTTTTTTTCCTGTGACTCAAGTTATTCAAAAGCTAACTCTTAGGATTAGACTTGTTCTTAAATTGTCTTAAATGCAAAATAATTTAACATTTTTTTTCTGCAAACAGGCGCATGGGATATATTGTTGATCTTGAGGAGAGAAGAGGAAAAGATGAGCAAAGAGTAGATGAAGGACTTCACTTGTGGATCTACAAGGTTAGTAATTCTCCTTACTGTCTGCCATACAGTTCTTGCAATGTTCACTGTGAGAATTTGGTGTTGGATCAACTTATAATCCCTTATTGATATTTTTCTTTATTCTCATCACTTGTCTGCTTGATATTGTATTGATATTGTAAGGAGAAATTCTGTCTTGGTCACTCACGGGAGTTAAAGGGTTAAACATTTTTAAATTTGATCAATGCTAACGCCGTTTCGAGCAACAAATCTAGAGAGTCTTAAGAATCAGGAAACAGCAAACCTCACCAACATTACCACTAATTATTTGTGACTAGGATATTTTCCTCTTATCATATGCAAGACAAAATAGCCTACAGTGCTTGAAGGCTTCTAGACTGGTTTTGTAAGAAATTTAGCAATCAAATAAGATGCTCTCTCTCTTATTGTTGTGGTTTGAACTTGTAAAACAACATGCAAGACCAGGTGGTGTTTGTGAAAGAGACTTGTTGTAAAAGAGTACTCAAAACTTCTAAAACATTTTCCTAATGGAAGCTATTTAATATCCAGGCCCTTTGTGAGCTGACTCCAGGGATACTGGTATTAGCTACAGGAGATGGAATGAAAGGCAAGTCAGAGTGTGACACCAGTTTCCCCAGATGTGCCGTCACTGCTCTAGAGAGGGGATGGAGTGTTGAGGTGTTCTCATGGAAACACAGCATGAGTAGCGAGTGGATTAAACTGGCTAAAAAGTACCCTGAGGCACTGACAATCAACTACTTAGACAAGTAAGAATCATGTAACACCTATGAGTAGAAAATATGTGCTGACAGCCTTCGTATACAAATATTGTAAATTCATGGAATCCCTCTACTAAATGGTTAACAACCCTCCCCTCAACAGAACAGAAATCTTGTAATGCATCTCTAATAAATTACTAGAAAGTCCCTCCTTCCCCCAAACATTATTGCCTAACATTTGTGACCATTTTGTCAACACCAGGCAGTATTAAAATGGGAGAAGAGGAAAAGATAAATGAGAGATGTCAGAAAAACTGAAAAAGTAGTGGAGTGTGCCAAGACTTTTGCCACTCCAATTAAATTGGCTGCCTGCATTTTGGAGAAATGTTGATCAGATTCATTTTTCCAACTCAGTTAATTTGATAAAGGTTTCAGCTTTCATCTTTTTAACTCTTTTCCCAAAATGTTTCTTTCAACATTTGCTAAAATATTTGAACTTTTTGATCAAGATAGCAGCTTCTACCTGATAAGTTTGAATATTCTATTACCACATTTGTAGGGATGTTGGAAAATATGGGGTTAAAGGTTAAAATGTTTCAACTGCTCATTTGTTTTTGTCAACAGACATGTCAATTATATCACATTTGTGGATGGAAAATATGGAAGGAAATGTTTGCCTCTTCCAGCATCAGATGCATAATGTCTGTAATAAGAGGAAGCAGAGGAAGAAGAAGGAAAACTTAAAGAGAGCTAATTTACATGGTCAAAATAGAAAGTATAATCTTGCAGCTAAGGGCAGAACTAAATACTGGCCACATGTCTCACATAGAGATAAGACTAAGAGCTTATTAGACAGCAAAATCACAAATAACAACATTTGTTACTCCAAATAAATATTGTAGGTGTTAACTTTTCTTCCCCCTTCCTTGAATTACTGTCACACCCACTCTGCAATAGTCAGATGCATTCATAGAATTGTGATTTAAAATACTGATAGTAAAATCCCAACTTAGACAAAGTGCCTGCATGTGCCAGAGCTCGATGACAGGTACTGCTGTTGTACCACTTTTCAATCTTAACAGGCAAGATCATTTGGATCAATATCAGTATCTGGGCAACTTCCCACCTACCCCTCCCCTAACTCAAGAACAGTCAATTGACAACAAGTTAAGGTTAATGTTGGGTTAGGGGAGGGGTAGGTGGGCAGTTGCCCAGATACTGATATTGATCCGATCATTTTTTTAATCACTTTAAAGTGTAAGTGTACTTAAAGAATTGCACATAGAAGATGTTAATTTTTTATTAATTACATGTAGCTTTAAGTTAACATGTGAAGCAGGATATAAATATGAGAATAAAGTTCTGAGTTTATCTGTCAGTGCAAAGCTGTTTGATTTTTGTGATCAGTGTTACATTGGTCAAAAGTAGTACAGCAAGTCTCTTAATTTTAGCTGTACATACAGCTACAGCTGTGTCAGGGCAACCCAACAAGACAGTAGAAACAAACCAACAGTATACACACATCTGAACTGTGGGATTGACCAGGCACTCGTTACATGAATTTGCTGTCAATATCTTGAATTTGAAAGAGCAGGATGACAGAATAGGGTGAAAAGTGTGACAGGAAGGGTAAATATCAGATCTAAAAGGGGATTTGCGACTCTGTCCACAATGGTTTCCTGCTATGCTCCTTGATCCAACTCCTTCCGAGAAGAACCATTCCAAAAATTATTCCAGCTTCTAAATCATCATGAAAAAATTCTGGTAATGATGAATTTTAGTAAAAAAGTTTTTCCTAGGGTCACTCAGAGGTATCAATTAAAGCCAGTTCCTGGCAGTCTTCTGCTGCCTGCAAGACCTCTTACTGCCATCAGTCTAGCAAGCAAGCCCTTGTGTTTGGGTATCACTTAACGGCACAGCTGCTTATAAAACCATTGACAGCTGTTTATGAAAAAGTTGTTGATATCACTGTCACTCCAGTCAATACGACAAAAAAAACAGTTGCTCATTCTCCAAATTCATTAAATTAATTGTGATTTCCTCATTTATTTCCTCAGATTTCCTGAGGGACAAAATATACTATGTGTAAGGATTCTGTGTACAATTCCTCAACTACATGGAATACTGAGATCAGAAGCTTTCTTACAAAGTAATTTAGTCTTATAGATAAAGGATTCATCTTGTAAGAAACATCGAAGACGCAGAGTTGACCCACATTTCAAACTTAAAATAACAACTTAACTCAAATAACAAAAATTAAAATGGAATTCCTCAGATTTCGGTTATCGAAATAGCAATGTATAGTACAGCAGTTTCTCTGAGGAATTGTTAATCAAAGCATGAGGGTTCAACCACTAGTGTAGTGTTTTAACTATTGGAAATAATAATAATATTAATTAGAACATTAGCTAGTTACTGAGTTGCCTTGGATTTTTTAGCTTTGCTTTTTTCTGTCCTCTTGTCTCTTTTCTTTAGATTGTCCATATTAGCTTTCAACACATTCGCATATGCCTTCAAAGGAAAAAAAATTACATTATGATGTGATATGAAACACAAATGATTAGCTATGTCAGAAGTGGTTTTACTATGATCCATGTGAACAAAAGAACATCATATGGTTTGAAATTTTATCCAACTCACCATTTGAAACCTATTTACATCTTTTGAATTTACCTGTGAAGTTACAACACAATGCATTAGTTAGACATGGTCTAAGGTGGCATATATATTAATAACCCTTTAACTCCCATGAGTGATCAAGACAGAATTTCTCCCTATAATATCCATACAGTTCAAGCAGACAAGTAATGAGAATGAAGAAAAATATCAATTAGATGATTATCAGTTGATCCAGTAACAAATTCTCTGAACAAAAATCATGATACAGTATAGCAGTCAGAAAGGAGAATTACTGATGAGATCTTGGGTATGAAAGGATTAACCCTTTAACTTCCAGATCAAATTTATAATTCTCTTTCTGTTAACTATACAATTCTTATAATGTTAGTTCAGAGAATTTATTGGATCAACTAATGATCCCCAAATTGATATTGTTCTTTATTCTCATCACTTATCTGGTTGATATTGTATTGATATTGTAAGGAGAAATTCTGTCTCAGTCACTCATGGGAGTTACTTTCACCCTCTTCACTCTCTCTGCCCAGGATTTTCAATAGACACAAGTGACCTGTTGTGGAAAGCTGACAAAATGCCCATAATAGACTGGTACCCATCCAAGAGGGAGTAGTAATACTCCAAGTTGCTTCATGCTAAGGAAACTCAGATAAGCTCTTGTTGGTTGGGACACTTGGCTTGAGCACGGACTTTACCAACAGTGTTATCATACCCAAGTACACAACAAAATAATCCAGACAATTTTTATCATAATTCCTGGCTTTAAACCAACCACTAGGCTGGTGTATCTACCAGGGAGAGTTTGTAGAATGCTCTGTATGGCTCCCACCCACTTTTATGAAGAAAAAGTTAAAGAAATAAACATCTGATGGGCATGCTTGATGGTGAGAGCATGGCTAAACAAAATGTATAGCACTGCAAGATGCTAGCTGGATGAGTTTAGTAAGAAAACAACAGACTCACAGAGAAACATGAAGAGTAAGATGTATATTGACTATGTTATAATGAGCTGAACAGGAAAATGTCTGCCTCTATCTCATTCACATGGTATAGAGAGTGAAAGAATTAATAAAGATTCTCTGCTTACTACTGTACTGAGCTTCCTTTTTCCATTTGTTGCTCTAAATAAACATCTACTCTCTCCTTCTTGTTCAACTGCTGTCAACTTTTGAAGCTTTTTGCCTCCACGTGGTTTCGGTTTTGGTTTAGTTTGTCCAAAGTCTTTTCAAAATGCACACATGTAAATAAATAAATAAATGTGTCAACTTCAAAAGGAGTTATTTTGAGAAGTTATTTTGACTTAAAAACATTAAATTACAGATTGAAGCTACTGAGCAGTACTTTGATGTGTTTTTTTTTAACATGCTGAATGTGCCCTTTCAGATAAAAGCTACTGTGCTATACCTTTGTGTGGTACTGTTTACTACGCTGTACAGGGTAGGCATACCTTTGTGTGTTACTATTAAAGTGAAGTCATTTCATGCGATCATTTTCATTGTGCTGTACAAGGCCATTTGAACTTTATGCAGTTCTTTGATGGTAGTGTTTATTCTGTTGTAAAAGGTGGTTCTAACTTTAAAGTTAGTGAAGGAAATAATACAAAGCCAGTTTATCTCCCAATGATATATGTTTTACGTAGCTATTATACAGTATTCCGTTACAGGATGGAGACGAAAACAGCTTTTAAGTACTTGATAGGTAGTCTACGCTTGGCTTAACTCATTAAGTTACATTTACAGCATCTTTTTCAAAACTAAGTATCATCATACGCAGTGGAACTTCTTTACACCAAAAGGAAACCTTGATTACCGCACAAAACCAACAGAAACCCTAACTTACATCTTTTCATTGTGATATTCACTGCACCCGACGATCTCGTCTTTTGGAGAAGTAATGTGAGCTGGGTGAGGAACTAAAAAAGGAAAAAATATTCTTAAGATATACCTAATAGATTTAAGACAGACATAACCATTCAAAACTATCAAAAGAGCAAATCTTACCCCATCGTTGTCTAATAAAACCATGCTATAATTCTTTTCTCTCACATGTGTGAATCAGAGCTTAGTGACCACGTCTTCCTTTTGCGAACCATTCTGATGTGTTGCCGCAGCCCTTTCACGGGCTCTGTTACACTGGATCAGATCTTCATCTGAGCATTCAGTCTTCTAGTGACTCAAGCGAGATATTAGCTGTCCAGAATGAACTCTTTCCATTTTACAAAGGACCCACCAGATGACCAGATGTACACAGATATCAAGTCACTCAATAAGTTTGAGGAAAAGCCGTTTTGTCAGCTGTTAGACATCGTGTTTTCGTTTCTTGTCTCACCGAAGGAAGGTTCAAGATTCATGTCCCAAATTGCAGAATTCGCTGAAGAACATGGACTGGGAACTAATGCGTTGAAAAATGTCGTCAAAAGTTTGCTTAGCTTCTTCAAGAGTGCATTAAAAAGTAATTTAACACCGGCTCAAGTGAAAGAAGACCTGGAACATCTCGGTAAGCTTAGGAAAATAGGATAGGAAAGTTTTGCTGGTATTCCCTCCCCCTACTCCCTTAAAATAGAGAGTACGAGGGGGGCTGGGGTAGGGTAACTGTCAAAGGCGTGTGGAACATTCATAGGCGATCCCGAAAAGTATCAAAATCTATGTTTGGCATGAAGTATGAAAAGTTGCTTATCTTTGGAGTTATTAAGTGTTAACTAGAAAAGTTTTGTGGAACTCAGTGCTGATAGTGTGCATTAATTAGCATTGTTGAATACATTTCTGTGGTACAGCCATCTGTTGGGGAAATATACTAAAACTGGTAAGGAGTGTTACATAGCCTTTTATATCCCAGCTAAACTTTGCCTTAATCATATTGAGCCACATGAGACTTTAAGATTATTTCAAGGTAAAACACTAGCTGATGCAGTTGATCATTTCCTATCACCTATTTGTTATTTCTGGGAGCCAACAGATTCAGGAGCTAACTTGTAACATGTAAGAGATTGCCTTAAAAAATAAAAGGAATGCAGCCTTATGTTGTTGGAATACTTTTGTACAGGTTTGTCTGCAGAGAATTCTCCCCACATCTCCGAGCGATGGAAGGCAAACCTTGTTGCTCTGTCACGCTCTGTTGTTGGTCAAACATTCATGGTGAATGAACTTGTCGACATGGAATGGAAGTTTGGGGTTACAGCTGGAAGTAGTGACTTAAAAGTTGTGGGACAAACATTTTTACAGTTGAAGATGGTGGTGGATCGTGGTGGTGCACAAGAAAATGTTTTTATGGAAATGACTTTGCCACAGTTCTATTCTTTCTTGCACGAGATGGAGAAAGCTAAGTCTGCCCTTGAATATTTTAGTTGAGATGATTAATTTTGTGTTTGTATAACCTTTTAGCTCCTAAGAGTGATCAGCTTTTAAATTCTCCACGCTGAATGTTACATTAGAATCATAAGAACATGGGAAATGATTGCCAATTGACAAAGCTATTGATTTTTTGACCCGAACAAAACTCCTTAACACAACTTTGGGAAATGTGCAAAGAACAGAATGGAGAACTTGTATACTGATGGTAGGGTGTAAAGGATGTAACCTTTTGACCCCTAAGAGTGATCAGCTTTTAATTTCTCCTTTCCTTATCACCCCTAAATTAAACATTAAGTTCATGAGACTGAAAGAAATGACCACCAACTCTCTTTGTCAGCACTTCAGGAAATGTATAGAGAACAATATGGAGAATATGCATACTGATCTTAGGGTGTAAAGGATTTAAAAGTGTAGAGTGTTTTTTCTGTGGTTCAATTTTTCTTTTGTTTCACAATCTGGTTTCTTTTTTATAATACAGTGTATGTGTACTTGTTTAGGTCTGTCCAAAACTCAATGTAGAAGGAACAAAAGAGATAATTTGTGCTAAGGATGAAAATTGATCGTGGCAAACTGTGAAAGAAGCTTTAATTTCTGAATCATATGTAATATGAAACATTCTAAAACTTAACTATAAAAAGGTGTATAGGTACATGCTAGATCACGAACATCAGGTGCTACCATGATTTTCTATAGATCATGACTTAACCCTTTAACTTCCAGTAGTGATTAAGAAGTAACTTCTCCCTACAATATCCATCCACGATCCAGTAAACAGGTAATGAGAATACTCAATTGTATCAGGTAGAAGTTAGTTGTTATCTTGATCTAACATCAAATTCTCATAAGCTATTTACAAGGAAATGTGTAGCAGCTAGAGGGGAGAATTAACAATCAGATCTTGGGAGTTAAAGGGTTAAAGGTCTTCTTACATTGTACATGTAGTTGATAAGAATGACACACTTTGCACTATGGTGTAGCAAAAACTAAATTTCTTGTGTAATGTCTTTAACCCTTTCACTCCCTAGATCTCATTGGTAATTCTCCTTACTGTCTGCTATACAGTTCTTGTGATGTTAGTTTGGAGAATTTGGTATTGGATTAATTTATAATCCCTTAATCAATATTTTTCTTTATTCTCATCACTTTTGTGCTTGATATTGTATTGATATTGTGGGGAGAAATTCTGTCTTGGTCACTCATGGAAGATAAAGGGTTAAAAAAATTGGCTCTGAAAGTCCTTGAGCTTATTCCTTCTACTTATAGAAAGGTTGCAATACCAGCACTAAAGTGAAGGCCAGAATCTATTAAGATTATTGTAGCAGATAAGCTCATGGTGTGTGCCTAGAACTGTATATTTACATTGTGTATTCTTGTTATTTCTGTCACCTCCATAACTTGCAGCGTTAAGATTTATACAATAACAATAAAGATTTATCATTTTTCTCACAATGTAATCACTTCCCACATGGATGGTAATATTTCACCTGCAAACTGCGACAAATGCTAACTGTTAAAAGCCCATTTTTTATCCTTATGAAGCATGGTCCAGAACACCATTTTTATAACATATTGCAGAAACATGGTACCTGTGACAACAGATTGTGCTTTCACCTCTCAAAAACTTTTTTTATTCTTTGATGTCCTAACTTTGCCTACTTCATATTTTTGTCCAGCATTATTTATTTTCCTTCCTGTTGGAGTTCAGTAGCTGCCTTCGTTCTTCTCTGTGTCTGGCAGCAATTTTATCGTACTGCCTACGAATGTTGCTAAAAAATTCTGTCATTAGATTGTTTGTTTCTTGAATAAACATGTTTCTCCTGTTGTTATTCCTTCTGGTTTCGTCATCTGCTACTGTAAATGAAGTAACATAACATTTAAATTTTGTTTGATTTTTTCAAACCAAAGCTTGTGCCTAGCTGTCTAATTTCTATGTCAGAACAAACAGGGAGAAGCCCCCCTATAGCTGAAATGACTCTCAATTGGGAGGTCTGGGTTTGAGCCCTGTTTTGTTTTTGGACCAATGACTTTACTCCCACAGTGCATTTCTCTCTAAAGGTTGTAAGCAGATCACAGCAAACTGTCAAAGCAACCAGATGACATACTATGAAGACTTAATTTATGTTATAATAAAGTTTGAGTCTTTTTTATAAAACAAATAAAGAAGCCATGACTGTGCTCTGTTCTGTTGTAAAGAACTTAAGAAGCCACCAGAGCACTCAAGAAATGGGGAGAAACACTTAACTATTTCTCATGTTTCTCCCTACACTTCTTTTATGCTCTAGCCACTTCCTGCATGCTTAACCACAGAGCAGAGCACAGTCAAGGATTCTCTATTTGTTAATCAAAGTTCCTCCTTTTCACTTCTGGGTGTTTAAAAAAAGGAATTTCTCTTTTAAGTGCCACTACTTTTTTAAGCACAAAGGCAATGAGACAAAAATGGAATGTAATGTGAAGGTCATGGGACAAAAATGGAATTTCACATAACAATGATAATTACTTCTTCAAGTAAAAAGGTTATAAGACAAAAATGGAATGTAACGTGAACGTAACGTGGTCATGTGACAAAAATGGAATTTCTCATGACAATGCCATTACTTTTTCAAGTAAAAGGTTTTTACACAAAAATGGAATTTAATGTGGAGATCATGTGACAAAAATGGAATTTCAAGCAAAAAGGTAACAAGAAACAAAACTATCAATTAAGGGATATTGTTTAATTTAATAACTAATTCTCAGGGTTAAAATTATTTTGGTAGTAAATGAGCGAATAGCAATTTTTTAAGGTTACTGTACCTCGTTTCATGCGATGCTTCATCCATCTGCAGAAATCAAGAATACCTCCACATATAATGGCAGTAGCCAAAATTGCTGACAACACAATCACATTGAATCTGTAGGTGTTCTCGGAACTGTCAAACATTCCTGTTGCCATTTGTTCTGCTAATGAAGTTTCAGCTTGCTAAATGAAAATAATTCAACAAAAAATTAGCCCCCTTCTATGTTGAGATGTAATTATACCTGATTCATAAGTGGTTTCAAAATAGGGTGAAATTCATGGGCAACTTAGGATACAAAACTCTTTGATATTGATATGCAAAGTTTGAAGTTTAGGGAAAAAGATGTTTTGTGTAGTTATACACAAGACTTATTATAAAAACCTGGTTTGTCGAGAGCATTTAGTCAATGTATAATGGTGTGTGAAGTTGACATGATAACCCAATATCTGCAGAAGATATTGGGTTATCATGTTGAGTTCAAAGTCTGCCTAGTTTCCAAGCCTGTCGTCCATGTAGTGTTCTCAAACTTTTGCAAACTCAGAGAGGTATCTCCTTATGCAAACTGTTTTAAAAATGTATGATAAAACAAATATTGATTTCGGTTTTGGCATGATATTATGAATTATCAAATCTTATGTCTGTGTTATCCGCCCCAGCCTTCAGCTTCAGCAGATAACTCAGACCTCTGCTTTGATGATTTATGATATCATACTCAACCTCATCCAATAATTTCTTAATATTATGCATTCATACTTGTAAAGTGGCTGTGTACTTCTCTACAAGGTGTGCTAACATTGATTTTTCATTCTTGAGATAGTCAAGGAAGCAGTGCTGCAATCTGACTGAGTTCCCCCCCAAAACAATGCCGAACGATGAACGGTAGTCAATGAGCTACGGAGAGAAAAAATATATCCTTAATTGTTCGCTTGTGATGAGAAGTCAGTTATCAAATTAGCCTTGTCTTGGAGATCGCCATGTATATTACGATAGTATGATTTGTTTTTGCATCCTGCAAAATTGTCGTCAAGGTTGAGAGAGACTGCTTTGTATTAGTTTATTAAGGGGGGGGGAGAAGGCTGAATAACCCAGAAGAGAGCAAAGACAGGCTACAAATAGCCAACTTGAGGATATAGAGACTAAATTCTGGGAGTTTACATTTTATAGGACCATAAATGAAATCAACTTGGTGCGACTTGGAAGAGGGGGGGAAGCCTGGATTCCATATATTCGCCTCATGTCTCAGGCTATGTAGTTCCGTGAGAGTTCGAGATTAGGCTTGTAGTCAATCATAACAAAAAGTGCATTTGTGGTGTGTGTTTACCTTGTAAATTTGTAATGATTCATCTTGAAACAAATCGAGTCTTTCAGCTACTACGTATGTGTCAATTAAGGCCCCCTCCACCACTCCTCTCAATAGATCTTCTCTTATCTCCTCAAGATTGGTGTAGTTACGAGCTGTGGAAGGAAGTGTCTTTTCAGTTAGTGGAAATTAAATTATTTTTGCTGCTACCACACATGTGCAGATAAACGTGCACGTTATAGAGGAAGGTTCTTTGAACTTATCCCACCTCAGTGATTCAGGAATTCTTCAAAATTAAATTTATATCTCGTTGACGACATTGTTAGTTACATTTGGTATTTCACTTAAGCCTTACTTAAGTTGCTTGTGACGAAAACTTTTAAACCATGGAAGAATTCTTTGATTTCAGTATCTAAGTACATGAATGGTAGTATTTCAATTGAAGTCTAAAATTATGATAGGCTTTTCTATCTCTTTTAGGAGAACATCTTGCATATAGAAGACTTACTGAGTTGGATACATTAGATAAACGATAGAATCTGTATGAGCAAACTAACCATTGTTGACTTGAGCATTTCTTCTCAATGCAAGATTATACTCAGGGGAGTCGCGTAGAACGGCCACCTGGGAACAGATGTTGGCAAGAAATATGAGTCATTAGTGGCCTAAAAGTGAGGTAAAGTTAGCCATCTTGATTAGAAAACCTTGGTTTCAAGATCGAGAGACTACACTAAAGAATTGCGCTTTGTTGCAAGCTCAGTTTACGTTACTTTTCGTATGTTTTTGTCCTTCGTTTCAACTGTCTTTTAGAAGTACAATTGCTTTGTTTTGCCTTGCTATTGCAGTGAGAACTTCTATAAAAACTGCAAACACGAAAAGTCGCCATTCCCAAAATAACTCTGTTGCCAAATGTTCATGCCACTCGGTCTAATAATTTCTTACCTTCAATCCATAAAGTTTGATATTACTGTTATCAACAGTGGTTACAGTCAGTCCTGCTATTAAACAGCTGGACAGTAAAGAGAACACAACACACCCCGCAATCATCCAAACCATAGCTAACCATTTAGCCACAAACGAACGGGGTGTCTTGTCACCATATCTACAAGCCACAAAGGACAACCTATCAATAAATGTAACTATTTCTTTCACCTGGCAATGAGCGAGACAAAATTTCCTGTTCTTGGTCTTACCCTACTGTTGAACAAGTGACGAACGCCCACCATGTGCCTTCCCAGAATCCTTTTAGGAACGAAGGAGAAAGTTCTGAGTTCTCGGAACAGTCCTGAAATCAATTTACGACGTGAAATCAGTTCAAACGTGAAGAGAAATTGATTAGTTTTTATTGCATGGCAGGGTAGTCCTAGGGTCAATCCGAACGTTCCGAGTGGTTTTGACTTGGTCGGGATTTTGCCATACGGACTGTTTCTACGGAAAAAATCATAAGCCGTGTATTTTTGTTCGCGAAAGCTGGCAAATTCAAAATAAACAAGTTTCTTCCGAGTGCCATATAATAAACCACTCATCAACCTCGCTTGCTCGAGCCGTATTAAGGAATGTTCCCCTCGGTTGTTTTAATACGGACCTCGCTTTCTTCGCTCCGTACTGCCACAACCTCGGGCAAATATTCCCCAGTACGGCTCTTGCGCTCGATTGGTAAGAAGTTAATCTTCACACGGACAGAGGCACAAAATGAACGCAGACGCAGTGCAGAGGAACGTTGACATTTTCCCCCGCTGCGCGCTCGTAAACACGAACTTGCTCCGCGTTTCCTCTCATAGCTAATGATGATAAAAATAAGAAAGACAATTACAGTGAAGAAACGTGATAATGTAACACAATAAAAACAAGACGACTATGGAATACTAAAAGAATGATGGAAATGGTAATATTAGAGGTGCATGGTAGTGATGAATCTTTATTATCACGAGATAGCGAACCAATCAGATTGCTTAACTCTAATCGTTTAATTACAGTGATTAAAGGTTAAGTACTTCCTATCGGTATTTCTCTCACCGTTATCCAATATAAAAGTCCAGATGATAAGACAAACACAAAAACTAAAGCAGCAAGCGGCCAGCATTCAGCTAATGCATTTGTTATCGGTGCGTTCGGTTTCTTATATCGGACAATGAAGGCCGCCCCAGGGGACTCCACCACGGGAACATACTTGAACGTTCCTGAATACGTCCGCTGATCAGACGAACCATGCACTGGAAAATGCAAATCTGTCACGTGATCAATGGCGTCTATCATGTTGTGTTCTGTAGGCTTCTTTGCAAAGTTCTGATCGCCATCTGAGTTGTAATCGACGAAAGAAGTCCCATGTCCACTTGTACAATTTGCACAACACTGGAAAACCATCTGGTCCAAGATGGTCATGAAAATTCCGCTCATATTATTGGCAGAGGGGCTGATGACGTAAGGTGGATTCAACCAATAGTTTGCAGTCAATCGCTTTTCACATCGACATGTCTCTAAGAAGAACAGCAATGATAATTTGTTTCGGGTAAAATTGAAGGCTTATCAGGTTTTTCTAAAATATAGTAGACAAAAAATTTGCTTCCTTTAAAAAAAGGGAAAAACTTTTCTTAAAGAGTTGCGAATTGTTTGATAAGCCACTGGCTACCACTAGGATAGGAGAGAATTAGAAAATATAAGGCTTTTAACAAATTTCTCACCGGTTTAATAACCCACACATGACAAAGAACCCTAGGAACGACACGCTTACCATTTCTGAGCCCACGAACGCTATTTCGCTTTCGGAGAAAAGAACCTGGGAACGGCTTGAGTTATTTTCTTTAGGATATTTACCCTCATATTTGGCCGTGCTAAATTTTCCCACTCCGTACTTTGTGAGTCCGGCCACTCTAATGGCATAAGTCGTAAAACTCAACACACCATCTAAGACCATGAAGTGAGTGTCTGCTCTGACGCTCTTCGTCTTTGCTACCGCGTCTGTAACTTTGACGCCGCCGATGCTGACCTCCGTGTACGACACTACATAGCCTTTCAGTTCTCCATTGACCTCGTCATCCAGGATATTCGTCCATCGAATGAATAAGTGGTTTGTACTGGTGAGACCCAGGCTGGTGATATTTCTTGGGGGAGCACTGGGGACTAAATGGCAAGGATGGAAAGTGTCTGGTGGTTAAAGGGGCAAACTCGCGACAATTTTGATGATTTGAAGCTTTTTCTTCAAGATCATCGCCATTAAATAGGATGCAACGAATAAATCATTTTTGTTAGCGTTGAAAGACAATAAAAAAGGAAGAAAATACCAGAAAAGAACAAGGATGGCCTTTTTTTTTTTGCAATCTTTGGGCCAAGAGGAGTTAGTAGCTTCTCCTTGCAAGGAGATGCGGTAACGCCAATTACTGGGGAGCGAAATAATCCAACTCCTCAGATGTTACCGACCCTGTGACACAAACAAAGTAGCGTATCTGTGACCCAGGGAACCCGGTGGAATGTTTTATGAATAAACTCTTTTATTCTTAGAAAATTCTGATCTAAAAGAGAATTCACTCTCTTTCCTCGTTGACCAAGTGATGTCCGGGAAGTTCGGGAAAGGTAAAAGAGAAGGAGGTGGGGTCAAAGTTCAGTCGAGCTGAGAAGTCCGTGTGACCACAGTTTGCTGGAAGAATTTAACTCACCGCTTTCTAGTGTTGTAATAATAACAGGATGCGATGGATTTCCTTCGCTTTGGTCACTGGAAGCCCTGACTATTACTTCGTAAGACAAGCCAGGTCTCATCCCGGATAGAACCAATGATCGTTTGTCAATTCCATACACGGTTACAACACTCCAGTCTCCCACTCTGCCAACCACTCGATACTGGACCTTGAAACCCTGATACAGTACATTATCATTTGGGTTGATCATGAACGACCATCTCAGCGAAATTAAATCGGATAACACCAACAGAGCTTGAATATTCTCCGGTCTTTCCTGAGACTCTGTAACAAAGATAATGGTGTAAAGCTAGCGTAATAAGAAGAAAGATTTTTTCTATCCACAGTAACCTTAAGTTTATGAATTTTTTTTCGGTCTATCCTAGAGCTCAGTTCGTTTGGAATTTTTACGACGCAAATCTCACAGTGACTCGAAGAAAAAAATAAAAAACCTGCAAACTGGCTAAAAGGCGGGAAACGTGGGTGATATGATTGAGTCGCCAGTGGTGAACAGATAGGCGCACTCTTTTTGGATTTATCACATATGAGGCAAAATTACTGAATGATGACTAGCTGAGACAGGGCGGCACTTTTTTAAACCAGGAGGGTACTTTCGGTAACCAAGATAGCATGATTACTTGATGCTAATTGAGCCTTTTTTGCTGTTTGAGAAAATACACGAGAAATTAATCCTTAATTGCCCTCGGGCCCATGCGATTACATATAAAATTCTTATGGAAGATCAAAATAAACCGATTCAGTCGTTAAGGTGTACTGACACTCAAAGAAATAAGGTACTCTAAGCGGATTAAACTGAAACAGAGTGTGTAACAAAATCCTGTTAAAGGCATGCGCTCATTGCCATTGTTCAACTTTATAGTGAAAGTCACTCACCGATCTCCTTTGTAATGAACTGCACAGGCTCAGAAGGAACACTGTCTCTGCCATTCGAGGTTAAAACCATTATGTTAACTTGGTACGTTGTGAGTGGCGTTAGATTTTGAAGAAATGCGGAAGTAGTCCCAGCATCCGGGATCTCCAGCTGCAAACGGCTTGCTCCACTCGTGTACGTCATTCTGAAGCCGGTGACAAAGCCAGAATTTGCGCATGCTCCGTTATAAACCCATTCGATCGAGACATTAGTAGCAGTGACGTCGTGAACACTAGGCTGTTGGGGAGGTTGACAAGGAGCTGAAGAAGAAAAGATGGGAAGGAAGAGAAGAAACTCTTTATCTAAACATACATTCGAAACTCAGTAGTAAAGCACTGGAATAAACCTTCGCCAAAATAGACTAAGGAGCTAAAAAAAACTCGGTCAATGAACAATCTCGCGTGATTGTTCAAATGATGTAAATTCTACTCACTTATCTCTTCTGTGATGAACTGCCTAGGCTCAGAAGGAACACTGTCTTTGCCATTTGAAGTTAAAACCATTATCTGAAATTTATATGTTGTGACTGGCGTTAAGTTTTGAAGAGATACGGAGGTAGATCTCGGACCCGGGATCTCCAACTGCGAGCTATTCGTACCACTCGTGTACGTCACTCTGTAGCCAGTGACAAAGCCAGCATTTACGCATGCTCCGTCATAAACCCATTCAATAGAGGCGTTGGTATCAGTGACATCTCGTACAATAAGCCGTTGGGGAGGAGGACAAGGAACTGGGAAGGAAAAGTAAGAATACATTATCTATACAAACACGATCAGAAATATCAAACAGCGAAGAAATGTTTTGTAATTAAGAAACTTAAATAACCTATTTTCACCATTGGAGCCAAAAGCCCGTAATTATTGCTACTAGAGAGAAACTTCGAGGCATCGAATATCAATTTGAGTTTTCCAGTGGCAGACTTCGCTAACAAACTGGGACTCTCTCGAACTTTTCAGTGAGATTAAATCGAAGAACAAAAGAGGCATTTGAAGATCCTCTTGCACTTCTGGGGGAAAATGCAAGGATTATGATACTTCTCCTGATGTGACACAAAGAAACTCTCATGTTCTATAGACCTAACCTTAAAGTTGATAAATTTCTATAGGTCATTACAAAATTTATTTCGATTGAATTTTGTATAAATCAAATTTCAACGTGATTCAAGGAAAAGGCAAGCAAAATGGCTGAAGCACGGGTAAACGCTGGTGACCAAGATGTGATTAGTCCAGAAAGTAGCGCACGTTTTTTAGACAAATCACAAAAAAGCGTATTATAAAACAAACACAAACCAGGATTCTTTGAACACTCAGTAAAAAGGCGCCTCAAATGAACTTAGAACAAAAGTGAGTAACAAAGTTAAGGGTGCAACTTCTACTCACTGATCTCTATGGTAATGAACTTTACAGGCTCAAAAGAAACACTGTCCTTGTCAAAATAGCCTAAGGAGCTAAAAGCCTAGTTGAAGAACGCTTTAATTGCGATTGTTTAAAGGGTGCAAATGTACTCACTGATCTCTTTTGTGTTGAACTGCACAAGCTCAGATGGAACACTGTCTTTGTTATTTAAAGTTAACACCATTATTTCAACTTGGTATGTTGTGTTTGGCGTTAGATTTTGAAGAGATACGGAAGTAGACATCGCATCCGGGATCTCCAGCTGCGAGCGGTTCACACTACTCGAGTACGTCACTCTATAGCCAGTAACAAAGCCAGCATTTGCGCATGCTCCGTCATAAAGCCATTCAAAATAGGCATTGGTAGCAGTGACGTTCCGTACAACAGGCTGCCGCGGAGGTGGACAAGGAGCTTGAATGGAAGAGAAGAATTACATTATATAAGCATACATTTGACACTTAGTAATAAAGCACTGGAATAAACCTTCACCAAAATAGAATAAGGAACTAAAACCCTGGGTAAAGAACGCTCTCATTGCGATTGTTTAAAGGGTGCAAATCTACTCACTGCTCTCTTTTGTGATGAACTGCACAGGCTCAGAAGGAAGACTGTCTTTGCCATTTAAAGTTAACACCATTATTTCAACTTGGTATGTTGTGTTTGGCGTTAGATTTTGAAGAGATACGGAAGTAGACATCGCATCCGGGATCTCCAGCTGCGAGCGGTTCACACTGCTCGAGTACATCACTCTATAGCCAGTGACAAAGCCAGCATTTGCGCATGATCCGTCATTAAGCCATTCAATATAGGCATTGGTAGCAGTGACGTTTCGTACAACAAGCTGCCGGGGAGGTGGACAAGCAGCTTGAAAAGAAGAGATGATCACATTATCTAGGCACACATTTGACACTCAGTGGTAAAGCACTGGAATAAACCTTCACTGAACTATTGAATAGGCTAAGGAGTTAAAAAATTAGTTGAAGAACGTTCTCATTGCGATTATTCAAAGAGTGCAAAATCTACTCACTGCTCTCTTTAGTTATGAACTGCACAGGTTCAGAAGGAACACTGTCTTTGCCATTCGAAGTTACAACCATGATTTCAACTTGGTATGTAGTGTTTGGCGTTAGATTTTGAAGAGATACCGAAGTAGACATCGCATCCGGGATCTCCAGCTGCGAGCGGTTCACACCACTAGAGTACGTCATTCTATAGCCAGTGACAAAGCCAGCATTTGCGCATGCTCCGTCATAGAGCCATTCAATATAGGCATTGGTAGCGGTGACGTTTCGTACAACAAGCTGCCACGGAGGTGGACAAGGAACTTGAAAGGAAGAGAAGAATTACATTATCTAAGCACGCATTTGACACTAAGTAGTAAAGCACTGGAATAAACCTTCACCAAAATAAGCTAAGGAACCAAAAGCCTGGTTAAAGAACGCTTTCATTACGATTACTCAAAGAGTGTAAAATCTACTCACTGATTTTTTTTGTGATGAACTGCATAGGCTCAGAAGGAACACTGTCTTTGCCATTTAAAGTTAACACCATTATTTCAACTTGGTATGTTGTGTTTGGCGTTAGATTTTGAAGAAATACGGAAGTAGACCTCGCATCCGGGATCTCCAGCTGCCAGCGGTTCGCACTGCTCGAGTACGTCACTCTATAGCCAGTGACAAAGCTAGCATTAACGCATGCTCCGTCGTAAACCAATTTAAGAGAAGCATTGGTAGCAGTTACGTTTCTCACAATTAGCTTCTGGGGAGGGGGACAAATAGCTGAAAAGCAAAAGTAAGAATTCAACAATTAAGCATACACGATTAGATAGCTAAACAGCGAAGAAATTTGATGTGGATTTGCTAACTCTTCAAACTGAATGTTTTTTCGTGTTTCGCACCGAAGCCAATAGCTCTTGATAAAAGCTACCAAAGAGAAATTTTGAAACATCGAAAAAATCAAATTCAATTTTTGAATGGCAAACTTATCTGACCATGTGAAATCTGCAGTAATCTTAAAAGAAATGTAAATAATTATTGTAAAATTTCCCTGGAGAAAATAAAGCTTATACAGAGAAATTCGAAAATACAAAGATTAAAAAAAACGTTGGAATACCTCCATCGTCCACGACAGCACACTTCCTCAGGGATACCGGTCCAATCCCCCTCCTGCTAAATGCTGCCACAGCAACACAATAATTCTGGTACACAGTCAGGTTTGACAAACTTGTGTTCGCACGAAATGGGCACGTCGCAATCGCGATTTCTTTGCCATTTTCTCGAGCCACTCGCACGTGATAACCTATTACAACGCTGTGAGCGGCATTGGAAGGGACACGTGACCAGGTTATTTGAAGGTCTGAGTGGTTGGTTGTTCGTACGAAAACGTTTTCTGGTGGAGAGCTGGGTACTAAAGAGGAAAGAAACGAAGGTGATGACGCAAATCTCAGTTGGATGTTGAGGGTTGCACTATATATGCAGCTCCTCTTAATATTTTTCTTAGTTCTAATGCGCGTTTTTTTAACGAGGTTTGGGATGTAATTTCATTTTTTCCCCTCACGCCTACTGGATTTAAACATCTATCCAGCTTACCTTGCAGATCTTGGGTGCGGACGAGTACTTTACTGCTGAATTCACTGATAAGTGCATTGTGGACAGTAGCCACACAAACGTTATATTCAGTTGCCATTCTGAGGTCTGTAATCACATATGAGGTGGTATTAGCAGTGGCATTCCTTTCAACTCCGTTTCCGTCTTCTGTCCACCGGACAACATAACACAAGCTCGCATTTATAACCTCAGCCACAATTACCCGGTTCCAGTTCACTGTTATGGATGTGGGACTTGTTGAATGTGCTGTCACGTTTTGTGGATGAGAGAGGGCTGAGGATGAAAATGATGATGGTCAACGTCTGCTCAAAGCGATGGAATAAAAAATTTCATTGGTGTAAATTTCAAAGGAGTGTCGAAAAGTATTATGGGATTTCTTTAGTTTTCTATACTTCGCATGGCCCAAAAAACTCGCGCCAGTTTCTCAACCAATCAGGTTCAAGACTAAAACCAAACGCAACTAGGTCATTCGCGTTTTCTTGAATTAAGGAAGGTTGCTTGTTTTTACCTTAAAAGTTCTTTTACGAAAACTTATTTACTCACTTACCCACACTTCAGCTTGTGCCCCAAAATACTCAACTGTTCTATCGTGAAACGGACTTTTGTGGTTTACGAACGACGTCAATATTGTGGCCACATCGAAATCTTTACGAAAGAGGTTTTTAATGGTTAGAGACGTTTACTTACGCTCTTTATTTGTGGTGGCAATTACGCTCTCACTATAATTTCCATCTCTAATAGTAAACGCTGACACTTGCACTTCATATGTTGTTTGAGGCTTTAACCCACTGAGCTCGATATAATTTCCGCTGCTGCCAACAGTTTCCGTAATCCAATCAAGAGCACTCGTTTGCGCAAGCTCTTTGAAGCGAACCTTATAACCCCGCAGAATGCCATGAACAAACTCTGCCTCTACTGGTATCCAGGTCACTCGTATAACTCCCGTGCCATTAGCAAAGGCGGCTACATTTCCTGGCGGGCGGCTCGGAACTGGGAAACGAAAAAGTAAACGGCAAATGATTATCTGGATATCCCAAACGTTAACGTTAATTTATCAGATTACCATGACGACAATGGTAAATAGATTCAACTTAAGTAAAGTTTAAAAGATAGGAGAAATGCTAGTACTATTGTAATATCTAAAAAAAAAAAATCGATTTACCGTCTTCGCCTGTGATAGACTGCACATTAGAGGCAAGTCCAGTCCCCCTCCTTGTATATCCTTGTATAACAATCACATATATAGAGAACTTTTCTAGGTCAATTGCTTCGGCAGAAGTGGCGTTTGAACTTGCCGTTAAAAATGTTGGGCGTTGTGATCCCGCCTCAGCAAACACAAGTTTGTATCCTAAAAGAATTCCCCGAATTTTGTCTTTGGGTATCGGTTCCCACTTTATAAATATTGACGTGGAACTTGTGTTATGCACCGCAGTTATTTTTGGACCAGCAGAAGGAACTGAAAAGAAAAACCCAACTAGCTTATTATGGAAAATTTAAGACTTTTGGAACACTTTTTTTTTGTGCAGATACTGGTATTAATTATAGTAATTTACCATTTTGTTTTAAAACATTGTGACTTGTTGGCCTTTGTGGGCCCCTGTCGGCTTCTTCGATGTAAGAGGCTTGATAACTAGTTCTCTTCAGTCTTTAATTTCGTTCTTGTCTTAAAACTGTGGTAACCGTTTTAGTTGATATTTATTGTGTTCAAGTAAAGATAAAAGGTATAATGTTAATATATCAATTATTACAGGTTTTGCCCTCCGTTTACCAATTTACCCAAAGAAGATTTCCCCTAACTTCTATACGAAAGTACGTGCTCCTTTTAATGCAGGTGGCGTGGTCCATTTTATATTGCATGGGGTGAAATTTTCGAGGTAGGGGCGAACTTGCTATCGGGCAAACTCCAGATACCGTTTGTATACATAAGCATACCTGCTTCATCTGTTGAAATCTTTGCCTGTCCCCAAATGTGACCTGCAGTGTCATTCATCCCGACAACTTTTACTTGCACCACATACACTGTAAATGCCTCCAGGTGCTCAAGCTGAATACTGTTCGTTGTCTTGGAGACTTGCCTTAAAACAGCTGTGACTTCGCCATCAGTTATTGCCCAATACCTTACGATAAAGCCAAGAAAGTCGAGGGATACCGAGTTCCAAAAGACTTTTATAGCATTGCTGCTTATGTTGTGACCATAGACTTCAAGGCGTTGCTCTTCGCAGAAAAAATGGAAAAGACAAAACTTTCAAGGAATTTCAGGAAAAAAGAAAAGTGAAATATATATATTATCACAATAAATGACTTGGAGTGTATGTATGAAGTCTTTCATCACAAAAGATAAGTCCACATTGAATATCAATTTAATCTCTTGAGAATCACTATTTGAACAGGAAACGTGTCAATTACTTTGGATGTATGTTAGAGTTCCATTTTCCCTCCTCTCTTTTATAAAGATCAATTTGTCATCTGGTAGCCCATTACTGCCAAGAAATCTCTATTACTGTTATTCGATCTGTTAATTTAATTCGAAGCTAAGGTTGGAGAAACATAAAAAAGAAGGAAGGAATTATTATAGAAATGACTCCCCTTCCCCATCCCCAAAGGTTCCACGCAGCTTGATACACGAAGCTCCCTCGTCCCGTAAACATCAAGGCACTGTTACCTTGTGTCGTGACGTTGACTGGTTGACTATGGCGCCCATCGCCATACACATTGAAGGCAAAGACCATAAGGATGTATTGCGTGCTTGGCCTCAGGTCCTTAATCAAAACACTCGTAACAGCACCATACGTGACGAATGCCTTGTAGGGCGACTCAACACTGGTCGCCTTGTAAAGAATCTTATAGCCTTGTAGTGTTCCCTGAGATTCTTCCTCAGGCAATCCGGTCCAGGTCACACTTACACAGGTGCTATTTGGAGCATGTGCATCAATGATTCTGACGCTTCCGTCTGGAACTAAAAGGGAAAAGCTTTTTTAAAATTAATTTTCAGATATAAACACTTTTTCAGAACATCGTGTAGGTTAGGTTACGAAATCTAGGTTGTTTGTCATACGGAAATTCAATTTTCCTTAAACATGCATTGGACCACATTGTTTATTACCACCGTTTGCTCCACATTTTCATTGTTCTATATTTTCATTGCTATGCTTTTTCACGGTGTTGTACTCGTGGTATAACTTGTCACTGATGGAAATTACAAAAGAACAGTTTTCACACGAAAAGAAACATTTTCTCCGCAGGAAAGGAGCCTTATTTCCTTAGATATGGGGCTCCACTCACGCGTTCCTCGCACGTGACTATGTTAAGTAGTAATCTTAATGCACCTATTGGTAGCCAGGATGCGTCAGCCTCAGGGTGGAACGAAAAATACATCTAGTTAAAAAAAATTATTAGGAGGACAATCTTGTTCTTATTGCGTCTCAAAATACCCTGTTTTAAGAAAATAAACCATTTGAGGCCAATCTTGTAGCAAACGCTATCACATAATAAACTGACCAATACTGATACGTATATCATTAATCAACCAATCGTTAATTTGACACAGTTCTTTTTCGAACTGTAAGTCTGTTCAAATCATTTCATACCATTCACAAAGCGAATTGCCTCACACTCGATCGCCATGTTTCCCAGAGACTTATTGGTAAATAAAACTTCTTCTATCAAGAGTATGACGTCGTACGAAAGCGTATCGAATGACAGGGTTAGATTTGCGATGACACTTCCAGCTCTAAGAAAGGAAAACACAAAATATAATTATTTATTTCATTACGTGCTTCTTGAAAATTTTTTCTTTCTACTTTACTTGTTTAAATCATAAGAACTGCAAATCACCAACCTAAAATTGTGAACTTTCATTCCAGTGAAGTAAGGAGTCTCAATAAACAGAGATGAGAACTGAAAGAAAGGATGAAATACGAATGAAATTCTCGCCAGTAAAATTTTTTCCGAAAAATTCAATTTGAAAGAAAAAAAGCTTTGCGAAAAATTTAATTTGAAAGAAAACAAGTGGAATAAACTTGTAATGACCATTAGAACTTGTGTAGAGTTTCAAGCAAATTCTTACCTTCTCAGTTAGTTTTTCAGTGAAAAGGTTGTATTTATCGCTCTCAGGATCTTTAAGTCTGTCCTGCCAAGCCTCGTGTGGGAACTTCAATTCAAAAAGCACCTTCTTGGGTTTTACTGAGCAAAAAGAGGAAACTTTGTGTAACTGTCTCCTTGTATCGCATCAAATCTTCACTTAACACCAAACGTGATCATTTCCTACAGAACTAGGAAGCTAGCCTGCGTGTAGCCGTACCCTTCTCCCCCCCCCCCCTTTGGAAAATGGAAGGGAGGGAACGGGAACGTTAACGAAAACCTGACACAAATCGTGTTATGTGACGTCATCATTATCTCTATTTCTCCAAGGGGGGTAGGGTACGGCTACACGTAGGCTACTAGGAAGCTGGATTCGAAATTATCCGTTCGCGAATAGCCACATGTATGAAGTTTTCATTATGCTTTTCTGTTTGATGATTATCGTGTTACTGATAAAGTCAGACGAATTATGGCAAATGTCTGATAACTTTGTTGGTTCGTATCCAAAGAAAATGTCTACCCTTTGAGAACTCTACCCTATTTCACTCGACGGGATAGCATGAATAATTTCCCAACTGATGATTTTCTCTTATCATGCAGGAACAAATTATTTGAGATCTCCGAAATATCTTAAGGGAGCTACTGAATTTTGCGATTTTTTATACAGGTGACAGAATATAAATAAGAGTAGAAACTCGACATGTTTTGAGATTTTGTTAATAGCTGAGTTATTATGAGTTATTAATAAGAAAGGCAGACAGTGAATGATTGGTAAACGATATTTTGAGTCGGGTCCGAATACGAAGCGGCACTTGACTCATCACTCGAATTTTTCTTTTTTTTTTGCGGATTAAGGACAATTTGAAAAATCCGCGGAAATAAAAACGACAACATTTAAACATTCTTGAAACCAGGTATCACACGGAAATCTTCTTTACCTGTGTGTATGTAAGAAAAGATTTTCTCTGCTTCCGAAAGAGATAAAGCTTTGTTCCACACTGCCAACTCATCCATTGAAAGTAAGAACTTATTGCTTCCAATTCCTATCTTTCTAACAGTCTCAAACCCCAAAACAGTCGATGTTTCAGTACAGTTAGCATAAGCTGGTAACCTGTGGCCATTGAGGAAAATCTCGATGGCTCCTCTGTGCAACCACATTATGGTCACGTGACTCCAGGCATTTGTGGGTACAGGGACCCCATAGCTACAAAAGTGAGTTTGCGATGAGAAGAAGACCTCGATCCCAGCAAGTAACTCATCTTCTATGTGAGCACGAAAAGCCACGCCTTCGTGGTACATTAAGTACTCAACAGTTACACTTTCCGAAGTTGGCAATGGTGTGAGGAAAAACGAAGGGCTAAACTTTGGTCCAAACAATTTTATCCAAAAGGCCACAGTCATCCCATTTTGACACAAGGATGGTCGGTCAAAGCAGCTAGTCTCGAGGAGTTTAAGATGAGCTTTTCCCGAAAGCTGAATGGCTCTGTTTACTGGACCAATGATCAATGATACATTATTTACTTGATCTGCAAAATCATTAGATCCATCTGGTGAATGAACCAAAGAAAGTGGATTCCCAGTTTTCAAATCTAAAAGGTTCGATTCGTCGAAAGGAAGATAACTTATGCTTTCATTGTAGATGGTGGCCACAAGAGCTGGGAAAAAAACCAAAAAAATATTTGAAAGATAAATATTTAATTTCTTTTATACACGATTCTCGTCGTCATATCAAATCAACAAGGCTCTTTCCCTGTTAAGAGTCTTAAAAGACCCAATAGACTGTATGGTGATGTGTGGACAGCGCCAAAGCCCCGAGTACAAAAAAAAAAGGAAATAAAGAGTATTGATAAGTATTGGCAGGATTTGGTAACCCCATCCTTAAAGCTTAAGAGGAGGTTCCCCCCCCTGTCTATGAGCACGACATGGTTTCCCTATCCATTGGCACAAGTTCGATATGGACGCGAGCAAAAAAAGCACTGGGTCGAAGACGTCAAATTGAGGCTTAATGGCACTCTTGAGACATTCAAAGAAATCTCACCATTTTCGCACGATTCGGTTACATAGTCCAGGTCTCCACAAAAACATTTGCCCATTTCACGACTACAGAAGCCTGGGGCTTGGCATGGAGGTTCACACACTGGACCTACAAATTTAAAAGATCGACTGTTAAAATTTTCATCGGCTTTCCTGTTGTCTCAGCAAAAACGTGACCAGTAAAAAATTTACCAACATCTCTTTCTAGGATTGAAAGTTGATCCATTCAAGATTAGGAACGTATCAACATTCTCCCTTCTCACTGCGATTCTTCGACTATCATGGAACAACTGTAATGATTCCCTTCTCTTTTATAGTTAGGCAGGCCGATCAACATCTGTCAAAAGAGAGGGAGATCGTTGCCCGCTCACATCAACACGTAGATGTGATCGTTGAGCTCTCAGGCAATGTTTTGGTTTTGTGAAGAAGCGAACGTTTTATGTAATCTGGGCTAAATTTAGTATTTCCCTGCTCAATCCCACTTTTCTCAAAGCCAAAAACAAGAAAGTCAAAATACCTTTTATATCTTCAACTTCTGCTTGACTCAATGCTCTCTCAAATAGCTTCACATCTCTGATATAGCCTTGGTAGCGTGACAAGTTACGGTTTTCATTTCCAGGTCCGATGTGAAAATATTGCGCATCGGACTTGAATGGAAGATCTACCGAATGACTAACTTGGAAAGTTTCCTTCTCGTTATCTACCCAAAGACAAGCGGTACGCTGCTCTAAGTTCCACGTTACTGCCACGTGCGTCCATGTGTTTGCTTTTATTGAACTGCAAAAAGAAATCAATCTTAGAATTAAAATTAAGGTCAGTGGTCATTTTTCCTTTAGGACCCGCTTAAGTCCTGTAAAATGAAGTCAAATCTATGTAAACTTTCGTTTACTAACGGGAGCACACTGGTTTTCGCCCGTGATTCATGATTGGATTCCTAGAAGGATACCGTTGGATTCTCGATGAGTTCCCGTCAGGCTTCCGTCAGGCTCTCGTCAGGCTTCCGTCCGGCTCCTGCCAGGTTCCATTCGGGCTCCTGACAGGCTCCCGTCGGGCTTACATCGGGTCCCTGTAGAATTTCTGTCTGGTTCCTGTTGGATTACCGCTGGGTTCTGATTGGGTTCCCCAGAATTTCGGATCAAATGATGATCAGTTCACACAGCGATCAAATGAAAAATATTTCATGACCATCTACCTTAAGCTTAAAATTGAAGATGATAGAGAAGCCAAGATCAACGTCTTGCAAAAGTTCATGTTCTATACTTATAAATTCATAGATTCTATCATGATTGTTGCCATAGTGATCGAACTAAATCCCCCTCTTACAATAAACACAGACCATAATTTTATCTATTATGCTACCACCCTAAAACATTAAGATCCTCAGTTTTGTCAGTCTTTTTCTTCCGGGTTTGACAGGTGCAGAAAACATCGACGCTCTTTTGTTATTCCCATACAAAAACAAATGGTTAAGTTTTTCTGTCAAAGTAATTAAGGATTTGGAAATTTAACATCAGTTTCACTGCGATACGACACATTACCTTCATAGCATGCCTACCGTAAACGTCCATGTGTAAGCCGCCTTTTTTTTACAAAATTGAAGCCAAAAATCAAGGGTGCGGCTTATCCATGGGTACATCTGTGTTTGGAGTTCTCAAAAACCTAATTAATATTCATAACACTTCTTAAAATGCCAAGAAATAAACATAAAAGAAACTGAGAACGTGTTGCTGTAGTTCATTGACTTTTTCATTGGGTGGTGGCTCCTAAAGGAGCCGTTTGTGTCTTCGAGTGTTTATCGGCGAATCTTGCTCTCCAAGAGTTCTTTCAAGCGATTAATTTTCGGTTACTCAAACAACTAAACACCATCATACAAGGAATCTCTAGTTGTTTTTTACTACCTTCATAGCAAATTTGTCGACTGCATTATCAGGCTCCTGTTCTGCATGGAGTTTTTTTCGGTACTTATTACAGATAACTCACCTGCCAGTTAGGTTGAATAAGCAACAGGAGAACTTGCCCATCATCCCTGCCTCAACAGTCGTATTACTAAGCTTGATTTGAAATAGGTCAAATGAAGCAAAGAGAATTGAATCAACATCCGGTTTCTGCGTCAGCACCCACAATGCCACCGTGAAGCTGATGTTACTCATAAAAAGCCCTTTGGGAAAACTTATCAATGACGTCACACCATCAAGGTACACCGCTCTCCAGCCTTGTTGTAGTTTGTATGAAGTATTTCCCTCTAGCCTAAAAATAATTGATTGTATGTTCATTTTTCAAGGATGATTAATCCTTTTTTCTTATTTAGATCTATTTCAACTGATTGTGGAAGCTGATACTAGGTTAAGTTTGATTTACATCGCGTCTTCGGTGGTCGTGAAACCAAACCTCAGTGACGTGAATAACCCCCATAGCCAATAAGATTTAAAGTTAAACCAGATCTTGAGGTGGCCATTCCCGTTCGTCTGTGCCTGCAGGTTATCTTTACCTACTTTGGGCCATCAATCGATTCTCGTGATATTCATCTCTTTGCAAATCATGAGTCGATCAATTCGAAGCTTCTTCATCCCCCAGACTTTTTTTCCTTCTCACCTCCGGGGCAAAGATTGCGTTCA